CAATAGTAGCTAATTCCGTTGCCGAACAAATTGTTGCTGGCGTGACTTTGATCCTTCAAAACCGTGATATCGTTAGGTACGATAAATAGCATCATACCTGCATATCTATTCCTCATTAATGCCAACAGTTCGCAAACCGAGTGGAACCTTATCTTCGCAGCCCTTCGGTCAACGACTTCCCATCCAGAGGCTGCTCGTTCCACATTCGACTTGGTTTTGAGTTTTGTCACAGACGGACAGTCGCAGTGGATAACATCAGATAATTTCAATGGTCTAATCACAATCTTGGATGAGTTTGCAAATTCGTCTGGTCAGTCAATCATGGTTCCGCAGAAGGGACGACGAGCGCCTTCGCAGCCACCACCCAAGTTAGCAGTTTTCGTTTATCATAGTCTGCCTACTGATATTTATCCAGCGCACCGCCTATCGAGCGCGGGAGGCGAGCGATTGATATCCTATATGATATGAAAAGGTTCATTGCACCCCTTGCTGAGTCTGCTGGTCTGCAAACGGGTCAAGGTACGTGGACACTCGCAATCACGAGTCATTCTTGACAGTCGGCCACACAATGCAGTCTGGCGCCAATACTGCCTGCCTTTGGCGTTGTCGTTGAGCAAGCAGTCGACGAATCCATCACGACTTGTCCGGCACACTGCTATCAGCCAACTTCAACGCCTGTTGCTTGGTCCTCGATTTGTGTATGATGAAAACGATCATGGTCAAGTCGAGGAAATCTTCAACAGTATCATCTTCCCCCTTATTGATGAGCTCCTCAAACCCCAAGTACAGCAATTCGATCCACAGGGCATACCGGAGACTAGGCTACGAGCCTCGGCTTTGCTTTGCAAGGCATTCATGCACTTCGAGGTCCGGGAGAATCGCACGAAGTCAGACATCAGAATCTTGTGGATCGAGATTCTGGATCTGCTAGACAGGATCATTAATGCCGGGAAGACCGAGCAGCTGGTAGGCCCTTCAATAATGTTTCACATGATTTAGTTCTAAATGTCCCTAGTATGAGGCCGTCTCGGAATCTCTCAAGAATGTGGTTCTCGTGATGAATGCAGCAAATATTCTTGTCCCACCTTCCCAGGAAGACCAACGTGACGAACACCAACGTACCTTATGGACAGCCACGCAAGCCAGGCTAGAACGTTTTTTGCCAGGGTTTCTGGTAGAAGTGATACCGACTCCACAGTTGCAGTTGCCACCTTCAACGCCCGTTCCAGGTTCAACCTCTGAAGCGCCTGCTACGGCACCTTCTACAGTATAGGGCACATCTACATACACAAGTTTGTTGCTGCTAGAGTAATTTAATCCAAGACAAAAATATTGGTCATGAACATCAGAAGAATTTCATTTTGGATAGTCTGCGATGTTGGTCGTCAAAACAAACGCACGCCTTACATGGTAGATCTACTAACCTGATACGCGCGTAGATAGCTAGAATTGCAACTATCGGCGCAACAGTATACCCGACAAACCGGACTACTGCCTGGCTATGGGATGTCACCCAAGAAGACCACGCGCCTCCGAGGTAAGCAGTAATCAGGAGAAGGGGGAATAAGACATAACCAGACAGCCTGCGAAATGTGTTAGCAATCATCATTAGCATCCCCCTGATTACCCACGCTACCTGTGGTATTTCCATAACATCTTGGCCTTCATGCCACCCCCAAACGCTGCACCTCCATACCACACACTTCCGCCCCCGAGGATCACTTGTCCCACGAGCCACCCGACGGAAACAAGTCCGAAAATCTGTGCCAAAATAGTCAGAAAATCCAGAAATAGAATAGAGACGAGCCTAGTACCCCATGCCACGTCGTGAAATGACTATGTCCGTCGCTGAATTTGTGGATCTCGATTGCTAGGGTGCCCAAGGCGATACAAGGGAAGCCGACGGCAAGCATCGTTCTCTGGTGTCGTTGGAGACCAGCTGCTTTAGTTTTGGGGTTTGCAGTCGGTTGGAGTGTCAGAATCCCTATAGACAAGTGCTGAAGTTAGCCTATACTTTGTGTGGGCGGCCAACGGTCTAATACGCACCGTAGGTGAAGCAGCCAACACCTAAGCTCTGGAAAAGCGGGTGGACGGCGAACCACCCCATTGATGTAGGGTTGTTGGTGAACACGATGAACCAAGTGACGCATACGAAGATCTTCAAGAAACGTTCATTCAGGGGGTCAACTCACAAGAGGTTATTCGCCTCACCAGCATAGAAACCTGACATGGCGCAAAAATGAGTGAGACTGACAGCAACAGCACACGTTAACATGCACGTACGAGTGCTCCATATGCAGCGACTTTGTCTCCCCGGCGTTCCTCGGATTTTCTGACGCCGTCAGAGCCCATGGTTGGTGTCGGGAAAGGCAGATGCTCTTCTGAGGTTTCTGCTTGACCGCTGGCGTCTAGTAGTCTGTATTGTTCTTCAGAATCCGTCAGTTCGTTGGAAGTATGCTCTGGCATGATGGCGAGAGACGGTAATGAAACGCGCAGTTTCTGTGTATGTGGCGCGCTCAGGCTACTAGGCACTTAAAAAGATGGCGCTCCTTGGACGGGCTGCAACCAGTTCGAATCTAACCTTGTATCAATACCAGGCTGGTACTAGTCTGGTAGTGCCACGTAGTAACTGCAGTTGGCGCTAATCACACTGCAGCACCGTGACGCCCCCTAGGGGCCGTACTTACCGGATTATGTAAGGTGTTCATATCTCTGTCAGCCTAGTCAGCCGAGAACGATGAAGACAAACGAATTCTCATGACAAGCTTTGATCAAGTTACAACAGGACATTATTCCATTATTGACCACAGTATTAGTGAGTACGTATAGCAAACAAGCAAGATACATCAGTGACATGATGGGTGATCACGGTGCGTAAAGAACATGGATACGACTATAAAATGCAGCAGAAAAAGTTAACAACAAAAAAACATTCCAGGCTAGAATCACAACAAAGCAACTTATCAAATAAATGCATAACACAGACAGTTGTTCATGAAATAGTCTAACGGCCTTCGAGTGCTGGCCAAGAGCCCTCGGCTTTCCACTTGTCCACCACTTCGCGGAGCGCGTCGTGCGTGAACTGAGGACGTATGAGCTTGTATCCAATAACTTTCTTGATCTTGCTGTTGTTGTAGGAAAGTTTGCGTCGTGATAGGGCCCAGTGATCCATATATGCATCAAGTGGGGTCTGTACAATCGGAGGTTTGGATGTGTGAAGCATTTCAGTCCAGGTACCAACATGGTGCTCGTTGATTTCTTCGACGACATCATCGAGTTTAAGCTTCAAGATGTCAACAAAGCTTTGATGATGTAGTGTAACACAAGCGCACCTTTGCCATGGTATTTTCAAAGAACGAGTAAAACTCGAACGTTGTACCGAAAAATTCCGTGATCATTGATCCCCCCTTAGCCATAGTCATCTCTGAGTCGTCAACCTGCGTCAAACATGAGAAATATAAACCCGAAAGGTGAGACCTTGCGCACCAAGTTAAAGACAGGTGCTACGGGTTGTGCATCAGGCATGCACGTGCCCTCGATATCCTTAACCTTGGATTTGTCATTATGGAAATAGATTTTCTCTCCTGCAGTTAAATTTGCCTGGTGACGGCCAAGTGAAGCCATCCACTCGGCACATGCCCATAAACCACCTGAAACATCATCTATGTGTACTGTGTTGACGCCGTCTTTTCCCGGGCCCCATCTGAAACGGAAATGAGGGGGATTTGAGCGGAGGAAGAGGTCTAGACCCACGGTGTTTTCATCGGTTTATTCATGTAACCGTAGATAGACGCAACGGTGATCACTAGTGGATCTATCAAGAACGTTAATCTCGCGTCATTGAAAAAAAATGAGAAAGATAGATTTACAGAGTCCGAACTCGACGTAAGGGCCATACACAAATCCGATTCGCAGGACGACAAGAGGAAGGCTAGATAGTAAGTCAGAAATGACACCTTAGGTAAGAATTCAAGAACCTACTCATCAATAGAAGCTAGCATTCGAAGAGTTTCATGCCACCAGACATCTAATGGTCGCACAGGCTTGACATCTTCCTTCTCGTCATGCGAACCCTTGTCTGATGTTTCATACACAGGTTGCTGTAGTCGTACGTAAGCATTGACTTTTCTACGGGCAGCCTCCAGACCGATGATGCGAGCGACGGTGAAAGTCATTTTGATGGCAATCTAGAATGGCGATGAGAATATTGGTCTATTTTGAGCGCAGAAACAAGTCATACAACTTCGCTGCGGTCATGATTGATCTCACCGGTGAGATCGAATACGTATGAATAGGGTGCCTTGCCTGGCGGAGGATCGAAGGCAGACGCGACCGCAGCTTGAAAAAGATGATGAGTAATGTAATAGGACGTAAATATAAGTACATACAAGGAATGGTTAAGTTGGCTTGCCGATATTCAACATCGGGTTGAGCTAGGACCTTTGGGAACTCTGCGCCCAGATATCTGCGAAATCGCCGATCAAAATGAGACGGACACAAATTTGATGAAATTTACACACGTTGTGGGCGGATTAACAGAGAATCTATCGACGATACGAAGGTGCTATTATAAACAGATAGAACCGGTGGGTGAGATGAGCCATCGATGAGAACCAATCGGAGAGATCTGACATACCGAAACGAGTCTCTCCCCCTCTGGTGGAACTAGCAATGCTGCCAATGCTCGTGAACATGTATTTAGACCACCTGTACAGGTGAATTTGAAAAAGTAGTTGTGAGTGTCTTGGGATGATGGCTAATAATGATACCAGTTACCGAAAATGATAGCGCTTGGCTTTGGAGACATGTAGTGGGAGCTGTTGACGATGGAGAGGGAGAGGGAGAGGGAGGGTGTGGCGTGAAGGGATTGGTCCTTGTTTGACTGACAGCGATTTTGAGATTAGGGTGATTTATACGCCAAAGTTTTATACTATGTTATTACTGTACCCGACCGCGTCGCGGAGGCAACCTCGAGAGAAAGAAGCTCCCTTCCTTTTTTACGTAATCTATAAACTTTCATCCGAAGAACCATAAATTTAAAAAAGGAACCGCGCCCCGAAATATTTTACTCATCCATTCCCCGGATCCCAGGTCTGCTCACTCTGCTCGCCGACATTTTCGCAGAAAAAGCCGTTCTGGGCCTCCACGGATACATATCAATATCAGGGTCACTGATCTATCGCCGCGAGGGTCCATGTAACGGTGCAATTCATTCGGAGCAATTTTCGCGTCAAATCCACCCTATCTTATGTACAGCAGTCAATGATTCCGTAATCTTGTTGCCGCCGGAAAGTAATACTGACTCATAGAACTTTATGGTGACTTGTAGGACCCAATTGCAGCCAAATCCCTCATCTTGTGATGCAGGCCCAAACGTTTATTATCTACATCCTGGGTGAAACGGATATAATGACATAGCATCAACGCCATCGGTAAGTCCGCGTGGTCCCTTTAATCTTCTCGCTTCATTTGTTGCAGGCGCTCGTACACAGAAGAGAAGTCCTTTTGTGCCAGATCCGGTCGATGCCTCAACGTCTCGGCATAGAAATTCTGCGCAGATTTTCCTAGTGGTAACGGGCTGTCGGTAGAGGCCGCAACACCAGTCGCGAGAAGCATATCCTATACGACATTGAGGAAGCACATCTTCGCCGCCGGAAGTCTAACTCACCTTTAACATCAAAGCAGTCGCAAATCCACCTTCGTAATCACGTTCGCACGGTGGAGACTTGTCGGCAAGCGAATACGGTACCGGATTGTTGACCGACGAAGCCCAGCAACCGCCGGTAGAACTGTTGATGACCCCTGCAAGTATGCGCGGATCCAAACCCAGCTTCTGTCCGAGCAACATTGCTTCGCCGACGACAATCTGTTGCACTCCAAGAACAAGGTTATTGCATATCTTGGCGCCCAGACCAGCGCCTGATGGGCCACAATGAATAATGCGACTTCCCATATGAGCAAGGATCGGCTGCGACAGCGCAAAAGCACCCTCGGTCCCGCCAACAAGAAAAGATAGCGTGCCCGCTTTGGCACCTGTTACGCCTATTTGGATAAAGTTAATATTATTATAGACGTGTAAGCAGGGGTGCGGGGGGCAGTGCACAATAATAGTACGTACCGCCCGATACGGGTGCATCCACCATTTGCGCCCCAGCAGAGATCACCTCTGCTGCAACGTTTCGGGCAATTCCAACATCTAACGTTGTAGAGTCGATGAAAAGAGAGCGCGCCAACTCCGCGGCACTGAGAGACTTCAACGCAGAGATGACTCCGTTTGCTTCAGAATAAACGGTCTCGACCTGAGGCGAGGATGGAAGCATCGTCAATACTGTTTGAGAAGCATGCACTGCCCTAGATTCCAAGTGGCGATGTCGTAAAAGGGAGCCACAAAAAGCAGGAATGGGCTCACTCTTTGGGGGTGAGAACAATGTCGATGTGTGCCCCAGGGAACTGGGCAATAAAGTGCTGCCGGAAGGTGATCGCACTGGTGGGGAGAGCGTCGCAAATGATAAAGCGGGTATCAGGTGATTCTGCGAATGTCTTCGAGAAGAAGTTAAAGGCCATCTCTGAGCCCATTCGACCAAGACCAATGAATGCAGTGCTCTTAGCACGCACAACTTGTCGCTCGAGCGATTGAAGTACTCTGGCAGTATGTCTCATGGTAAAGTCAGAGCAACGTTCGCGGGAGACCCGTATTGAAGTACAAATCACTGACGTTCGACTCCGAGGACGAGTACCCTCGTGATGATTTCAAATCATGCGGGGAAGCATTCAGGCACGTGACTATCACGTGCTGAGTTATTATTACGTCAGCTACACGTCCGTCGTCTCCCTTAGTAATAGTACTAATCGTTTAGGTTATTATTACACTGGTCCTCTGGGGCAATAACTGACTGGATTCATTAATTCAAGATGCTAGCAGCTGCCACTTCGTTTTTCTCAAGAACAGCTATATCTCAGTCGTATAATATCGCCTCGTCATATGGCAGCAGGCCCTCCACCCCAGGTCCACCGGGATCTTCAAACCCGCTTCCATCTCCAATGTTGCCATCCGTTAAAGTTGGTCTCTGGAAAGTTCAGGGTGCATCCCACAAAGTCACGAACAAGAAAGTTTCCGTATGGACCCTTGACAAACGCGCAGAAATGGAAGGACTGGGCCCTGTATCCAGGGAGCGGGTCTTGGAGGTTTTGAAGGCAGAGGTATATCTACAACTTGAATGAAACCACCGCTTTTTTCTCAGATGTCGTCCCTTAGGCGGCAGCACTAAGCAAACTGCGCCATCCTTCTATCTTGGGTAGGGCACACGAAACTCCCCCCACGTTCACATTTTGAGCTTACTATTCACGAAGAAATGGTTGAACCCCTTGAAGAAACAAGGACCGAACTGATATTTGCAACGGAACCGGTCCTTTCGTCACTTGATCTCTCAATACCACGTGGGTCTCGCCATACGCCTCTAGTTGAGCTAGATGAAATTGAAGTCCGTCTGCTTCTTTTTATGCGGAACGCCGTCAATAAGTTTAACTCCACCCAGATTCAGAAAGGCATACTGCAGCTGTGCAAAGGCTTGTCTTTTCTGCACACTTCCGCGAGACTGATTCACACCAATTTAAAACCTGAATGTGTGATTATCAACGACGTCGTGAGTGTTTTCCATTCCTGATAATCATCCATGTGGCTACATTCTAGTCGCCGTTTTTTAGGGTGATTGGAAAATTTCTGGCCTCGGCCTTACCATCCCCCTCATTGGTGCAGATGGATCTCCGACCCGTTGGGAATTTCCTGGTTTTGATGGTCGCGTGCCATCATACATTCAGCGTTCTTTTGATTATATCGGTGCGTGCAATGCTGCTATCACAGCATGTGACCCATTCCCACGGATCTCAACAGCTCCGGAATACGCACTGGATGAAGTCCTGATCACTGCATCAGATATGTATTCCCTCGGTTGTCTGATATATGCCGTGCATTGTAAAGGCATTCCGCCGTTCAGGAATCAGGGAAATGTAGGCGGCCTTAGGGACAATGCTGGTCGTCCTGTCCCGGACATCGGGCAGCTCGACGCGGATTTGCAAGGTTCTTCTACTTCGCTTGAGATTATTATAGAATCACTGACGCATAACTCTATGTAGATCTCCTTCGATCGCTCATTACTCGTGGTTCGAATAGCCGACCGACCCCCTCAACGCTCCCTTCGCATCCGTTCTTCTCCTCGCTGCCGATCTCGACACTCAACTTCTTAGACCGCTCGAACTTCACAGCGAAGACACGAGAGGAGAAAATTTCTTTCATGCGTGGCCTTACAGGGGTCTTGGATCGCTTCTCAGAAGGTCTACGCACGCGAAAGATTTTACCATCCTTGCTTGAGGAGGTACGCGTCCTGATCCTGTTCTCAATTCAAGCCACAGAACTGACGGAACGCCGCTGTGTTGACAGATGAAAGACACACATTTGCTTCCGTACATCCTTCCAAATGTGTTTGCCATCTCCAACGTTCTTTCAGCGCCACAGTTTGCTTCGCTTGTTCTGCCTAGTCTCAGGCCCCTGTTCACCGTCAAGGACCCACCACAGAATATGTTGACGCTTCTTGACAATCTTCACATGTTGCAGAGTAAAACTGAAAAGGGCGTTTTTCGCGAACGTAAGCAATTGAATCAACATTACATTTCACACGATTTACATTATTTTCAGAGGTTCTTCCACTAGTGTATCATGCACTGGAGTCTGAGCATGCTGTGGTGAGTTTTTCAATGAACGACATGTCATGGCATGATCCGATAAGGTACAGGTGCAAGAGCGTGCTCTTAAGGTTGTTCCAGATCTTTGTGAGACAATTGATTACGCCGAGGTCTCCGGCGTACTGTTCCCTCGAGTGGCTGTGAGTTGCAAATGTGTCGTTCATGACAAGCACTGAGTCTTGCATCGTATAGCTGGTGTTCACAAAAACGAGAATATTAACTGTAAAGGTCGCTACGCTGGTGACGTTCCTCAGCTTGGTAAAAACCTTGGATCAGGTTTGCATCACCTTAATATGGTTTCCTAGATGCTCACATCTCCAATGCAGACAAGTCTCACACAAAAACTCGTACCACTGCTGTCAAAAATTCGCACAAAAGAGCCTGCTGTTATGGTGAGGTATATATTGTTGTCACGGCTTTATTTTCTGATAGCGTTTAGATGGCGACGCTCTCGGTACAAGAGGCTATGGGTGTTAAGGTTGACAGAGAAGCGGTGGCTACTCTCATCCTACCGCAATTGTGGACAATGTCGATGGGTCCTTGTACGTGTCATCCCCTATTTCCCGGTGGTTTGATCTGAGAGCGATTGAAGTATTAAATATTGAACAATATCAACGCTTCATGAGCGTTATCCGCAAGCTCGGTGACCGCGTGGAAAAGGAACACAATCAGTTCCTCCGCGATGCGCAGAGAATTGAAGACCGCTCGGCAACGAATACCAATGGTGTCATGTCTCCTGCCTTCCGATCCGGTGTCGACTTTGAAAGTTTGGTGGGGCGTGCAAACGGTGCTACTGTGAAGCCGGACACGGTGATCGATGGAGATAGCTCAAAGGGATGGGATGATGACGTTTGGGGAACCATTTTTAGTGGCACGCCCGAGGTAACTTGTTGGTATTTGTTGACAATACTCACGCTGATCGTTCCCATCAGCCATCTCAGAGTCCACCTCCAGGTCCTGTTGTGTCTACCATACAACCACCAGTTACTTTATCGAGTCAGGCGCATTCACTACCTTCGTCACCGCGGATATCAACGATGCCATTAGTATCTCGGCCGTCACGATTAGGTGCTAAGCCTGTCCCATCTACCACCTTCGATTCATCTGCTTTCATATCACCTACGCTACATCCCAGTCAGCCAAATCGTATCTCATCCCCATCAGTACAATCCCAGCGACTCACGAGTTTCGCTATGCCACCGCCCCCACCGACACCCGCACAAAAACCCAATTACAATGTCTCGTTATCTGACTTCGCTGCTATGTCTCCGAGCACGACTCCTTCTGTGCCTAACTATGTCTCGTCGAGTTATACCACATTACAACCTACTTCTCCTGTATTCTCGATGTCATCGCCTCCTCTACACACATCACCACTTTCGATGGGGAGCATACTAGCACCTACTCGACCGACAACTGCTACAAGGCCAATCTCAAAGGACGACTGGGGAGACTTCGACCCTCTCAAATGAATTGATGCCGTACAAGCACGCCGCATGTCATTGCCGGCCGGCACTGGAGTCCTTCGATTATGCCCTTCATGTTGTTTCTCATCGCCTCTGCGCTGGTCAATATTTATCTAGAGTTCCCATTCTAACTATCTCATCTAGCCTCGCACGTGGTCGGAATTTAGTAAACTGCACGATCGTTAATTTTTAAATCTTAAAAGTTCCACCTGGATCACGTCTGATGGAATTTTCTTTCCAAGTCCTGTGGCCTGTAACGCAAATTGGTTTGCGTCCGAGGCCTATTGTTTGATTCGAAGCCCCGTCACCATTCTCGACTGCTCGTATCGTCGCCCCTCGATTAAGCAGGACCGCAAGCCTGAGGCAGTATGACTGAATATCACATTAAGTGAATCGCTGTATGCAGAAAACATCCATTCGTTGACGTAAAACTATGTATACTAGATCGGCGTCCGGTTTATCGACCTTGGTCAGAGTCCTCGACTGCACAACTGGCGCGTTGGAACTTAGTCTAAGCTGGTTCCACTTGGACGCCGTCCAATGGTCGAATATACGTCGCTTCAACGATAGTCTCGAATTCTTGCGAACCGAATTGCGTAGCAACACTGTTCGCATCGATGTCAAGGTTCAGTAATGCCTTCAAAATTAGGAGCGCCCCGATTTTCGAGGCAACGACATTGCCTTCCGAGCAAGTAGCGCTGTGAATGCCTGGTAAAAATAATCAATAACAAAAATGAATCTTTAAAAATAAATTTACATTTATCACAACCATCCTCGCAAGGACAGGTTTCCACTGTGTCGTGCGCTTGTCGCAATACATCGTCACCTGTAACATTAGTATGAAAACTAAGGCGATTCACGAAGACAACGCATGCTCACTGTGATCAAATGCCTGGGCAGACACGCTACCTTTCCGAGATGCATCATACATTATCAACCTGTATTTTGACATGAGTAATTGATGGTACTTGTAATGAGCAGGCAGATATACCTAGCGGGACGCTTCCGCTGCGACTCTTCTTTGTTATATTCTTTCTCTGCCGCCTTACATTCTGTCCGCAGGTCGGCAGAAAGAGCAAAACGATTCATCCATGCATGCGATGCAGAATGGATGGCTTCTGCAAGGTTAAAATGTTTTTCCTTCATCAATCCAAATAATTCTTTGGGCACATCGAACCAGAATCCAGTGAATTGTCTTTCGTACGGCGGCGTATCAACATCGACGACATCTAGTACTTTGCTGCCCCTAACAAGCGAATTCGGAATCGACGGAATATCAACCAACGTCCACACGCACCTGATTTTCCTGAAGCCTGCACAATAAAATATCAAGCAACGAGCTTTTCACATCCTGGGATTAAACATACCAAATACTACAGTTGTCACATCGACCCCTGTGCGCGGGCAATGAAGCATTGTTATTGTCCCCGAGATGATTCACTCACTTCCGAAATATGCTCGATGTGGCGACCTCGCAATCTCTTTGATTCGGTGGGTTTGCATGGCATCCACATTCCTATTGGTCTAGTCAAGGTGATGGATTACATAACAAGGAAGTACTTGCGTGTAGTCTCTGCAGCGTGTCTTCATGAATTGTTATGCCAGGAAAATGGTAAATGGACGCACCTCGGCTTAGTGATCCAGTTGACATCCGCCCTCACAAGTCTGGCCACTTTGGTATCATGACTGACTTCTTTAACCTATGCGACAGTCAGGGGTGACGATGATATCTAATCACTGTTGCTTACGATAAATGTCAGTCCTTGATGCAGGAACTCAAGAAAAGTATCAGTGCGTGATCTCAGAAGATAAGACGGGATTGGTGACGAACTACTCCGCCCTCATATAGCTCAAAAATGGCCCTTGAAAGCTCAATCTCTTCTATGATTCTTGGCACTCCATTTGGTAGTCCAATTTTCGTCACATCGATAACGGTGTACTTATCGTCATCCGCGCCACGAATTGAAATATGCTTTGCTGGATAGGGGAGAAACTTGGGGTGCGGGTGATACCTATGCAAAATTAGTTGTAGACCCAAACATAAAGCAGAAAACTACCATCCGTCTTTGTCTTTCCGTAGCTTCGAATCGCACAACTCGCCTAGCGAGGCACCAAAGTAAAAAGTATCATCCTTGGACAAAGGCATTTCATGAGCAGCGCATTGCAAGTGAGCCTCGATGACTACTTTGCTCTCAATATCGACAGTCAGATGATCCACGGGCTGATTATAAAGTTTGTCCGGGGATTTGACGTAGTTTCTGTCTATAGGGAGGTCTTCGGCTACCAATACTGCCAATGAATCACGGGATCTGCGCCCAGCACGACCAGCCTGCTGCCGCTACAAACCCAATAGATTAGTATGACGGTCACGAATATCTCTGAGAGGCACCAACAAAGTTGGCAATACCAAATGGAAAACCAAGCATGATGACAGCATCCAAAACACCAATGTCTACACCAAGCTCAAGAGCATTAGTTGCAACAATACCAAGTAAGTGTCCTGAAAAAGCTTCGTATTCAATGCGGCGCCGATCCTGTGAGTCCTTGAGAACTACGTCGCCTGAAGTGCACAACACTGACCTCCTGAGAGTACCCTAATAATGGAATATAATGAGTCGCAAATCAATCAGATGCCCCAAACACAAACTGACCTCCTCTGTAAGGCATGACCTTCGCAAGAACGTCTAGGCGTCCCTCGGCGCTAAGTCGTTGGCGTAGAGCTTTCATTGCCTTCGGTCTACATCAATCCTAGGTCAACTTAAGGTTAAGTGTCATTATGCTCACCAATTCGCATGTTCTTCGAATCTGAATTCACCTAAGCTGAGCCACTGAAACCCAGTTAAGCCCGGATTACGGTACGGACCTTGCAGAATAAAATGACTCGAACACCGCGCATCATCAAAAATATCATGAGGTTAACGGCCTCACACATTGGCCCCGAATGTCCGAGTTTTGCGACCTCAGGATCCATATCTTCAATACTAAGAGGATTCCAGACTAAGTAATCCTTTTTGCCAGATGGAGCTCCATCCTCAACAATTTCTTCTACATCCTGCAAGAGATTTTAGAGGAGACACAATGAGAAGCATAGCAGCATACTTCGACCCCGAAAAAACGTTTCATATGCTGACTCGGCTCCGATATGGTGGCGCTACATGATACAAAGATAACTTGTTGGTCTGGCAAAAATTTTGTCAACAAAAAAAAAGAAGGAGGTGCCATGCAAAGACTGGAACATACTGCCTACGGCTGCACAAATCCTGCGGAAACGGCGGATGATCTGAGCAACATGACTTCGAAGCTTTATGAGACTGGTGTGAAATGGTGCATCCAGAAACTCACCTCCCAAATATATTGGAATAGTAATGCAGTTCATCAACCGCTACGAGTCTGATATTCTTCATGAAACTTAGAATATACGTCAATGTTAGTCTCGATTGAAACATACAACAGCTCACGTCCGCCAAAGCTCTTCATGAGGCAAAATAGAGGCGTGCAACATGTCCTTGATAGCATTGTCAGAAAGATCGGCCGTATTGTTTACACTTACGTACGAAGTTGGTGAAGATAATGGAGGCCGTCTCCCGAATGGCTGGAGAAATTACTAATTGTCACGCGCAGAATGCAACAGGCTTACTTCTCCGGTGATCCTGTGGGGTATCTCCATCATATGTTGCCACCTTGATGTGCTGCAGTCCAGGGCAGGCACACAGCAACTGTTCCAGCGCGGTACGCTGATCCTGAGCTAAAGCCTGAAAATATCATGAAATGCGAGCATCATTATTCAGTTAAGGACAAACCTTGGTGGGGTATATGAGTATGGCTGTAGCATTAGAGTTCTCTTCTAGAAACTTTAGTAAAGGAACCTGAATTCAACTTTCTTCAGTCTGGAATTTCCATAAGCGGTTCCACGGACAGACAGCACCTGATAGATCACGCTTTTGCCTGACGCAGTACTGGTAGAAACAATGACATGCTTCCTCTGCGCAATAGCATTGATGGCGGCCGCCTGATGGTGATATAATGTCATTATATTTCGCGACTCTCGCAATGCTTGTTGTATGGTATGTGAAAGAGGCTCAGCCAGAAATCCTGAGTACATATTGTCAGAGATAAAAGGCACCCATAAAAAACCTTGATACCTTCAATAGCTACCTTCTCCTTGAATGTCCGCCGGTCGGCGATTTGATTTTTATACCATTGTTGTCTTTGAATTTCAAGTAGTATATCGTCAATAGAGGGCCTGTCCTTGGGTTCGGGTATTATCATATTTTGGGAACTGTTAGCAGGTAGAGCTTTCTTTGCGGACGGGTTTACGGGGATGTGGTCTTTTGCTGCTGCTTGAAGCAGATCCATGGACACCTCTCCCTCTGGAGTAGCCTTCATAAGCCTATATTTCGGAGTCAACAATAGCAAAAACAATGCGCGTATGCATACTCGTCGACGGCATCTTTAAAGCGTTGGTTTCGCTTATCAACCAAATTACTGAGTTGTATGAGCATCATAGTCGGTGGGAGCGAAAAACAGGCATTGCGTCAGTGTGCATTCCAATACACTCAGACGATAAGGATCACCCTGATTTGGTGGTTCTAAAGTTCTCTGCAAATTCTAGGATAAGGACATGTTCTTCCTCTTCATGACCTGAGAGTCGATAGCCCGATGATGAGTGTAGCGTGAAGTCGGGGCTATTTGAACGCTTATTCTGTTGAGAAACAGTCTCTCCATGTATTCGAATGTCACTGTGAGGAATGTAAGCAAACTCGACGACATCCGGGAGAAGGGCTCTGTGAAATATGATTGTAATCACTCTGTTGAATGATAGTGGCATCCACTTACTTGAGTTCGGCTACTTTAGACAGTTCGAGTGGTCTACAGTCATGTTTGCTTAACGATCAAAACATTTTTGGGCGAAGCAAACCTTTTCAGAAGACCTTCGGCGGAGGAACGAATCATAGGAAATGTAATTGCAAGATTTCTGCGGGAAGATACAAACGCAAGAACTGTATTCAATGCCTAATGTCTCACATGAGTACATTCAGACAATGCACACGATGTAACTCGCCTTGAAGATCTGTAGTGACATGAAGACTCGGAACGAGTCAGAAGCAACGGGTTGGTTCTATTGGCATACCTTGAACAGCTTCAGATTTCGTTCCACGATTACTTAGCGGGAGACTTCATTTATGCAAATACTCGACTCACATCATGGAAATACTCAGGCCATTCTGATGTTTCTTTCTCCTTGTCCTGTTTTCTGGTACTGGTCGCACTTGCAACCTTCTGCTTTTTTGGTGCTCTTTTGGTGGAACCCGCAGAACGCTTCATACTCGAAGAGCCAGTGATACAGTGTCACAGTTGAAGTACAATTTGACCACAATTCCTCCTAGAGCGGAGAGTAAGACAAGTTTCTGTTAGGGTCACACAACGCGCTCCTAAACACGTGACATCACGTTATATTCATCACGCTTGCTTTTCTGCGGCCAACACCAAGTTTAAAGTAAGTCGGAATCCCTGCACTGAATAGAACTGACAATTTAATTGTACTAGATGTCAGCCATACCGCGTACTCTCCGAATCATTCCAAAAATTTCTATCAAGCCGGGAAGCAAAGTTCTCCCACCACCGCTCACAAACCAGAATGAGCGTGCATCCAAAGAGCCTCTTCTCCAGATTATGGCTCGCAAGCAACAAGAAGCGGGTGATACATGGCCACCAAATTTGCGCATAGAGCCGCATGTCACGAAGACAGCTATTGGCAAAGCGCCGAAGGAGATGCGCGTTCAGCTGAAGAGATTGTTGAAAGAACGGTGAAAGCGGCATGGTTGCCAGGTACGAGGGCCGCACTTACATTTTCTCTGGGAAACTTCTGACGTTTTCCAGTTGCCTCACCAGTAGTCGCTCTCATCGCATTATCTACCACTCCCTCTACTTTGCATGGTAGCAGTCGGGTTGTCTTAATTACAAGAGTTGCACTCCGCCAGTACCACTCCGTGCTGTCAGTTTTCCACTCACCAAGCCCATTAGAGTATGTAGTTTAATCCAGTTGATTCTCATATCATTGAACTAGAGAAAAAGCGGGAGGATTAAAAAAAATTCAAAGGAACTACGACCAGACTTGAATAAAACATGATTTCACTAAATAAAAATACTGATTTCTTCCAGGCATTTATACCATCATCTGTGTGACATATTCCTCTACTCAAATCCCCGGACGTCTTCAAGTGGTAGGGATATTTGTCCAGACTCTAGAAACAACCATATCGACGAACAAGATAGCGAGGAACTACAGCACTAATAGCATTTCAAGTTTCCAATGCGAAAACAAAACTGTAACTTACCGTTGCGACATGTCATTCAGTCTGCCAGCTCATCAGGAAAGCTAGCGGGATAGGGATAATAGCAGTAACCACTAGTACCCTATTGGTATCACAAGGCATTGATGAGTCAAGGGATTTGGACGCAAAACAAGCAAACCACTGGCACTTATACTCACATCCTTCATACAAAGAAAGTCAGGGCAACAATCGTATGATGTGCTGCAAGACGAGTATACGTGCCCACATGCTCTCGCAGGCACACTGAATACCGTCAAGGTGGTAACAACGCAGAGGAAGAGAAAACGCATTGATGATGTGAAATCTACCAGAGAGAATCTGATATATATATATGGTGTCGTTAGGAAGGGGGCATGTCCTGAAGCCTGAAGAAAGAACTCGGTAGTTCTGTCGATCAGTTTTGCCAGCGAACCTTCGGAGTCAAGTGCAAATGCGTCAGCGGATTACACATAGATATACAAACAGAATCTGAAACACTGGTTTGATGTTAACATGCACTAGTGTCTCACTTCAGCTGAGCAAAAACTATATTCTGTCAGGTTTGGCTGAACAAATGCTTGGAAGGCACTGTATCCCTCATTAAACCTTAAACCTCGATCTCGCCTGGATTTACACTGTCCTGTACAGATGCACATGTCAAATTACGAGGTTGATGCTAAAGAATTACTGGGAAACATGACTGGTGGGTCAAATCAAGAAAAATCAACAACATGAGATGCTCGTTACAACCTTTCGCTTGTTACGTTCTTCGATGGACCATGGATCGGTCATGGGAAAGTACAGTATCTGGTAGTTTTGCTTGCGCCTGAGAACGAGTCATTAAGTTCGTATGGTCCGTACAATAAAGAATACGCACTGCAGTTTACGCATGCTAAGCCGAAAGTGATTCACGACATTGTTAGGGTCAAGTGTCAACGGCTGTGTCTGACCTAAAGAAACGCCCGATCCCTGGCTATCCTTGGGTGCGTGAGAGTCTTCCACGATGATGATCTCATCGTCTAACTCAAATGATTTCGTTCGTTTGTGTTGTTGCATATCGGAAGATGACGAAGGACGTTTCAGCTTCGAGGAGTATCCGTTAGACATTGGGTGTACGACGGACTGTAGCACTTGATTTGTCCGAGACTGTTCCCATACAACAGATGAAGGTCCGGCTATCGCAGCTCGACGCATGTTCAGTCTAGGTGGCCTTGGAGACACCGCATATCAGTGTCTCCGCCTACTCACAGCGGCAAAATTACCTTGAAGGATCAAATACGAGAAGATTTGTGTCCCCATTCTTTAAGATCTCGTATCCAATGATTGTTTGAGAATGTCCATTGAACTGCAGAACAAGAGGCATTTTGTTCGTTGCAATCACGGGTGAAGCGCCGCGCAGGACATCAGTCACCGTGCCTTGTTTTGGATTTGGTGGCGAAAAGTACTGGACAATCCAGTCTATCATAACTTGAACCCCTGACAGCGGGATAAGTCTGATTCTCGCCCATCTAGAACTAAAAGTTACCTTTCTCGCTTTTTGAAAGATCAAAATCTACTAGCTGTGAGCTGCATGAAGACTTAGCACGTTGTCTTACAAAGAGGGAATGACGCACGGGACTCCGCGAAATGTGAATGCAGTATAGAGTTCTAAAAGCGCACTTTTGAACCAATCGGGAATTTAAGAGGCAGTGTTCTGGCCGTACCTGCTGTACCAATCCATTTGTTTGTGTCTACCAGGCTCCCTAAGTCTTTGGCGCCTTCACGGTCATAACCTGCCAAAGGAAACTCAATGGTCTGATTGTCTTGCAGATACCGACAGTTGTACCTTCCTTCCACGCAGCTTCTATCCAACATTGCAGATTGCGAACACCAGGGGGAAAGGGATCGTCTAGTAAGGCAAAGTATATGTTCTGGATTTGCTGGTCCATGAGCGCAGCGCATGCCATGAGGAAATTGCGATATCTAATATAGCACGTCAGTTGGATGGATACAATGACTGGGTTATACCCACCCACATCCCCACCGGCGGTCAAATGCCTCGACACAGATATGAGTAGCCGATTCATAGCAGAGAACAGCTCGGCAGGTGCTTCCTTTGGTATGACATTTCTTCAAGGCATGCTTCAAGAGCGGGATCAAGCCTAGTGTAATTATACTCAGGGAATGCAGTACATGTGAATTCTAACAGACATACCTGGATAGCAGTTGTCAGGTGGCGGCCTCGATAGGGTAGGGTACCAAAATTCATCTGCTGGTTTCTTCCTAAGTGGCAGTTGGAAATTGCAAGGTTTGAACAAGTCTTTGGGTATCGCTGGCTTCCTGAATTTATCAGTACTAGGTTGTTCTGTCATAGAAGTGAGAACTTCTGCGGGGTATGAAACATGTCAATAGATGCGCACTACTAGAGCTGGAGTTAAAGTGGGCTTCATAGTGCTGATGGCGCTGGAGTTCGCTGAGGTTCTCGGAGTCGAAGTTCATGTCACACAACTGGCACAATGTTGGGCCAGCACAGCTGGTGGTGTCACCAGAGTAAGCTTGCGGAGGATAATAATGAATTCGATGGCTTCACTCACGATGGCCGTGAGCTTCTCTCACCGATAATTTCTATCTCATCATCTGAGACCATCTGATCAGCGTTGAGTACTGTTACTTAAACCCTTGTAGTTGGCGGTTAAACGTTAATGATCAGTTGGTAATATAAATGGATGCGCTGACTAAGCGAACGTACGCTAACCTCGACGCGCGTTCAGGCATATAAGCAAGACTTCGTATCAGCTCCCTTGTAGATCATATCCATCACTTGCTTGTAGCTATGTCTAGGTCATACGATCGCGGTGCGTCTCTGACATTTGCAGGAGTCGGCAAGCTCAACTGTTGATCTCTGTACAGCACTTACTGTCTTCTCTCCGGATGGTCACTTGTTCCAGGTCGGTAAAGTCGCGTCTCAATGACCGTGATCTTTGCTTCATCTATTATATAGGTTGAGTATGCTCTCGAAGCCGTTCGAAAGGGAACATGTGCTGTAAGACTGTGACGTTTTTAGCTTAGTGGCACTCATCCGTCCGGTAGGTTGGTGTTCGGGGTAATGATGTGGTCGTCCTTGGAGTCGAAAAGAAATCCGTCCTGCAACTCCAAGACCCCCGTACCGTAAGAAAGGTTGTGATGCTTGATGACCACATCTGCCTGGCATTTGCTGGTACGCTTCTGGATGTCCTGCTGCGTCACGTCATCTAATCTCGTATCATGCAGGCTTGACTGCGGACGGCAGAGTTCTCATCGACAAAGCGCGGATAGAATGTCAAAGTCATCGACTTACCGTAGAGGATCCCGTCACAGTAGAGTATATAACAAGACACATTGCTGGTATACAGCAGGTCAGTAGTCGACTGTTGTTGCCATGGTGTATGCTCTCATCCCTATACTTCCCCAGAAATACACACAATCAGGTGGTGTACGACCATTTGGTATCTCGACATTGATCATCGGATTCGATCCACATGATTCGCGACCAAGACTGTACCAGACTGAGCCGAGTGGTATCTACAGTGCATGGAAGGTTAGTAAATTCTCCACTTATAGTACGCGACTGATATAACCCATCTTTTCTGCAGGCCAATGCAATTGGTCGATCGTCGAAAACAGTCCGCGAGTTCCTCGAGAAAAACCACAAAGATGGCATGACTCGCGAAGAAAGCATCAAGCTGACTGTCAAAAGCCTTCTCGAAGTTGTGCAGACAGGAGCGAAAAACATCGAGATCAGCGTCATGGAAAGTTATGGCAAAGTCACGGTTCGGCTTCATCTTATTCCATGACCATCCATTGGTCGCTGACAAACTTGATAGCACTTGGAACTACCGGAGATCGAAGCAATTGTTACAGAGATTGAGCGGGAGAAAGAAGCAGGTATGTATTATGCATACTGAATCGTAATGCTCAAGATCACTGACTGCTGTACTCAGAGGCCGAGAGGAAACGGTCCAGGCTGGCGGCGACTGCCGCCGGGCAGGCAGCAATGGCAACGCGGGCAGATCAGCCCTCCGGACAGTAATCTTATATGTATGTTCTCGCGCAATTCCATCTGCATCCTTTGCCGTGAGCCCGTCCATAAGTCTTTTCAAACCCGCTGCCCATTGAACAAAATTTTCTCAAAAAGCTACTCAACAATATATACAGAATGTGGGTTTCCCAGTGACAATCATCATCGAGCCTTCTCTGCCTTGACGATGGCCTGTGCATCTATTGTCGCTTCTCTCCACATCATTACCCCGGCGATTGCAGCTGCAGGTCCCACTAAGAAAGTAGCCGACACATGCCACAAAATTAACACCACTAAGCTTCTGAGACTTCTAGCAAACCACAGTGTCATCAAAATTGTCGAGCCCGCTGCAAATGCTATGTCCCACTTCAGGAACGCTGCCACACCTTCAGCAACAGAAATTGCTGACGGGTCCAAAGGAGCCGTAGGGGGGATTATAAGCTTTTGGGTGAGCGCCAGACTGTTGAAAAGAGGCCAGACGTGCACAACATGCAAATAAGCGGAAGAGACGTATACAAGCAAGTACATGGCTTGCACAGTGCCGTATCCCGATCCAGTGAGACGCGAGGGGGATCGGATTTTTGAGTGGGCCCACTGAGCGAGTTTCATGAAAAGTGGGAAGAACTGCCATATGGCAGTCACAACCGGGTCTTCAAAAACCACCATGCAAACGGTGGGGATAGCATAACCAACGACAAGGGCAAATAAAAGTGCTTCTGCGTTCCCTTGATTAATTCTATCGCTGCGACGGGTCGTGCCACCAGTAAGCGCGAAGGCAAACCAGTAAATCGGCATAACCACCGCACAGCTGCAGAGCTGGAACATCATGCCAATAGTCGCAGGCATCTTGAGCCGCTGAGAGTGATGTTCGCGGGTGGCTTCTGCAAAAGGGATGATGGCGATTGCAGAAAGCGTGGTGCACATGAGGATTAGAAGTGGTTGGTAGGTCGTGTTCATCAAGCTGTGAAAAAACGTAACGATGGCGCAGAGGTTGAAATCGAGAGCGGGGATATTGGTGTATGAAATGCGCGTTGGGAACGATTCCCCCTCAACTGCCGCGCCACACACTGCGTGTAGCTTTGGAACCAGTCCATTTCCGTAGAGACACTGAACCATAACTAGGTAAGCCGCTGCGATTGTGAGTAATGGGAACACAGCAAGCATCCTGGCTGGAACTAAAAGGTACTTAGTATCAGGCGAGCCAAGCGATCTAGTAGCAAGTATCCGACTTACACCCGGAGATAGACGTTGGAGTCATTAGGGAAGCTTCAATTAGACTGTGAAAGTCTCCAAGGACGATGTGGGGTCGATATGTCGTGTATGCACTTTCGTAAAAAGTAAGAGGAAGAATACGTTACTGGCTGACAATGAGAGTCGACGTCTAGTGTTGACAACGTTGGCAACGTACGCACTGCAAGCAGATTAGTCATTATTACCTATTCATATGTCCGAATCTAGCTGTATACTTGGCTCATAGGCTGGTAGCTGTGTTGGCAGATGCGGTGGCCCATCATGGATACAGTAATTTTCTCAGTTCGTGAGCCTCAAGTCCAAAGTCACGGGTCCTGCCACAACACTCGTTGGCAAATTCCCAAACTACCATGTCAATGGACGACCAAGATTTAGGCCCCGAATATCAGACAATTTTCGACCCAGACACATGCATTCGCAGAGGTCTTTGTCCTGTAACACAAATCCGCAGCCAGGAAGGTCCGCTTGAGAGTCACTCTTTGTACTATGAGCAGCACGGCACTGGACCCGAGAAAGTCGTCTTCATCATGGGGTAAGTTCAAAACATTTGAAGCTTTACTATGGGTTTACCAGGATATTTGTAGTGTTAATAGCACATCCTTCGGATGGTTATATCAGGTCGAGCACTTTGCGAGGCTTCCCCAGTACTCCGTACTGGTGTTCGACAATCGTGGTGTGGGTATGAGTGGGACTCCGAGAGGTCCATACACGTGGGTTTCCAGGTTGATTCTAGCTGATATGCGTATTGATCATTTTCGAATTACAGAACGAGTGGCATGGCTGAGGACGTTATAGTATTACTCGACTATCTGAAATGGACCGAGGAACGTAGCATTCATGTTGTAGGCGTTTCGATGGGCGGAATGATAGCACAAGGTACTATTGTCTCACAAATTGATTTGTGGTTCTTACATAGTATCTACAGAGCTCTCCGATCGTATATCCGATAGAATAATTTCCCTGAGCCTGATCGTCACCACAGCAGGTAGTCAATTTTTGCTAAATGTGCCACCTGTAGGTTATTCTTTCAGACTCGTGAAATCCATACTGAGTCCATTTAGTGGAAAGGTTCTATAGCGCTGACACGGTTAGATTTGATAGCTCTCTACCTCTATATGCTAATTCCTTTCATGTGCAGGCTATTAATGACAGGAGATCCTGACGTAAAGGTTCCCATTGTAATGGATATGCTGTACCCACAGCCGTGGCTAGAGGAGAAGGCTGAAGGTGACCCAGAGGGAAGAACCAATTTAGAAGTTCAATCTGCTGTCAGTACGGTGATACGTTTATGGCCTGTTAGTGATTGACTTTATTTTCCCTAAGTTTTACCATCAGCGTCTGAAGATCACTCGGCCCCAAACACCTTTGGGTGCTTTGTCGCAGATGTATGCGGGACTCACCCACTATGTCTCGCCCGCGCGGTTGCGCAAGATATCCTCATCGATACCTAAAGTTATCATCCTGGCAGGTGATCAAGATGGTGTAATCCGTAGTTCTAACAGTCGCTATTTACATCGTCATATGCCTGAGGCCGAGTTGCACTGGTGGGAAGGGACGGGCCATGGAATTTCGACGCAGTGGAAGACGAGATTCAATGAACTCCTAGAGAAGACATTTGAAGAAGGGAGGCTGTCAGTTGCAGTTGCAACCGTAGACACGACTTGAATTGTTGACCTACTGTTTTACCATATATACACAATACCCAAATTTCCCTTTAGACCATTGCATATCGACTGGCCAGCCTACATTGTGCATAGAGCCCTAACTTTTCTCTAATTCATGATAATGTCGACAACCGTGACTTGGCTTGGCTTGCAAGCATTCGGACACGGGACGTCCAAATTGCCGCGTCAGCTTGCACATAGTCACTGCAATTATAAGTAGTCAAGACTATTGCCCCTCAACGTTCAAAAGTACTGTTAGGCCAAAAGGCAGCGATACTAATCTCGAGATTTTGAAAGCTTCGACCACCGGGCTTACAGTCACGTGGTTTAGGTGCGATCAAGAAGTGAATTCAATTTCTGCAGCCAACCACCATTGTCAGTGTCATCTGCCGCTGTCGTCGTGCAGTATGTTATCCACCACTCGTTCATCAGTTCACCGAGTATCATCTCGTCGTCTCAAATGTCTTCCTCGCTCATTAACTACCAACCCCACTACTTCTCACACTGTTCTCACTCCACCGCCTCATCTCTCAAAACCAGAGACAAGCAAACCTCGTCAGTCACAATTATATCCGCGCCCGCGTCCAGCCGTTCCCCGTCAACGAAAAGCACTCCCAACTCTTCCTCCAAGCTTCGGGCGCAACCAAGTCCTAGCGGTACCAGACTCCACTCGCGCCCTTTTAGAAGACATTGTAGGAGTGTTTCAAGCGCCCATTCGATATGCGTTTGCCTATGGATCTGGCGTTTTTGAGCAGGCCGGGTATGAGAAGCAGAAAGGAAACGAAGATAGGCCGATGTTAGACTTCATATTCGCGGTCACACATTCGAATCACTGGCACTCAATCAACATGCAGCAGCATCCCGGTCATTATCCCCTGCATGCACGCATGCTAGGGTCATCGTTTGTCTCCAAAACGCAAGAGCTCAGTCCTGGACTTTGGTTTAATACTTTTGTGCCGATGAAGGGGGTCGTACGTCACTTCCGTTCAGACCCACTCCACTATTCGCTTACTTTTAATGCCGTAGAATATCAAATATGGAGTAACAACCGTCGATACGCTATGTGCTGACCTGCTTAATTGGCGCACACTCTATCTCGCGGGGAGAATGCACAAGCCCATACGAATCATCAAAGATGATGCACGCGTACGACTGACTCAGCAAGTTAACCTCACCTCTGCGCTCCGCACCGCCCTTCTCATGCTCCCGGAATCCTTTACCCAACGCGAGCTATTCTCAGCCATAGCAGGATTAAGCTACACTGGTGACCCTCGGATGGTGCTCCCAGCTGAGAATCGAGGTAAGGTGGAGAATATGGTTTCTCGTCAGGAGGACAATTTTCGGGAGTTGTATTGGAGGCTTGCACAGGGCCTTCCTGGGGTCCGGTGGGCGGCGGGTTCCAAGAATGTAGAACAGGATACCAGTCCGCATGCGAGAGTAGCGCATCTTAAGAAATTGCCGGAGGAGCTCTTGAAGCATGTTCACCAGCGTGCCGAGGGGCGTGGTCCGCCTAGAGAGGCGGATGAAAGCGCTTATTGGCTCCGTATCGCAGGTGACAGGGAGCTTCCCTCGATTCTTGGCTCTGGCACGTTCTTCCATTCGTACCTTGTGATTTTCATGCTAATATCCTTTACCAGAAATAACCAAGATCGTGAGGTACCCAGCAACTGTCCAGTCACTAAAGGGCATAGTAAGCGCTGGCGTAGTTAAGAGTACACGCTACTCTGTAGCCAAGGTCACCAAGTGGTGGAAAGGAATATCTTTTTCGAGTCCATCATAGCATCAATAAATTGATGAGTCCATGGTATTGTCCCCCTTGTTGAGCATCCTCATTCTTCGATATTTCTACAGTACTTGAGCACGAGATATAGCCGTCATCGGCTGCAATTTGTCCACACGTTATGCTCCTCTCCCCTCTTTACTCTTTTTATTATTATTCACCGCTATGGCGTCACTCACCTGGCGTTCAAAACGCCGCGACAATCGTTTGGGATGGTCTTGCTGCTATCAACACAGCCGTACGGCAGGCAGGGCGTATCGTCAGTGGAGCAGGAGAGACAGCCACCTACGCAGCATCAGTAAAGTCATCGACGCTATGGGCAAAACATTCGAATCTTGAATCTCAACACTGCAATTCGGAGCATGGGTGACCTGCAAATCACGGCTTTGGTGGATCACATCGGAGAATGCTGCTGCGGAAGAGAGTCTCGCACTCATAGTGGTGACCACAGACTTTGATGATAGCATTGACTTCCTATCCCCACTACATATTCTCAAAGACGCTGAGACCTGTCTTTAGCGCACATTCCTCTCCCCTCTCGATGTCTATGTCGATGAATTCAATGACTAAATTGCTTGAGCTTATCCAGCTCTTGAATGATGGTGGAAGATTCTACTTGACTCATCCTCATTCTGTGTTACACAAGTTAGAGAAAGTTGGAATGATTAGCACTAAGTGCAAGTTAGACCCTGGTTCACTAGTCTAGCCTAGAAAATGGACAACTCAGGGGGCTCAGTGCCCTCAGTACTCAGAAGAAGGGACAAATACAATGTACTACTTGACATTCTGAATAGTGCGATCCCTTCAAAGTGGCGACTGACTTTGAACGAGGGGGATCAGTATTTGTTTTATGAAGGAGATATCAGTGTCGGAGAAGCTAGTATGACAGAGTCAGTCGTTGGTTGTGAAGAATGAGTCGTCAGTATCGGATGGGATACCCAGAGACGACTGTTACTATCTCATATAGTCGAGAAGTTAGCAGGAAAGCAGGTGGCTCGCGCCGTACCTTGGAATTCTCTGGAACATCCCTCGAGACTACTGGAGATGGACTTCAGCAACAAGCACAGGAAATCGAATTAATCCATTTGTAGGCCACAATCATTGTGATAGAGATGGCCCTATAAATTTAGGCCTTTATTAACATTCTTCGCCAAGCCGCTGTCATTCCCATCGTCCTTGGCCGAACAAAAAGAGACATTCCTAACTTCACAATTTTCAGAGGGCATTTGACTTACAGAGATGCTGCGCTGCCTTTCATGCGGAATATCGATGCAGCGATTGTTTTTGGAGTATGGCCTTCGGCGCTACTGATAAGGTGTCCTCCTGGGATGCAATATTAGAATTTCCATAGCTGACTTTATACATCAATGCGGAACAAACGCTGCAATCGATTTTCAGGCGGATGTTAGGACACTGTTAGTCCGTCCAGGCGATGGGTTCAGCCCTGACAGAGATGGTAAATCCAATCCAGCAACAGCACATCTGAGGGCTCTGTCCCAAGCTTCCTCGACCCGATATCCTCCCGCCCTCATGATTCCTTCACGATCCTTTCTTACCGCGTCGCTGTACATGTCATCGTACTGATCTCGGATGGTGTAGAGATCCTCGTAAGCATACCAATCGTCCTGCAAGGGGACGTGTGGTGGATCTGGAATGACAGTACTTTGAGCAGCGCGTGCACGCAAGAGCTGGGCATTGCTTCTTAGTACCGTGGTGGTAGTAGAACGAGCAGATGATCTCTTCATGGCTTCGGCACGAGATTTAGCGATGACCTTGGCGGCACTCTTTGTGCTAGTCTCGAGGCGATCGATGATCTCGCGTTGGGCTGTTTCTCGTTCCTCACGCTCTATCTCCTGTTCTCTTCGCAGCTCTAGTGCGCGCTGTTCTTTCTCCTGACGTTCTAACTCTTCTTGTTCTTTCAAAGTTTGGGCGTATTGTTCTTCCCGCTGAAGGTTGAGTTCTATAAGAGCTGCGTTTTCACGCCGATGAGCTAGTATTCGAGCCTCAGTCTGGGCAATGTCAACGTCGTTGATGAGGTTGAAAGCTTAATGACATGAGTACGATATATCACCGTCCAAGATGAAGCGCTCACTAATATCTTCCACCTCTTCAAGATAATCATTGTAGGAGCGAAGATCGAAGAAGTCTTCGCGTCGTTTATTGAACCTAGCCATTTGTGATGAAGTTCAGTTCTTGATGCAAACATGGGAAATATAGGATGACTCACTCCTTGGCTATTCGTCTGCGTACGGCGACTTCTTTTTCCACAGTAAGGTCTTCAAAAGTCTGTGGAGTAAATGCAAGTTTTCGTAGGATCTTTTGGCAGATAGGACACGGGGCGGGTCCTAAAGTGAACAAGCGGTCGATGCATGACTCGCACCTACAGCATATTGGCATCAGCCTGTTGTTTTTATGCGAACTTGAATGCACACATTTTATGGTAACAAGAGCTGACCAGAAGACGGAGCTTGGGGTTCAAGTATCGATCAGATTTGCATACGGGGCATTGGTCGTCCATAGACTTGCGTCACGGTGGCATGTCAGTGAATGGGTTGAACGGATAGAGACTACGACATACGAAATATTCGGTGGTTCTCCCAGATGCATCTTTAACGCCTCCGCTGAAAAGGGTGGAGGAAGTGCTTTGAACTTGAGGTGTGCTGGAGCGAGCGGTGTGTGCATTTGATGTTATGCCGCCTTTCCTCACGGTTTTTCCCTTCAGCCAGCCACCTACGTTGGCACGATTTGACATTGCCCGCAGATCGAAAAAGAAAACAAGTTTTTGACACCAGGCCTGGTACCTCGTGTCAGCTGGAGTGCAAGATTGACTCTGAAGCGATGCTGTGCAGTTTCACGTGTATTTCATAATATATTAATACAGGGGTGTACGGTACAAAGGTCACGGTCGAGTCGGCTCTCGCACTTGGCATCATTGATAGAGAATAGTCGATGTCCTTGGGTATATCCTTCCGTTGGACTAGGCTGACATCCTAAAAGGCTTCGCCTGTGCCAACGGGTAACGAACCTTTGCCCTAGGTGCCTAGTCCAACCCTAGTCAAGCTACCAATGGGAAGACCGCTGTTTGTTGATTATGTTCAGGGCTCTGACGCCACAGTGACTGTATACGATATTGAGTTATAAGACGTTTGCGATGATTTGGCAGACTGTTGCAAAAGTGTCGAACGAGAGGTGAGGCCTAAAAAGGCGAAAAGTAATATAAAATCAGAATGAAGCCGAACGCTCGCTCGCTTACACGTCACGGGGCAACGGCCGGGGTAACGCTTGTCAGGATATTCGAGTTCTGTGAACTTCTGTCTCAGCAACCGTCGTATCCTACTTAGAACCGCACTCACGCTCAACTTATCCTCCTTCCTCTCCCCCCCTGCTTTACCTGTAATATCAGGCCTACTCAGGCCTATCTGTACGCCTTTTGGCTTCCAAAAGCTTACCTTCTCCTCTCAACATTCATTTGGCGTATTCTCCTTTCAATTCTCTCAAACTTTCGCGATTGCACCCCCGGCAGGGTAGAAGAGAAACCATCAATCTATTTTCAAGTCCGTCATTTTGTATCTCCTGCTCTGTTATCACACCATAATGTTTAATCTCCCTGCCAGTCCTTCATATATTGGTTCAGTGAAAGGATGCACGATTCTGTAATCCAATCCTCCCGTTCGAACTCATTCGCTACCCCAGGTGGTAACTCGGTCAATGTCCGACTTTTCTGTGAACCACAGGCTATGATTGGCCAGGGGCCTATCACCCCTCCCATCTCTCCTGGCAACAGCGAAGGTAAACAAGAACCCGAACCCACAAACCATTTCCCAGGCCAAGTCCAGAGCCCTACCTTTACCGTTAACAATTCTACTCCAATGTGGCAGGAGCCACAGGTTCCTGTGGTAGCTCCACAGCCTAAATCTCCTGGAAGACCTCCTGCGAGGTTATTGGAGGATGAAGCAGTTCACGTAGAGAGACGCGGTGTGCTTAGGTTGCTCGATTTCGAGGTGAAAGGCGCCCTCGGTTTGTGCCCGTGTCTTCCCAAGGTCAACACTTCCTTATTGTTAATTTGACAGGTACTGGCACTTTCGGGAGAGTACTCTTAGTCCGCCTCAAGACAGCAAATGCAGGGTCTCAAAATATTTTTGCAATGAAGGTCTTGCCCAAATCCGAAATCGTACGCCTCCGCCAGGTTGAACACGTCAACGCAGAGCGCTACATTCTCTCACGTGTGCGCCATCCATTCGTAGTGGACCTTTTTGCAACCTTTCAGGACAGTCTCAACGTTTACATGTTGATGTCTTATGTTCCTGGTGGTGAACTGTTTACCCATCTCCGACGGGCTGGCCGTTTTACTCCCGACGTCACAAGATTCTATCTTGCTAACATTATCCTCGCCCTCCAGTATTTACACTCCTTTAACATCATATATCGTGATCTCAAGCCCGAAAATCTACTCCTTGACTCTCGAGGCTATCTCCGACTCACCGATTTTGGTTTTGCGAAGATTGTCGACGACCGTACCTGGACCCTTTGTGGCACGCCTGAGTACCTTGCCCCAGAAATAATCCAGTCAGACGGCCACGGAAAAGCCGCGGACTGGTGGGCATGCGGTATTTTGTGTTACGAGATGCTAGTCGGCTACCCACCATTCTTTGATGAAACCGCCTATGGTATCTACGAGAAAATCCTACGAGGCAGTATTAATTGGCCACGCACCATGGATCGGCTCTCTAAAGAGTTGATCAGAGCGTTCTTACATCCTGACCGGACTAAACGTCTTGGTAATATGATAGGTGGACCACAAGACATTCTCCATCATCCTTGGTTCCGAGGCGTTGATTGGGAAGCTTTGGGACGATGTGAAATCAAGGTGAGGAGCATTGTCAAACTACCTTAAATTTAATTTTTACCTCCACCGATCAAAGGCACCGATCATCCCCCACACGACGTCACTGGATGACACTCGTCATTTCTTGAACCTTCCTCACCCAACCCTCGAAGACATGCCCGGGCTTGTCATGGAAGAAGCTCCCCCTCCTCTCCATCGGCGCTTTGACCCTATAACGTATCAGTTCCTTGAATTCTAATCCGAGGTTCCAGATTATTTATCGCTGCTTGACTTTCAGCTGATCTATAGCATAAACATTTCTCTATCTGTCTCCCCCTTATTTTGCCTCTCTTTCATAGCCTCCTTCTGTGTCTTTAGTACCCTTGCATAGGATATCATCCGTGAGCTACCCAACCGACACCTCTGTTTTATCGTTCTGCTCTCCGTCTCGTATGTAGCTTTGACCTGCCATATGTTGTATCATTCCTGTCGTGTTTGTATTGAACCACCAAACATCTTGAAACTATTTATTTAATCTTGAACTTTAACCTGTAGATTGGCTTCCGCATGTTTTATCTGGATTGATTGTCCTTGTTGAATCCTAAAGGCGTTGTCAAATAGAGCCAAACAGCCGCCTTTAGTTTGTGACTTTAACGAAAGAAAAAGTTTCCTAAAATCACAATGGCTCGTAGACGCAAAAATCGCACGCATTTGAAGGGTGCAGGTGTAACTGCACAACACGCGAACGACGGTGCACCTAAGTCCTTTATCATCAAACATGGACAAGTGGGTTCTTCCCTCACGCAGCTTGTTCGCGATGTGCGAAAAGTCATGGAACCAAATACAGCGAGTCGTCTAAAAGTGAGCCCGACCAATCTTTGTGTTTCAAACGTCTTTAACATCAGAATGCAGGAACGTAACCGTAACAAATTAAAAGACTACCTGACTATGGCTCCTGCGCTGGGGGTCACGCATTTACTAGCTCTTACTGTCACAGATGTCGCGCCCTCACTGCGCATGGTTCGACTTCCCGCAGGACCTACCCTCAGCTTTCGTATCGAACGATACAGCCTGATGAAAGACATCTTGAAAACTTCTCGATCCTCGCGAAGCATGGGGATGGAGTATCTCACCGCCCCATTGGTAAGTGACATGTTGTAGCTTCGATCATCAGTCTTATACGACCCATGATAACTTTATAGGTCGTCCTCGCCTCCTTCCCTCCACCCTCTCCCGAAACACCCCCACATCTTCCACTGCTCATGAAATCCTTCCAATCCCTTTTCCCTCCATTATCCCCCAACTCAGTGTCACTCTCCAACTGCCGTCGGATCGTCTTGATAGCATACAACCCTGAAAGAGGAACCGTCGACTTCAGGCACTACGTTATCACTGTAAAACCATACGGCGTTTCAAAGCGCGTCCGACGCGTGCTCGAAGGCGCCCCCAAAAAATCGTCAGCCAATTCCTCCAGTGGGTTCTTGGACCTTGGAAACGAAAAAGATGTCGCGGACTTCTTGCTTAGAAAAAGAGGGGAGCCTGGCCCAGGGAGCGATGGGTATGAGTCTGCAGCATCATCAGCTTCGAGCGCTGCTGGCGATGACGGGGATGCGGTGTCATTGGCGGATGATTACGTTGGGCGGAATAACAAGAAGGGGCAAAAGAAGGCTGTCCGACTGAGTGAAGTTGGCCCGAGGATGGAGCTTAGGCTCATTAAAATTTCTGAAGGCGTTCCAGGGAAGGAGGGCGCTGTGCTGTATCATGAATTTGGTGCGTCGCAAATCAATCATATGATAATGCAAGGGTAAACTGATTGTTTTTTTATCGTGTAGTCAAAAAATCAAAAGCCGAAGCTGCTGCACTCAAAGCTTCTCATGTCGCCAAGGAGAAATTGCGAAAGCAAAGAAGGGAGGAACAAGAAAGTAACGTGCAACGGAAGAAAACAGAAAAAGAACAAGGATCGCGAAAGAACCCAGAGGATTCTGATGAGGAAGCTGGTGATGCTGAGGATGACGAATCTGACCAGGAGGCTCATGGTGAATGGGATGAAGACGAGGAGATAAGTGAAGTAGGTGGCAGCGATGACGAACACAGCGAAGAAGTGGGGAGCGATGAGGAGAAAAGTGAGGATGAGCCCGAAGAGAGGCCGCCTACCAAAAAGGTTCGAATACGAGGGAAACGATGAACTATGGAGTATGTTTCTCATACTGGAGCATGATTCAACCCTGAGCAGAGGATACAATATGTATGGAGATAGGACAACAAAATTTCGTCCTCTTCTGCTCGCGATGGAGCGATCTGGTGATACGATCGCAATTGGCTTAAGAAATGTTCAGACCCTCAAGAACGTCTTGCGTAGCGAGAACATTGTATTCAGAACACAGTATCGAGTTGCGCATACATGAAAATGAATGGAAACAATATATATCAATAAATTTAATCAACGTAGATTACAGAAATGAGTTCATAATCAAAATAAGTAGACCGTACCAACAAAGGAGACAATGAATTGAAGACAATTTGTAGTTTGTACAGTGGAGGAAACAAGATCTAGTCTGTTGGATAGTATACTAGGATGTGCGGCACTTGAACTGCGGGCGGCGGCCTTCAACTTCTTTGGAATAACTCCAGGTCGTAGGGGACAATGAAGGAGGTCGTTGTGTCGTTTGACGCGTCATCGAGATATGGTCGTAGGGGACCTCTGACTCATCGAAGAGCTGATCTGTTGGCGCGCAGTATGTGCAGGGCCTTCAACCTCGTGGATAATGTGACTCCAAGTCGTAGGGGACAGCGAGGGAGGCCACTAGGTGTTGGGTCGTAGGGGACCTGACACCAGATGCGTTGTGAACGATGCGTCATTTATTTTCTAACATCATAATATCAGTAAGAGAGGTAGTAAGAGTATAAGTAGGCTACTCACTATTCGCAGACGTCCAGCAGCTGGTAGCATGTCGATACTGTGGTCGCTCTAGGGTGTATTGCGGCTGACGTTTTAGCGACTGTGAGGAGTTATCATCAAGAATAGGAGGTTCCATATTTCGAAGTATGGTGTCGATAGCATCGTCGTGTAGGGTGTGTCGTGGTTGAAATTCCGAGGATCGATAATTTCGATGTTTCGGAGTAGAGTGTTAGTGGAATTGCGGCGCAAGTGCCAGTGACTGGAACGGTCGTCAGAGTTATCATGTAACATGGGTTCCGATGATTGAGAGGCATTGTCGTGAGTATGAGCGTCTGATTTGTGCAGTAGAGCGTCGACTTGAATAGCGTGGTTATTATCGAGAGTAAGCGCTTCTGAATTGTGCAGTAGAGCGTCGATAGCGTGGTTGCCGTCGAGAGAAAGTGCGTTGATAGCGGGAGTCTTGTCAAGAGTAAGAGCCTCTGAATTTTGCAATATAGCGTCGATAGTGTAGTCGTCGTCAAGAGTAAGAGCTTCTGAGTTTTGCAGTAGAGCGTCGATAGCGTTGTCGTCGTCAAGAGCAAGAGCTTCTGAATTTTGCAATAGAGCGTCGATAGCGTGGTCGTGCAGATGTGACTGATGTTTCTGAGAGGAAACATTGTCGAGAGAAAGAGCTACCATTTTTGAAACTAGGTCGTCGATAGTGTGGTCGTGTACTACGGCGCGTCGAGGCTGACATTTCGATGATTGGGGGGGATTCTTGTCGAGATCTAGCCAAAGAGTTAAGAAATGCGAGGGTACATGGTCCACAGAAAGAGTCGAAAGATGAGAGGGTACATTGTCGAGGGATACATTGTCGAGAGAAATAGTTGGGAAATGAGAGGGTACATCGTCGAAGGATACATTGTCGAGAGAGAGAATTGGAGTGAAGTGAGAGAGTACATGATCTAGAGAAAGAGTCGAGAAATGAGAGGGTGCATCGTCGAAGGATACATTGTCGAGAGAGAAAGTCGAAGTGAAGTGAGAGGATACATGGTCTAGAGAAAGAGTTGAGAAATTAGAGGGTACATCGTCGAAAGATACGTTGTTGAGAGAGAGAATTGGAGCGAAGTGGGAGGGTACATGGTCTGGAGAAAGAGTTGAAAGATGAGAAGGTACATCGTCAAAGGATACATTGTCGAGAGAAGGAGACAGACAAGAAGGTATATCGGCGAGAGACATAGTTGAAATATGAGACGGTACATCGTCGAGAGAAAGAGCTGCCGTGCTTCTTATTAGATTGTCGATAGTATGAGAGTCGCATTGAGAGGGTACATCTGCGAGAGAGATAGTTGAAATGTGAGAGGGTACATTGTCGAGAGAAATGGTTGAAACGTGAGAGGATACATTGTCGAGAGAGTATGATGAAATATGAGAGGGCACATCGTCGAGCGAAAGAGCTGCCATTCTTCGGATTAGATTGTTGATAGTGTGAGAGTCAGATGCGGCGTGCAAGATGTGTTCCCGTTCGTCGTCCGCAAGGCGCTGTGTTGTAGCCTGACAGTCGTCCTATAGATTCAAACATTAGTTGATAAAATTCAGAGAGAAAGTCTCGCCATTTCTTACCTCGTAGAAAGTGCTTTCGTCAGCAAGCGACCCAAGGTCTGTGGCGTCTAGGACGAGGTCGTCGTCGAAGACATTCTTGTCCAAGTCCTCATCGCAGGCTATGAGGGTCGTGTCAGAATCAATTGTCGATAAGCCTCCGGCGGGGCCGTCAAAAGCGGGCTCAGTTGATTCAGTCATTGCACGCGACGAAGATGCTCCAAAAGCCTTGGTTGTTGAGGTAGAATCCACAATGCTGTCGCCAGCTAAAGGTGCGTGGAGCTCGGCGGTATCATTGACGTCCTTATGAGCAGGGACGTACGGGCGATCGTCGCTGAGGAATTGCTGCGCAGCTTTAGCGGTGGCTAGAAGAAGGACAGCTGTCGAGGAGCGGACAGTGGATGTAACAAGGCCAATGGAGACCTTCTCTGATCTGGACACGACCTGAATAGTGCGGTCGACGACGATTTCTTTGAAGAAAACGGCTGTAAGATAGCCTTGGAGAGCAACACGGGCGGCATGGGTCAAAGTAGTAGTAGAGATCATATTGGCGAATGAATGGAAATATGCTGGCGGGCGTGAAATGATGAGAATGGCGGAACTGACTGAGGGATATCAGTGCGACGACAAACAGGGGGTATTTATACGCCAGGTTTGAACCTTATTTGCACAATATTTGCATACCAATAAACAGAGTCGATCGCGACGCGACGTCAGTCACGTGTTTGAAAAATCAACATATATAAGTTCGGTGACTGGACGATGAATGTCAGAAATATCCCCCCCTATAGGATTTAATTACATACCAAAGGCAAGGTCGACTTGATTTAAATTAGCCTTGGTCCTTCGTCAAGGGTAAGCTGGATCGATACACGACAACTGAGAATAGGCGTGATGTATCGTTCCACAAACCATATGCATGGCTGTAAGTCCTAGATATATTCACGATTAGTCAACCACGAGAGGGATATAAATTATGTATGGGGCTTGGAGAAGTGAATATACAGTTACGGAGACTACTCATGACTGAGATGGGGTGTTGCTACTACGAACACTTCCAAACCAATCCTGCCAAATATTCTCGGCTCTCATTTTCACCCCTTCCCAATTGTCTAAGGCAGGCCGGACATCAAGATAGAAAGAGACATTATTTGACGAGGGCCCTGCCCCCCGTCCGGTATAGAAGTCGATCACGTATCTGATCCGGGTTCCACATCGTTCGACCACCCAGTCGTGACGATCGAAGGGAGCAGAGTACCTACGAAATAAATATCAGCGTTCCCCGGGCGAGCCGTAGGCTGAAGCACGTACCCGAGCAAGGTCATTAATCGAGCTTTTGGGGTCATATCATTAGGTCTGCCCTTGAAGGTTACAAGCTTTACTCCCCCACACTTTTCACCACCTCTCCCAGATTCCCATTTCATCAGTTCTGACCAAGCGCGTTCATTTACGGCGTTGTGAATAGGAATAATGGTCTTCATATCTGGGGCATGCGGATCGTGATTCTTGCGTGCCATGGCAGCAAAGAACTGAGCTTCCGACGGGTATACCCAATTACCGTTGTCTACTCGCGGTATCGAAGACACCTCGCGCTCGGTCGAGAGCGAAGATGGTGTGACCGGATGTCTAGAATTGCTCCCTGGAAAAACAGAGGCCCATGTCGTACGAGATTTGTGGTCGACAGGACAGGTCTGGTTAGAAGAATGACTACCGTGGTCGACCGGACATTTGTCTGCCATGGCAAAAGTAAAGATAGTCTTGATGAGTCATCAAATCATGGGTCGATTTTTGCACGTGATTGGGCTAAATGCAGCCCGGCCAATTGTGGGCGGCCGCTAGTCTTGCTACGTGCAACTTTACTCAAATGGCTACAACGTGGAAGAGCTAGCGCTCTCGCGCCCTCGGCTCTTATCTTCCATCATGCCGTCCTCGCAGCCAGTATTCTCGACGCCTCTGACGCGCCTCTTCAAGATTAATCATCCCGTCATGCTTGCAGGTGACTCTACTGTCGTATAGTTCTCATACCGACATTCATGCGTGTGCAGGCATGAACGTTGCCGCAGGGCCTAAATTGGCTGCAGCAGTGACCAATTCTGGCGGAATTGGTGTCATTGGCGGTGTCCGTCAGAGCCCCAAGATGCTTCAGGAATCTATCAATGAACTCAAGAGCTATTTGGAGGATAAGTCCGCACCATTCGGCGTAGACCTCTTGCTTCCTCAAGTGGGTGGTAGTGCTCGGAAGACAAATGTAAGCACTCCTTTTTCTACCCAAAGACATGTCTAACACCGATCTCTAGTATGATTATACGGACGGTCAACTTGATGCGCTTTTGGACATCATTATAACCAACGGGGCTGCACTTTTCGTTTCTGCCGTCGGAGTGCCGCCAAAAGAAGCTGTTGACAAGCTTCATGCTGCTGGAATTCCGGTCATGAAGTATGTATCTGTGTCGCACTTGGAAGTTGCAATCGACTAAATCCACCCTTAGTATGATCGGTCATCCAAAGGTAATACGCTTCCTTACGAGATGTACCCTGCATGTATCTAAATCGATGTCATTAGCATGCCAAGAAAGCCCTCGAGCAAGGTATGATGCCCACTTAGTTTCACTCCTGCTCGCTCACCGTTTCCAACATCCTTCTAGGTGTTGATATCATCTGTGCACAAGGTGGTGAAGGAGGTGGCCACACTGGCGAAACTCCATTCTCCATTCTGATACCCACCACTGTTGATATTTGCAAGAACGCCAAAAGCCCCTTGACAGGTGAGCCGGTCATCGTCGTTGCTGCCGGAGGTATCGCGGACGGTCGTGGTCTTGCTGCCGCACTTTCGTACGTACTTCCCACGCCTACGCTTCCTCGTTAGTGACATTTTTTGGACCAAGGTATGGTGCATCCGGTGTCTGGGTCGGCACCCGCTTTGTAGCTAGTACCGAAGCAGGTGCTCCTCCAAGACACAAGGAACTAGTTGTCTCAGCTGGTTATGACGACATCGTCCGCACCCTCATATACACTGGTCGTCCGTTGAATGTGCGGAAGACTCCTTATGTTGCAGAATGGGAGACCCAGCGACAAGGGGAAATTTCAAAGCTCGTTGAACAGGGCCATGTCCCGCACGATGTCGAACTAGAGAATCATCCCGAGAAATCTCTAGAGGGCCGAATGTGTAAGGAATGCTCGTTTGGTTTGATTTGCTCTGTCTCACATGTTCATATATGTAGGGTTGATGGGCAAGGTAGCAGGATCCATCAATGTGCGTCAAACGATCATATTAAAACGCAATCACTAATAGATATCACAGGACATCAAGCCAGCAAAGGAGATGTATGGTGGCCTGTTTCCACTTTGAACTCTACTGACATCTTTACCTAGCGTCGATGAGCTGGTTGCAACAGCAGCTGCGCACTTGAAAACAGCTTCGGCTCATATGATAGGCAAAGCGAAGTTATGAGCGACAATTTCCCTGAACTCTGGTAGTAGCAGAGATTACCGTCTCACAAGAATATGTTATTGTATCTTTATTGCAGCTGTATATACCGCTGTAGGATCTTCATTTCATACTTCGAACACAAATTTGATTGCGAGGATGCTAGGATATCAGTCCACAAGAAAGTCCTTGAATTGTACATGGTTGCACAGCTGCAACTTGAATCTATGGCCGTGTCATTTTCATCAGTTCTGATCTTCCACGAGGCTCTTCGTTGCCTTCAAATCCGCCTTCACCATCTCTATCACGAGGGAATCGAAGTCGACCTTGCGCTTCCATCCAAGGACACGCTCGGCTTTGGCAGGGTTACCGAGAAGAAGACTGCATATAAGCATCAGAATCTGCAAGAAGATACGTGATGAAGAAAACGTACTCGACTTCTGCAGGACGGAAGTACTGTGGGTCGACTTTGACTACCACTCGTCCGGTCTGAGCATCGTAGCCCTCTTCTTCCACACCGGAATTGCGCCACCTATGTGACATCATAGACACATTAGACATGATGTACGTCAGGACAGGTTACGTACATGATCGTAACCCCGACAACCGCAAAGGCTTTCTCAACGAACTCCCGCACAGGGTGAGTCTCTCCGGTGGCAAGAACGAAATCATCGGGTGTAGGCTGCTGAAGCATGCGCCACATGCCCTCGACGTAGTCTTTAGCTGTGAGGACATGGTTCACTCGAGGCGATGGAACTCGACAGGCGAAATCTTACCATGTCCCCAATCTCTCTGCGCATCAATGTTACCAAGGTACAAACAGTGTTGCTTGCCGACACTGATATCTGCAACTGCCCTGGAGATCTTCCTCGTGACGAATGTTCTCCCTCTCCTCGGGCTCTCGTGATTGAAAAGGATACCGTTGCACGCATACATGCCGTACGCCTCGCGGTAGTTCACCGTGATCCAGTATGCGTATAACTTGGCGACACCGTACGGGCTACGAGGGTAGAATGGCGTGGTCTCGCTCTGTGGGGTCTCGACGACCTTTCCATAGAGTTCTGAGGTCGAGGCCTGGTAGAACCGCGTGTGCTTTTCGAGGCCGACGGTACGGATGGCGTCGAGAAGGCGGAGTGTGCCGAGGCCATCGACATCGGCAGTGTATTCCGACATCTCGAAGGACACTTTGACGTGGGATTGAGCGCCAAGGTTGTAGATCTCTGTGGGGAGAACCTGGGCGAGGATGTAGACAAGGTTGGTGCTATCGGAGAGATCACCGTAGTGCAGCTTGAATTTGTTGGGTCCTGGGGGGAGAGTGATTAATGTGAAAGTCGTAGGATCTTATTTGAACACGCACGCTCATGTTGATCTGCATAGAGAGAATCTAGACGACCGGTGTTGAAGCTGGACGAGCGACGGATTATACCATGCACTTCATATCCCTTCTCCAACAGAAGCTCTGCGCTGTATGAGGTGGAGAATGGATATGTAACTAGCGACTGGTTATACGAGAAAGATACTCACAGATATGAACCATCTTGACCAGTTATTCCTATACAATTTCAAATCAGCATACATACGACATGACGACAAGCCAGCAAGTGAATGTGTAGTAAGACACGATCGCTTATGATATTTACTGCGCATCAACCGAACCACATTGGAGAGGCGACAGGAAAGCTGAAGATGAAGATATAACTAACCAGAGACCAGGGCAACTTTCCTCTTCCTGAACTCCTCAGGAGATGGAAGATCGATTTTCATCAACGGGGCACGAGCGTCAGAGGGCATTTCGATTTGAAGTATTGGCGGTTGTGGAAATGGATTTAAATAGACAGACTAGTTACATAAGATTCAGAACTGTAGCGCCAGCACCCGTTACCATTCTTCTCGGCCAATCCCCGATACCCACGTTAGCAGAGCAGAACACAATTTTATTATGTGTCGAATGAATTACCACTCTTGCTTTATCTTGTACCTTCGTACCATGCGCCATTCAGCACCTCTTATCTTCCGGAGTCGTTACCTAACCATTCTCGTTCGATGGCCTTCTGCACTGTCTGTCATTCACTGTCCTCCCTTGGACTCCTGCTATCGCATCTGCCGCACGTAATTTGGATTGCGGACAGTCCAAACGCGCCCCTTGAACAAGCGCATATCAGGACGTTGATATCGAAATCAGCGAAAGATAACTCTTGCCTATCCTTGCAATAGTAGCCAATGCCTCAGAACATGTTTGTTCAAACTATCAAGCGCTCTTTTCTTTGTGTTGACACAATGCGTGGCCAATCAGACGCATATTGAGCCTTTTCCTTCTCTATTGCAATGTCTTCGTTCTGCTGACGAACGCGCAATTGTTTTGCGCAACGAACTCAGAACACGGATTTGCAAATTGGCGACCTCTTGGCTCGTGTCAGGAGAAACATGCGAATTGAACTATGGGTCCTGATATCGTTATCCTCAACGCCTCTCTCAAAGCGCAACTCATCGTTGATGTGAGAGCATCCTGCATGAGAAGCAGCCGCATACAAAGTGCATTTACCCCCCTCGATACGTGGTCAACAATCCTATCCTTCGTACCTACAAAACACAAACCGTGCCAGGACGCTATAGCTTCCAAAGAAGGCTTTGATATATGCTCTGCCCTAGAAAACAATGACTGAAATGATTTGGACACACTCTCATATACACCTCGGCTACGAAGGAAATTCAGAATACTGATAGCTTTTTGCCTGGGATGTGCTTCTTGATCACGAGTGCACATCCAAATCGCTACAAATACTTTGCGCAATGAACCAGAGGTCACCACCTGATATTCAGGTTTCGCCAATGCGAAATTGATTGAAAGCTGGCAATCTAAATGAATATCTACATAAGTAGAGCGGGAAAATGACTCACAAGCTGTCGATCTGCACAGCGGCTTGTCACCCCAAACGTTCAACCCATTTCTGCAGTTCGGGCCACTTGTGATCGATTAGGATGATAGTCCTGTGATTCGGGTGAGCGTTCTGTGGTTACGAAGAAGAGAATTGTCTGATGTCGATGCATGCAGATAGATTACGATTCGAGGGTCATAATCAAAGGGACACTTCTGAAATTTCTGCAATCTGACAACGACTCTTCCAAATCGAACACTGGCAGAATCACCATCATTACCTGTCTTGCTCTCGGCGAAGATCTGTGTAACGGGGAGGACTGTGTGGGGAACCAAGGCCAGACCTCTATGGCGGGAGGCTACGGCTCTCTGTATGCAGGACCGACTACGAGCCAGGACTCCTGCCAGAGCGCCAGGACCCCTGCCACTCCCGACCTGCCTTGCCAGAGCGCCCCGCTCCATCGGGAGTAGCATTCTTGCAGTGGCGGATAATATGGCTAGGCAGATTATTGTCACGACCTTGTATCTTGGCGGAGAACTGAGGAGTTCTACCCCGGCAATAACTAGTAACCCTGAGTTCTGCCCACAACCGTATCCATGCATGATATAAAAGCTGGCTGTTGTCCTATAGTAGTCCCCCTTAGTGATATCATTCGAAATCCCCCTCAGAAACTTACCTCGCACAGAAAATGCGTTTCTACCTCACCAACGTTGTTGTTGCTTTGACAGCATCTATGGTTGTCAGTGCATGTTCGAAACTGTATGGACCTTGCATATTAAACCCCGATTGTTGCCCTGGCTTGGGTTGCACCTATCATCAGGTGAGTATGTGCGGCACTGGGTCATTGTACAACTCCAGGACTCAATTGCAATATTTGTTGACTCGCTCAGTGCTTTCCTACGGGCAACGACAAATTGTAGCCTATTGAGAATCAAGGAGATAGTAAGCCATGTTTCTGCTTTCGCTTTGGTATTACTTATGTTTGACGGTGCAAGTTCGCCGACACCGATCGGAGTTAGAACATGTTTTTAATTTTGGTCTCGTGGTCTCGTGCCGTCTTATCATAGCTAGCAAGGACACATAATACTCACCCTGATATGCGTCAATTCAAATCACTTCCAGTGTCCCACACCCATGATAAACACACTGAACGTTGTAGGAATCACAGTCGTCGCAACTCTTGCTGCCGTTTGTTACGGCAAAAGTACTTCTCCACGCGGCTTTTGGAAGTTCTTGAGGCAGAAAGCCGCCCTCGTGGCTGGCAGAGGACTACCTGACTTTGCTCAGTTGACAGGTTTCCCCCATCCAAAGCCAGTATACGGCTTTAACATAGCTCACGCTCGTCCTCGTCCATACCGGCCTTTCAGATGGAAATATCATCAGAACATGTGTATGCGGGCTGCATCACCGTTAATATACTTCGCTTATCTGTCTTCTAGCCCTCAAGAATCTGGAACCAGACTATTGGCTGGAACTGGAGAGTACATATTGCGATCGCATTACGCAACGGCGGCAAATCCATGCCCTCCATGGCAAATGTGTCATAGATGAGCTGCCTGGTAGCCAAGCAGCTTCAAAGGAGTTGATGGAAATGGTCATTCAGTACCTCTGCCTCAGGTACCCTCAACAGTTTGAGTTTGACGAGTGGACTTCGACGTTCCGCAACCACATCCTCGGTTCGACGGCCAACATTTCAACGATCCATCCACTGGTTTTCTTACTCGAGAACGTCCCAGAGGACTTTCTCATCACCCAGGAAGACCCTGATACGGGACTCTACACCTTACGAGCTGCCGTCTCGACATCAGCAGTTGGCTGGAATATCGGTCAAAAGATAGGCAAACCACTGCACGAAATTCATGGCCCAGTCCCAGATTATAAGGAGAAGATGGCGTTCTCAATGGACAGGCAAGTAATGTGATAAATTTGTCAGGCTCACTTATAAGATCGGCGCAATGGATTTACAGGTACTTTTCCAAGATGCCTTGTAACAAGCCCATCCAGCGAGGATCCTGGGGCCTCGAAATCGGGAAGCCTCTCTATCTTCAGACGGATGAACCAGAGTGGACTCATCGTCAACATCAGAATCCGGACCTTCCTCTTTCCGACATTCACATGCGAGTTGATTGGCAAACATTACGCCGCCTGCCAAAATCCCGCGCTATCGTGTTTAACTTCAAGGCCTTATTCACGCCGGTGACGGATTTCCGTGAAGAACCATTTATCCCGAAGTTACTTTTGAAGATTTTGCTTGAAGGAAAAAAGCCAATCATGGAGTATAAAGGAACATGGTCTATCGAACACAAGGTTATACCTGCATTACGAGAGTGGGCAAAGGAGCAAGAGGATAAGGGATGGGTCCCAAAAGATTGGCAAGAGAGGACATTGAATGAGGACCCCTTTTATCCTGGATGGGAGCAGCAACGTTACCCAATTCCTACTTAACAGCTGCAGATCATCCTCAAGTATGTATCTCAGTCTTCCATGAGTTCTGCGAGTTCTCTCTCTTCCTCTTCCGTGATCTCAACCTGATCTTTAGCATCACCACTGGGTTGGGGAGTGGGAGCAATAACCGTAGCTTTCGACTGTCCAGCAGGGTTGTCTGGCTTCGAATCATGGAGTTCTGTAGAGATTATTTGGATGTATCTCGATACCCACCATATAAACTTACCACTAAATCGCCATCTACGAATAGTACCATCCAGACTGGTACTGATTATCCAAGGCTCAATGCGTGTTCTTCCGTCGTCTGTGCGACTTTTCTGAATCCATAATCTCAGCGCAGTGACATCGTGCCAATGCGCGTCGATTTCCCCTAAAACCTCAGGTTCGGATGGTGTCGAGACATCATACAAGCGGATAACATCCCCATATCCAGTCACGATGTACGGCTCTTCAAGGTCTGAGAGTCCCAGTGGAAGAATGGCTCGCACAGGTAAAGGGTGCGTAAGGGGTGGAATGGGTTTCTGGTCCGAGGATCCTGGTTGGTAAGGAACGACTTGTACTGTTTCATCCGATGACGCTGTAGCAAGGAGTGAGCTGAACAATGGCGTGACATGGTGAGCGATTGTTATTACCTGTCCAGATGTAACCTGCATCATAAATGATTTCAGTAATGCGTGTTCGATGATGGTTAAGAGTGTCTTGAAGAGTGCTTCGCCACCTCGGCCGCGGCCCGCCTTCTCTTTCTAGCTTCCACACCTTCAATACTCCCATAGTGTCAGCGGTGAAGAGCGTCACGGAGCTATCGGCATTGGCAATTCCAGCGATGCATTCTACCGGGCGACTATGAGCCGACACTGACCCAGCAGGCTGCGGAGGCTTCTCGAGGACGTCAGCTAGATCCCTAAGCGCAGATATTAGGACTGGTAGTATGATAGAAGTCCGTTCTTACCAAAATTTGACAATCTTATCGGAGCTACTGCTGACCAAGAGCTTCACAGATGGCACGACGAGTAGAGTTTTGACAAAATCATCGTGAGCAGCCGTCGTTGAGATAAGGCCTTTTGTCTGCAAGAGACGACCTGCGTTTAGTTTCTGCCAAGGACATAAAATGCTTCGGGTACATGCATTAGTATCCCATATTTTAATAGTCTAGCGGAGCGACTCCGTTAGCATCACTTGAGCAACTGTGTATACTATCCCTTGCCTTGTCCCAAGACCCAGTTATCAGAAGCTTTTCGTCACCCGAATTCGGGACTCTATCATAAAACGCGAGACAGGTCACCGGCGCGTGGTGACCTCTATATATCTGTAAAGTCTTTCCCGTCTACAAAACGCGTCGTGATCAGGTTCGAGCGACACAAATCATCATCAAAACGTACCTCCAGATCGATTTTCTTAGCTACATGCGCACTCTCAGCAATCCATGCATAGTTGCCACGAATTTGAATGTCGATCGCGTTGCCGGTGAGCTGAATCGGAGATCCAAGAGATTTCGTTCTCTCCGCCTTTTGTCTGCGAGCCTACCATCGATCTGAGCGACGAACAGCTTAAAGCGATGTGAAGGACAAACTTCTGTCAGTTCGAGTTCAGCTGCTGATCTCAACAGATATGAGTGATCCGCGGTGATTTTAGACATCGTCGATATCGGTAAATGCAAGCCATTTGCGTCGAGAGTGGAAATGACTTTGTTTGGTAAAGGCTTCTGAAATAAACAGCATCCGTCTTGGGCTGCATTCATGAGCAAGCGCCTAGCGTCATTTCATGGCCCTTCTACGCCAACATCATCTCCCGTATCACAAGTAAAGAAATCAGTCACGCCAGCGTCGCCATCCAGGGCTTCTGATGCATCTATTCATCGAAAATTCAAAACATTGCTCCACGAGTTGCGCTCGATCGCAAATACATGGGATGACATCGTCCTCGTCGACGGCTTGAAAAATGCGCGAACTCTAGTCGATTCCCGCACCGAATTGGAGTGTGTGCTTCATCTCTCGTCCTTGAGCGGTTGGTAATCATGAAGTTCTTCAGCAATGCACTTGCCATGGTTCCTGCCGATACGCAGCCTAGGTCGGTCATGGTTGCCCCGAAGCTCGACGTGATGGATGAATGTATCATTCAACTCGACTCTGTTCTCACGAAGCTTGTAAGATGGTACTTGTCTTGTGATTGAATAATAACGAACATCTGTCAGTCGAAGCTATTACGGAGAATGAGCAGTGTACTCGATAACATGGAGGCTCTGATGTTTGAAGCAGAGAGGTTAAAGGGCTTTCAATGGTGCCACGAGGAACCTCTGTGGGTTTCATGGTCCATCGAGAAATTTGGTAGGCTAAGATTACTCTTGTCGTGACTTTTCTGACGGGTTTGCAGTGCTGTCTTTGTCTGAGCTGACAACTCCGTATTATCGGTCTCTCGCACTTCATAAGGAACTAGTTGACACCTTGCGCAGTCATACAGTGTCATTCGAAGACTCTCGGAAGGCTATCAACCAATGGGTTGAGCAGCCTTTCCTAAGTGATGACAGTTGGGACGCAAAATGGGAGGACCTTTGTGAAGCAGAGGTTGAAAAATGGGACACAAGATGATATACAGACAACTAGAGAAAGTAACAACACTTCCAATATAATGTAACAATAGCATATCATTTATGAGTCTTCTTCGTCGTCGTCGGATATATGGATCTCATCAGCGTTATCGGCCTGTTGTGGTGGCAAGTCTGGCGTAGACGAAGCTTGATCCTCATCTACCCTTGGAAGAGCTGTCTTTTTGGCTGCAACGAATGCAGGACCTTTTACTTGCTGCTCTGCAGCAGCCATCGGGTCTGCTGGCTGAGCAGTGGATGGTTGCTCTGAGGTACCATTTTGTTGCGCCGACAACGTCTGGGCAGCGAGATATGATGCTTCTGTATTGAACTGGGCCTGGACACTCCGCTTGATACGAAGCATTTCTCGGAATGTATCTTCCGAACCCGTCTCGATTTCGAAACTGTTCCACTCCTGCCAAAACTTGGGATTGACGCGTGGGTCGCAAAATTGGGAAGCATGTGCATAAATAGCGCGAGCCCGATCGATTTCGCCGAGTTTGCGTTCCAATGCTGCGAAACGTAGACACATTTCAGCAGTTTGCTTGTCAGGAAGAACCTCGAGTGCGCGCTCGAAGATTGAGCGGGTGGCTGGTAGACCGTAATTGGCTGTGGCTTTCGCGATGTATATAGTGTACATCTATTATCATGATGTCAACGATGGTTCTTATGGAATGCAACTAGGTACGTACCTCAAATTTGTTCTCATCGGCGACAACCTGAGTTGCACGCTCATAGATAGACATGGCCCGCTTTGCTAGACCATAATCCTCTTCCAGTTGACCATACATCAGGAACAGAGGCTTGCACGACTTCGGTGGACATTTTTCTAGTGCTTGTTCAAACAGGTCACGAGCTCGCTCCAACTTAGATCCTCCCTGAAAGGTATGAACAAGACGGAACAGGTAACAGTTAAGCACAAGAACACGTACATATCGCTTCACGAACTTCGACAAATAAATATTCCATATTTCAAAGGATATGGGGAAAGTGAAGACCTCTGTGCCGCGCTCGTACACCTGGTTGTAAACATGTTGGAAAATTAGCCGAAAAGACGGTGATCAGATGAGATGCACCTTGAAGCTGTCCTCCCAATATTGATTTTCTTCAAGGAAGGCAGCATAATTGACGATAACCTGAGCGTTGGCAATCTTCAGATCCATAATTTTGTCATAGACAGCCTTTGCCGATTCAACGGTCCCTATTGACTCCTCAAGGTCAACGTAGAATGACCAGAGCTTCAAGGATTTGAATAATCTGGCTTGGACGGGTAGTGACTGTCGGAAGTCAGCAAATTTGGAAAGTAGTCCGCTGAAACGGGCTCACATGGTCGTGATAATTGATCTTGGTGTTTTTAGGGATTGCAGCAGCACGTTGCATGACTCTGACGGCCTCGTCATAGTTTCTGTGAGTAGACAGTTAGTAGTTCAGGTTAAAACTTGAATGGTGTTCCTCACTCGTGTCGAAGCTCCATCTCTGACCATTCGCACCAAATGTCCGCGAGGTCCTCGACCGCCTTGAAATTTATTTTGGTGGCTTTTTCCAAAATTTTACGGGCACTGTCCAAGTCAGGCTCTGCCGAACCTGAGGCTCCACCTTCCTCGTAGAACTTGGCGAAGTTAACGTAAAGTCTATGAAGGTTGGCAGTAGCCTTGCGGGGATTGATAGTTTCCAGTGCTTTGGTGTACGTATCGGCCACCTGAGTACGCATCAGATGAGCCAATTTCAGCCTTTAAACCAATACTTACCTTTTCATCGTCTTCACCCCAAAGAGCAACTCTTTTTTCCCATTCCTGGACGTCGTTTGGGTTTCTTCGGAGCAAAACGTCGTTGACTAAAAATGGTCTTCTGTCGATAAGAGCCTCGAACTCCTTCATCTTGATGTCCATCTCCCGTTCAGTTTCCTTCGTGTCTTCATCGTCGTCATCTTCTTCTGGACTCTCGAGACTTTCCATCATTGCATTAATTAACGACTCGCAAAATTCTGCATACGCGTCAAAAATCTGCGTGAAGTCCCTGATCGTCAATACTGTTGCGATACCCGCTTCAAAGGTGCTTATCGCCCGATCAAACTCGCCACGTTTGATCCAATATGTCGCGAGCCCAGTCCAGAGACGGCCAGCTTGATCTTTATAAACTTCAAGGCCATCCTTGTGAACGATGTGTTCTATGTTGAGCTTCCGTGAACTAAGAGGATCTTCATCTTCATCGTATGCTCCACCAGCTCCAACCGGAACAGGGGGACCATCCATACGTACGAGCTGCCCATCCGTTTGCAAAGATTCCGCGTCAGCTTTCGCGTTTTCTTTGTTGGACTCAATTGTGGCATCCACGTCAAGCCCAACTTCATCAGAGAATCGCTCGACAATATCAAGGAAATCTCCTAAAAGCTGATATGAGCTCTTTCCTTCGGGACTGACGTACTCCCCTCGCGATGCTTTTCTTGCCAGTGAGAGCAAGAGCTTCGCAGCTTCGAGGGGTCGTGGCACAGAGTCTATAGGAGAGAGTAGGATGGAGGTGTAGTGTTCGGTAACACTTGGATCGACAGCAAGGTAACGCCGGTAGACAGACACTGTGGTAGATCCACCCTTCGTCTCAGCCCAGAGTAAATACCGAACCCATATTCGCGCATGTAGTGAAGGCGGCAGAGTACGCAAAGCTCGGTCAAATGTCCGACGAGCATGCGTGTGTGAGATGACAGGTGGGCACATAGGGTGGAAAAAGATAGATGTGTACATTAGCCATAATCTGGGTAGCTGAAATGATTCGGCAGTCAGCACAAACACGAGTTTCTGGCAAGAGAGCGTACTTTGGGCAACCACATCAGAGCCCTTTCATATGTAGCAATCAGCGATCTCCACTCCCCCCAACCTACGACTCCGTTAAGGCCACCCTCCCATGACTCTAGGTCCTCCTTCTCCTCCTCTAAAGCATCTTTCATTTCCGGTAATTTCTTCCTTCCGCCAGCCCTTTTCTTGACCACCTGTCTGCCGAGAACATAGGACATTCTCATCTGGAGGTAGGACTTCCATAGTTTGAACGAGCCAGGAAACTGAACGATAGCTGCTTCGTAGAGGTAAGTTAAACACTGCAACGAATGCCTAGCTAGTGGAGTCGCGACTGGACCGAGGAGTGTCGCGATTTCATCAGGCACGTTCGTGCGTTGCTCTGCCTTCAGCTGCGCGTTATAGGCTTCTTTCGTCGTATGTATTGCAGTCCACCATGCACGAAAAGAGGATGGGTTTCGGAGAAGGTCTTCCTCGCGCTGAACATCCTTGATTGCCAGCAAGTTTGAATTGGTTGTGGGTGTCGGTATTGGAAGTGTCACAGGAAATTGGGATGCCAGTAAGTCCACTGAAGTCGACTTCTCCGCAACCGAAGGCATTTTGAGATCCTGATAATTAAGTTTCGAACGAAAGCACAGCGCGTTGGTGCTTTTGGAAAGAGTATTTAATTATTTATTTTTCTCTAGATCTAGTAAATCTTGATAATCAAACAATTACAATCTGTCCACCCACTGCGACTGCGATGGTAAGAACCGCTTTCAGATGGTTCTGTATACATCTTGAATGAGCATAAAACAGCATAACGTCAAACGTATTAGACAGACTCCCGAGGCTCTTGCGGAAAAGAAACAACGAGAAAAGTCCAAGATCGACGAGTACCTCGCTTTAACAGACGACGTGCTATCTCGAGTACGAATTGCTCTTGCTTGTGTGCTGTCATCCTTCTGATTAAAATATTTGTAGAAGAAGAAACAGGAATGGAGCAATGACGCCTTTGAACTAACGCAACGTTTGCTCCAGATCAACCCTGAATTTTACACCGTGTGGAATTACCGTCGAAATATCCTACTCAACGGTATATTTCCTCAGAGGTGCGCATGCACGAACATGACGCGAAATTTCCTCAAAATTAGAGCTCTCGCAGTACTCCCGAGCAAATCAATGACATTCTCTCTAACGAGCTTTCATTGACCACTACAGCCTTGAAAGCAAATCCGAAAGTCTACTGGATATGGAATCATCGTCGCTGGTGTCTCGGGAATGTCCCAAACGGGCCTGAGCGCAATGAGATACCGTCTATGGAGTGGAGACAGGCGAATTGGGACAAGGAACTCTTTGTAGCAGAGAGGATGCTTGACGCAGATCCAAGGAACTGTCAGTCATCTCACCGCAGCATCCGCACATGTTTGACACCCACCCCCTCCAGTCCACGCTTGGAATTATCGCAGATACATCCTCGTAAACATGCCTACAAGAAAGCCTGAGATATCAGAGTTGGCTTACACTTCTCGCAAAATTGGAGCAAATTTCTCCAATTTTAGTGCATGGCATCAAAGGTCCAAGACCTTGATAGGACTCTGGGAAAGTGGTCAACTGGATCCTATCCAGTCAAGAGATGATGGTATGTGCCCCTCTTCGATCGGATTGACTTTTCCGAGCTTTTTTCTTTTTCTCTACCAGAGTTCGAGCTTGTAAGCAACGCATTATACACCGACCCGGATGATCAAAGCGCGTGGATATACCACAGATGGCTCATTGGTTCCGGTTCGACAACAGACTTTCTCATATGCAATTTAACATGGATTGACTTGGTGTGTTGAGCAGGGGAAAACAAAGCACAATTAGAACGCGAGATACAACTCATTTTCGAGTTGCTCCAAGAGCAACCTGATAGTAAATGCAAGCGGTTATGTTTGTTGATCTCACAACTATTTCATTCTTTTACAGGGTGCATGGAGTCATTGGTCCACTATAAGCGACTTTTACTTCAAAATCACTCCCCAGATTCCCAAACCCTGAAACAGGAGTGCATAGAGTTACTTTCTCGATTGGCAGACTTGGACCCTATTCGATACTTTAGATATCAAGATTTAAGTAAGTTCTCTGTACCGATATGTAACGAGGTGCTTATTGTTTTCAGAGAGGGACCTCGATCAGTAGTTCATTTTACTTGGTTTTCAGGTCAAACTATTTGTTGTTTGCGTTGTTCGATCGCGTTCCATCTCCATCTCCGCCTCCCAGCGTCTTCAATAAGTCATGACTGTATTGGATCCCTAAAGGCTTAGTCTAGCATTCGCTGGGTTTCCATACGCATTTCCTGTAAGTGAAACTCCCTCAAGGGACACGGTCTTGCGGTTCGCGATGACACATGTAGCAATCTGTGACAACACCCCAGTTCTCATCAATAGCGCCTTGGATACTTGCATTCATACTGTTGCCTAAGATTAATGATAGACTTTACCAGACTCTATTATCGTCAAGAGAGGCGCTTGACAGTGAGCGCGCCTATGATCTTTTTGGTGACAACGCTTACACTTGGCCACGTTGTCTTTAAATGATTATTGTTCTTAGACGCAGCGTCTCTTTCCATCTGTATATTTTGCCACAAATTTCGCAGTCTATCATCGTTGCGAATTCTTTCCAATGCCCTATTACGAACGTAATGCCAAGTTGTATCCCGCCAGACCTTTGAGACTCGCGACGGTAAGACTGTTCAAAGCAACTTTCTTTTGTGAGAAACTCGGGTTTAACAGACTACCCGTATTTGTTCTTCCTTGGTCTTGACATCGGAGGATGCATAATTTGGATGAGTTTTACTTGGGATGATCGACTCCAAGTCCGCAAGCCGATCTAATTCGTCTTGACTCGGCCAAGCATAAAAATACTAGGGGAAATATGCGTGGACTGTGTCGTTTCACTGCGGTGAAAAGGTTCGTTGGTATAGAGGAATTTGTTCCTGATCGTTCTGGTGTTGTGAGGCTGAATGATTGATAATCGCTTCTATCCCTATCCTCGTTCCACCAATTTTCTTTAAATCCGCAGTCGGCGGTGTGACACCCACCTTTTGCAGATCGGCACCCAGCCCTCTTGGTTTCTTTACATAAATATACACACACTGTACATGCGGACGCTTGGCATGCATCCTCTAAAACGTTTTGCTGCGTGGAGAGTCCGCATTAGCTACCAAGAGACGAAGTGATATATCCATGTAATAGATGTGATGCTAGGCTAAGGAGACACGACAAGTTCTTAACTAAAGTTTACTATTCTATTGACCGATATGCCATACAACCCGAAGCATCCAAACCTCGAATGGCCCATAACGATTATCACGTCCAGTCATAAGTAGCACTGTCAAAGACAGACATACAGCATGATGCTTATCAGCAACTTGTGCGGGCGAGCTGTTTATTATTATCGACCGGCCTGCAAGTAATATTGAGACAGGTCCAACAAGAGTGCTACTAGCTTACTTTCTGCCCACGACGCTGGTAACGTAGATCGTAAGGACTCCGTGTGCAAGGAAAGCCACACAACTCAAGATAGTTATGATGTTGACAACACTATTGTCAGACCAGAAGCAGGCGATAAAGATAGCTGCAAACGCCATACTCATAAGTAGATCTAAACAGATGTAGTGCCTCACTTACACACAAACAAAAAGCATGTAGCGATTGACAGACAGATCGAGGGGTATGCCAACCATAGCAGCAGCGCAATGACCTGGTGTCGTGGCATGTACTGTGCCGTGTGTCAAATCGTGAGTCAACGGAGACAAACGGACTCACTCTAAGGGTTTCCATGTCTTTGTGAGCGGTGCTAGTTTCATAGATAACAAGCACAGCAGATCCGGATATTACGCTGAGCAGTGCAGCGCCAAATGAAATCATGGCGAAAATGTACGAGATTGAAGAGTTATAAGCCATCAAGTGCTCGATAGGAGGTACGGACGAGAGGAATAGAGCAGTAGTTGCGAGTACGAGCCCGGCCTAAAGGTCAGTTATTGAACGCTAGCCATAAAGATCGAATCATATCAAAACATACAGTGACGTTTGTGTTCTGAAATCGATTGACCATGATCGAGACATGCTGCTTCCAGTCTTTATTCTTTGTATCTTTCCAATGGTCGAGAGACTCCCGAGAGACTGCAATAATGCACAAGATTTTGAATGCCAACTTCAGGATAGGATTATTGGGAGCTCGACAGCTCTCGGGGACTTGAGAGTTTTCAGACTCGGACATCATGGCAGGGATGATGGACTTCTAGGCGCTGGATGTGGGACCCGAGGCTGGTCCCGAGCTGCTTTTGAAAGCTGGCGCTCATAAAAGGGCAATACTATCTATAACGTGTATGCATAATGGATCACTACAGAGAAGCAGGGATCCGAATTGCGTGCAAAACACTCACATAACTCGTGTTGAGAAAGATTGTGGGAACGGAGATAGCCAGTGAAATTCAAATTCTGGTTTGAGCGTTTACTAACTTTACTTTGACACATTGCTTATAGAGTCCCTTCCTAAGAGAAGCGCTCGCCTGGGTGTTATGAAAGGCATCAAGTACTGGTGCGTGAACCGTGCCATGAGTCAAAGTCTTATAAGATTTTGCTTGCCAGCTGGTCACGAGTCACGACGAGCGCTTCATTGCCATCCGGACCCGAAAAAGGTGGTCTAAAAACTCTTAGAACCAGCACAGCAACGTTATCGTAGGCGTTTAGCTGCAGTCGGAGTTTCAACTGAAGAGAACTCATCGTGGATTCTGAGCACTGCAGTACAACTGCACTATATCTTTGCGAGTCACTCAGACTGATGACAGTCTGGTTTCAAAAGACGCCAAATGATATTACCGCTATTAACACGCCGTCCTCTACGACCTTGATGAGGACAGCCCTGAGCAATATGGGCGAAGGCACGCAGCGCCTCCCGGCCCCGAGTTGCGTGTTCTGCCCGAAAAAGGTGGGCTGCGGGGGTGAGAAGGAAAAGGAACCATCGCGAATCAAATTGACAGAAACGGGTGCAGTCCAGACCACTGGAGGAAGAGTACGACGTCATAGGCTCGCTCGTCACCGCCTCACTACTAGTAGCGGCAGCACTCGACAACACATGCACACGCGTTTATCTCGTGATCGTTGCGTCGACAATGGGAAACCCCAGATCTGCGCGCAGGTACACGCAGCAATCCAAATATTTTGTCATGCGATTGATAATTTGGAAAAAGACGCAAGTCTTCTATCAAAATACGAAGCATTTCACTAACGCTGCATTGGTTGTATCATAAACCCGAATTGAGCGCACGCTTATCACGATTAGACTATGTTTTCCAAGGTGCGTATCTAGGGTCTAAAAAGTGATGCTTGACGCCCAGGTTCTGATGCTCCAGGTCGAAAGTCGACCAGTGATCCGAGGTCGCTCATCGAGGACGAAATAATGCTCACCATCCCCCTTAGCTAATTTCTCTCCAGGCCACGCAGGACTCAAATAACCACCCATCACGTTGTCACTACTAGTGTTCTGGCATTGATTGTATCCGGAAATGATGGGTGAGAGCTTTACGGCACTACACGACCACTGGCGCAACCCCTTAACCACAAGGCAGGCGTAATGATCTAAGTTTGTTGCACACAGGAAGCTTGATCCCGTGCAGGACTAGTTTTGAAGCGTTCTGATCTCCGATATCGGTCGGAAAATACCATTACTCCTCAGTCACTGCATGATACAGTCCTTCAAGGGCCCAGTTCGAGTCTGCTTCCGATAGACAACTGGAACAAAAAACGTTCAAGTGCCACACATGTATTGCATAACGAATTTGGAAATATAATACTTTGATCGTAGCTTTGGATTGGGAGAGTCACGAGAAATATACGCAACTGAGGGTGGAATAGTTAAGTGTTTCTCAAACATGTCATAGGACCGGTCGTGGTATTTTTGGGTTGACATTATTGTTAGAAACGGCCAGTGAACGAGGTCTTGGTGACAGGAGCATGAGCAAGCAAGTGATCGTACGGACGAGGCCCGAAAGAGGGCGAGACTGCCTGTCAAAAGAAAGGGACAAATTGGATGGATCTACCGCAAAACGGTGAAATTAGCGAGCACTAGAGGTAGCGGGAGTATAATATCTTCACAATTGTAGTCCAAATGAGAAATATCCGATGCGAAACTATCAAAGGTATGACAGTCAGTTTGCAATTATTCATCTATGTAGTTGGCAAATATCCACTAATTGTAACAAAGCTTTAGAAACCTGGAATGCTTTGGACCTCAAAGGTGCTGAATGCTCAGGCTGTAAATGCTTGTAATGATTTATTTTCAAACCCCAATTTTATTGAATAGTACATGTGCTACGCAGTGGGATATGAAACACAAATGGAACACGGGAAGAAGTGATTATGAAAGAGGGACCACCAAGGAGGCCGGGGAGGAGGAAGCCAGGGAGAGGTCCGTATCACTTTGCAAATCTTTAAATATTCATTAATTTTTAATCCGATTCTATCTATGAAGCCCTTCTTCTCTGCGGTTTCCTGATGCTAGCTATATGTACATATGAGCTGCCAGTGCTAGTGAGCGCTGAGCTTGAAGCGGTCGCTGATAGTAGGTGACAAACCCGACCGGATTTTGCCGTTAATTGTGATATGTACCTTGCATTGCAAGCAAGGTGGGCCAGCCAGTGGCACTTAAGCGCTTAAGCGCTCAAGAAGTACCAGAATTTGATTCCCGAGTTCTTTCTAGAAAAACGCAACTAGCTCCCTCCGCAGTCAGCCATACCAAGACATACAACATCCCGCTCTCACGATCTTTCTGAACACGAGCTTTGCACGCAGTGATTCTGACGGTGTCCTGCACATTTTGGAACGGTTCTTGCAAAGTTTCTCTGACGATTGAATTTCGTGTGATACACTTATGCGTCAACATTTTATATATAGGCTACCTTGTGATCGCCCTCTTCTACTAGCAACTCGAGCCATGACAATCCCTACTAGTCCCACCGTGACGATGTCCGAGTCTGTAAACTCTGACCCTCAACTTGAGGTCCCTGATAACTGTCGAGCTCCCAATAACCCTATCCTGAGGTCTGCATTCACAATGTTGTGCATTATTGCAGTCTCTCGAGAGAATCTCCACCATTGGAAAGATACAACGAAGAAAGACTGGAAGGAGCATGTCTCCATAATGGTCAATCGATTTCAGAACACAAACGTTACCGTATGTTTGATATGATTTGATCTTTGTGGCTAGCATTCAATGACTGGACTTTAGGCCGGGCTCGTACTCGCAACTACTGCTATGTTTCTCTCGTCCGTGAATCCTATCGAGCACATGATGGCTTATAACTCTTCAATCTCGTACATTTTCGCCATGGTTTCATTTGGCGCTGCATTGCTCAGCGTGATATCCGGATCTGCTGTGCTTATTATCTACGAAACTAGCACCGCTCACAAAGACATGGAAACCCTCAGAGTGAGTCCGTTTGTCTGGGCTGGGCCACCATTTAACACAAGACACAGCACATGCCACGACACCATGTCATTGCGCTGCTGTTATGGATGGCATACCCCTCGATCTGTCTGTCAATCGCTACTTGCTTTTTGTTCGTGTGTAAGTGAGGCAATAGATGTTTTAGACCTACTTATGAGTATGGCGTTTACTTTTGTGCAGCTGTCTTTATCGCCTGCTTCTGGTCTGACAATGGTGTCGTCAACATCATAACTATCTTGGGTTGTGTGGCCTTCCTTTCAAATGGAGGCCTTACGCTCTACGTTTTCGGCGTTGTGGGCAAAAAGTAAGCTAGTAACTTCCTTGCTGGCTCTGCCAGTCTCACCATGCCTTGCAGGCCCATCCATGATGGAAAAAAACACCCTCACACAAGCTGCTGACGTGCATCGTAATAGTGTAGGTGCTACATGCCTCCCTGTTTGACAGTGCTGCTTTCAACTGGATGTGATAATTGCTATAGACCACTTAGGGTTCGGACGCCTCCGGGTTGTATAGTAGCAGCGGAACTTTCGATAAGAATCTGTCGTGTCTCCTCAGCCTAGTATCACATATGTTAGATATACACTGCCTCGTGATCGCCCATGCGGACTGTCCATGCCTTAGAGAATAGATGCCCAGGCTCCGCATGTACAGTGTTCAACTTTAAAGCGTGATAATTAACGTATATTTATGTAAAGAGAACAAGAGGGTCTGAGCGTTAATCTGCAAATGATGTGACTCAGGGAATAGAAGTGTCACATGATCAATCGTCACAACACCGCAAACGATGAACGTGTTCCTTTAATTATCCCAACGAGCTTTTTCATCGCATTGAAACAACGACGGTCACATAGTTCTTCTTTCGTTTAGTCTATCACGATTGTCTGGGTTAGATTGAACTGGACGCCTCAAATCTACGGTCGCACTGCAAGCCACATACAGTCTTTGAATCGACTTCATGCACGATGGATAGAAGATGATCAATACTATCCTACACATACAGCCCATCTGAGTCCAGCCATCTGCATCCTCCTATGTCAACATCAAGGACGAAGTTCGAACGACACGAGCAGTCCGCTAAACCCGAGTTTCTCCGAGTCCTCGCAAACCAAAGTCACTTTGAAGAGGCCAGTCGTTGACGGCCCCGTTACAGTCAACGCATTAATGAGCCAAGTATTGATGCATCTGATGGAGTAAGTAATAGAACCATTGCGTCGGTGCCGGGTGCCGAGCGCTGATCGTTCAAACGTTTACCGACGAACTCTGTGACGAGTCCGACACAATGACTCGGATCAAGAACGGTTCTACGGAAGATTTGGTGGGTTCTTGAGAACATGAGATTCAGGTTTTCTTAATGTTTATGGCGATGTTGCCGTTTTCCGCGTAGCGCTCTCACCAATGGAAGTTCAGCGCTCAAATTGTCGTGCACTCAGCGTGGTCGTTGATCTTGCAGATTGGTCTCCCGATCTCTTGCAAACATTGCCTGCGAGTCGGAACCACGAACACGTGCAAGTATAAAGCTCGTCCTGTACGTCAACTCCATTCAACAACAGCTCAACCCCACAACACTCGCATTTTGCGTTCTACCATCAGTGAACTTTGAAACGATGCCTAGTGATACTGCTGAAAACTCGGCGACCTCACCAATCCTGAAAAACTTTCCGCCTATCACTAATCCTATTCTGAAAGTACTATTCGAAGTCCTGTGCGTTGTCGCAGTCTCTCGGACGTCCATCGATCACTGGGCACACACATGCGGCGATGAATGGAAGGAGCATGTCAAAGTGATGATCAATCGTTGCGAGCACTCAAACGTCACCGTACGCTTGGACATCGTCTTCATTGCTGACGTTAAACATTTGGAATTTAGGCCGGGCTGATACTCGCAACCACTGCTTTGCTCCTGACTTCACAATCTCCCCTAAGTAGCTTGATGGCTTATGACATTTCAGCCTCCTATGTGTTCGCCGTGATTTCATTTAGTGCTGCATTGCTCAGTGTAATATCAGGAGCTGCGCTCGTGGTCATCTATGAAACTAGCACTGTCCACAAAGACATGGAATGCCTCAAAGTGAGCTCCGCTTGTTTGGGGTGTCGCATAGTTTGACGCATGCTGCAGGACATGACACGAGAACACGTTATCTATCTGCTGTTGTGGTTGGCTTACCCTTCAGTCTGTTTGTCAGTCTCCGCCTTCTTTTTGTTTGTGTGTAAGTGAGTCAGCAAAGTTTACTATTGATGATGCATAATACTTTCTTGGCGCAGCTCTTTTCATTGCCTGCTTCTCCTCTAGAAATATCTTTATCCAAGTCATAATGGCCTTAAGTGGTTTGGCCTTCACTCTCAACGGAATCCTTACGATCCACGTTTTCTGTTTTGTGCCAATGGGCAAATCGTAAGCGAATGACACCCTTGTTTAAACCTGTCTCAATTCGCTTTGTAGGCTTACAAATCCTAAGCCCGCCAATGATCCTGCACGCGTTGAACAAGCGTGATGATCTGGTCTCGTCATTGTAAACTAAGGTTTGGATCCGCTGTGGCTGGTACGATATATTAGCTAGTAGACTCGCAACGGAACTTTTGCCATTGGAATCTCAAGTTGCTTCATGCTTAGTCTCAGTGTCAGATGCCGCCTGCGTCACGAGTCAAACCCAAAAGTCCCGGAAGGCTAAAACTCGTACTTGCGACACACCTAGTACTTCATGTTCGGATCTGCTGATGGCCTGACTTCACCTGTTTCTACTCAGATGTAAGCGATAGGGCCAGCTCAAAACCCGCTACCTTTCTCGGCAATTGTCGGCCTACAGTCACATGCACATGCGAATCGTTTCTTCAGCTCCTATTCACCGAGGCCTCCTCCGAGTGGCAGAAAAAAATAAGGTTCACGCGCACTCACTTGCATACAAGGTGCTTAGGCTGGAGCTGAGAGAACCCTCCATAAGAAAGGGGACCGATCGATTCAACACAGCCAAGAACGATCAGAACTGAAACGAATATTACTACATCTAAAGCGAAAAACCTGAATACTAGTAACTACACCTCACAGCTGCCAGTGAGTCGTCACGACCTGAATATTTCACACAATTCTTACTTCCACATGTAATTTACAACTTCAATTAATGTTTATAACATGCACCATTCATTGTGAGGTTGAACGACTGATTTTTATGAAGAGATGGTGAAGTTATTTGGAATTTTGGAAGTAGTTCATGTCAGCCGAACGTTACCGCAACGGAGTTCTAAACTATATATGACTATGCCTGTAGACTAGTAATCAATTTGTAGCCCTTATTCATTGAGCCGCTTCAGATATTTCTCACGCCCATTTAGGCCTCACCCTAGGGTAAGCCCTTGCGCCGCGCGAAACAGAGTCCAGACGTCGGCACTCAAGCTCCCCCCCAACCTGCCATCGTGATGGCCAAAATTAATTGACACTGTACATATTAGGACTTTTTGTGGATATGATGGCATGGTGCATGAAGATCCACGGTAGATCGACATGTGCAAAACCAGCAACAGGCGCTTGCACTGTTCGATTCTCACTGGGACTCAGCTGTGAGGCCTTGAGGTATAGTGCCCTCATTCATGACCTTAGCGCTTCAGATATTTCTCACGCGCATGCAGGCCTTCCCCTAGGGTAAGCCCTTGCGCCACGCGAAACAGACGCCGGCACTCAGGCTGCCCCCCAACCTGACATCGTAATGGCCAAAATTAATTGACATTGGTACATATTAGAACTTTCTGTGGAGTTGATGGCATGGTGCATGAAGATCCACGATAGATCCACATGTGCAAAACCAGCAACAGACGCTGGCACTGTGCCCATGCAGCTTGCCACCGTGATGACCGAGATTAATTGACATGCATGTTGGAACTTCCTGTGTGCGTGAGGATCGACATGGTACACAAAGCCAGCAACAGTCTATCGACGTTCTCCGCGACTTCGTGTTTTATATTTCGGCGCCGCATTTCCAACTTGCTATTGATCCTCGGGTAATCGCAAGATTTTTGTTCACCCCTACTGATAAGGTGCGTCGTTGCCAGCGCTTACTGCAGTAATCCTCATAGTAATTGTTCAGCCCCTTTTATGTTTATGTCCGCCGACGAAGGATCATCATCCAGAAAAGTATAAGTTACTAGGAAAGCACACCGTGAGCATGCTATTCAAGCTTCTAGATCTAATCGCTTTTACGTTTTTAAAGTAATGTCTAACACCGCCCCTTACGCTCAGCGGACAAGGAACAAAAAATGCGCGGTCAGAAACGATCTGTCCTCGACTACACCATATATCTAAAACCAATCTGGCCCCGAAGCTCCTTAATATCCTTCGCATTCCTGTTCCTCACAATCTGCTCATTCAGATGCTTCAAATAAAAATGCATCTCGCCAAATGTGGTCATGGAAACCCCAATTGCTGGGATGCTGACGGCATAGGAGTAAGGATATGGGCCCCATGTCAACGCCCACGCGTACCTATGAGAGAAGTGCAGTCGTGGATAATTACCAAGAACGAGGAATCGATGACCATGTCACAGACGAACCAACAACGTTGCCTGTCTGCCCCATTGCGTCAATGTGAAGGAATGGCAACAGCTCACTTCACAGGCTCTCTGGCGAAAGTGTTGTTGGCCCACACCCATAGCGTCAGATATCCAGCGATGAATTGAGTCATTAGGAACCTGTGTCTCTGAGTACAAGAAGTGACGCTTTATGAGCGGTGGCCCTATTTACAACGAAATATAACGCGCGGCTGTGTTCATCAGTATGATGAATGCAAGGACAACGAGTACATTGGAGGTATTTGTGACGCCTCTGCTTCTTGTCGGAGTACCTGATATCAGTGAGATGCGATTTTCCCATCAGAATGGTTGACCGACCATGTAAGAGCAAATGCCCCTAGAGCCGCAAACGCACGCGGGAAGTGACCGAAAAAAGGTACTGGAACATGAACGCAACTGAAAACCATCACACTTTCCAGTCAGACATGGCACCCCACAGTCCATGCATGGTCATCTGTCCGTCAGCCTTACTACCATCTTCTTGAAGGTGAGAAAAGGCGTGTGCTCTTTCCTCCGGGGTGTCGTGCAGGAAATCAGGCAGTACGAAATATCGCGCAAATCGCGACTAGGATGATGATGCCTCCTTTAATATAAAACTCAACCATTTACAGATCACTCAGCTCCAATGAGTGACAAGAGGCTATCGTCACTTGCCTTCATGCAGCTTGACCAAGTTTACAATTCATGCCGTGAAGAATACCAGACGCAAAAAGGGATCCGAATGCAGAGCTGAGTAGAATTTTAAGGAAACAAGAGCTATTCTCGTGTAGGGCTCATCCCGTTTGTCCCATTTAGATATAAGAAATAGGACGCCAGGAAGGAAGGGTGCTTCGGCAAAGCCAAGAAAAAACCGGACGACCAAAACCTGGTATTTGAACTTGGGTCTAGCTATTAGAGATTAGAATGATGCAAAACTAGAATGTGGACCTAGGCACAATTAGCAGCGGTATTCATGAACGTCCATTGCCAAACGTTGCAGCGTATCATGGGACAGACGTCTAGGGTCAGAGGACGTACAATCCAGAATATGCATATGAATATAAACACATTTTGAAAATTAGCTGATCAGAATGCGTAGCTACAGTTCGGAAGAACTTTTCAACGAGGACCTGCATGCTGCGGTAAACTGTCACTATAACGCGTAAACAAACATTAACAACGCGGCCACGAACTTATGATAGTCTTCTTGTGTTTCGTAATCGCTGGCACTCCAGTATAATTGTGCTGTCACTGATAAAAAAAAAAGTATGTTGCATACCGTGCATCACCAGAAAGATGTGAAATATACAGTGAAAATGCGTAATTTGCAAACCAGAGAAAATCATGCCATTAACGATACAGAGTGACCCACCGCCTGAGGTGTCATCTCAAACAAATCCTCGATTTCTTCCAAGCTCTTTCCTTTGGTCTCCGGCATCAAGAAGTGGCAGACGGCAGTGGTGAACAGCGTGGCTGATCCAAAGAAGAAATATGGACCGCTTGGAGAAGCCCGTAGAAAAAGCGGCGCAGTAAGCGCGACAGCGAAATTCACCAGCCAATTGCTGAGCTGATAGACGTCAGATATCATGCAGGCAAGCGAGAAGAGTACGCGACCTACCTGCTGGACAGCACATGCTTTTGCACGAAGCCGCGTGGGTATTATTTCGCATGCGTATATTTTAATGACCTGGATGAATCAACTCAGGTTCGTGCATGGCAGTGAATGATGAATCAACCCACCACAGCCCATGACCATGAGAAACTCGCCTGGCGTACAGCTCGTTTAGTACGTTTTGGGTGGTTTGACATGCGCGACACACACCACAAACATGTATATGAGTATGATCACAGCCCATTGCGGTCCTTTGCCGCTCAAATACACCTGTCCTTCGGCTTTTCCGCCATAGATCACGTACAAAGTACCGATGGTCATGAAACAAGCAGCAATAGAGATACCGCCACCGATCAAAGGAAATCTTCGCCCCCACTTGTCAACCCACAGTTGAGCAGGTATCGTAAATATCAAGTTGATTATTCCGGAAACACCAGACGCAAGGAATGCTGCTCGATTTGATGTAAACCCAGCTTGAGTGAACAGGATCGGAGCGTAATAAAGGACCGCATCGATCTAGAAGCCAGAAGATGTCATCCGAGACCCATCATCGGCTGTACAGGACAGCAACATACCCCACACAACATCTCAAAAGACATCAGAAACACGCTTAGAACGCTCCGTTTGATGTATCGTTTCTGAAATATCTCACGATAAGAAGCATCTTCCCGGTTCTGTTCCTCGAGGCTGCCTTGAATAAGACGCAGCTCGTCTTCTACGAATTCGCTGCTAGAACGGAGCTTCTGAAGAACCGCACGAGCTTCATCTATCCTCCCCCTCTGGACGAGCCATCGCGGAGAGTACGGCATAAAAGCCATTCCAGAGACCAAAACTACAGCCACACTCGCTTCCACAATAAAGGGTGTCCTCCAAGCCAACTCACCCCTAATTCTGGAAGACGCATACGCAACAAAATACCCCGAAGCGATCCCGATAGTGATAAGCAACTGTAACACCGTCGCAACTGTTCCTCTAATCTCTCGTGGAGAGATCTCGCAGAGGTAAATAGTAACGACGGAGATACTCTGACCCTGACCGATTCCCGTTATCAGCCGTGCGCATATGAGAACAGGGAAAGATTTCGCAGAGGCGGAAATGATCGTTCCCAGAAGGACTACAATGCCTCCAGTCAGGATCCCATACTTGCGAGATAGCAAGTCAGCTATATAACCGCTGCATAGCGAAGACAAGGAAGCGGAGAGAAGGATACACGCGACATAAATCCCGAGGACGCCTGAGGAGAGATGGCCGATAGAGCTAGAGAACTGGTCCATCTGGGTAATAGGACCAATGGAACCTGACAATCATGACTGATTAGAGATGTCTGTTGACCCAGGTCTGAAATATGACTGCGTACCTGTATCCAACCCCCACAGCATCCCAGCCAAGGACGTATGAAGGGCAATCAGGTATATTCTGGTAGTTGCAGATACCATCACTAAGACGGGAGTCTCAGCGCAAGCCTGCTGTCTGCCATAGTCAGTAGCAGAGCGGCGCCCGTACGTACAATCAGACGTAACGAAGCTGCAGGCAGAAGACTCCGATGGCCTATCTTCTGCTAAGGAGGGAACGCATCGTGATCACGAAACGTGTTACTTTTGGTTATGGCCTTGACCGAGACGAATAAACTTAATATACGACGACGTGATCATGGGACGCGTGATGGCCATACATAGCTGAGATTGATACAGTGCATGGCACGGCGCCGCGCGGTAGATAGGCAGATATTCCCTTGGCCAGAGATGTGCATGGCTTCTCGGAACAAGGAACAAATGAGTACTAGTGGCATGGCCGCATTGAAAATTAGGTTTGATACCAAGGAAAGTAATTACGTTCGAAGAGAATTACCATAACATGTGATTCAAATCTGCACTACTACAAACGAAACACAGAGTATGTATGATAGTATCATCGAAAGCAGTCAAACAGTCAGTAGTAGACTCAGTACCAAAGCAAAAAAGACATGCGGAAGAGAAATTTCATGAGTCTAACAGCATTCGTAACATTCATCATCATCGCTGGGGAAAAGAAACGGAGTAAAAGGAATGGTGGGGTGGCGTGCATCGCGTTGGAGTATGTTTTCATGTTTTTATTTGCATGAGAATAGGGCAGCCTTCACGACAACCCTCAGAAACAAAAATCAAACCTCAAAGACCCCCCTGCGGCGTAGACGCACTCTTCCGACCCAGAATATCCAGAATCTCAGAGATAGTCCGTGCCGCATCCATCGTCTGGGGCCCGCCAGGGAGAATCGTTAATCGCTGCTTGGTAGTATTCAGCGTAGCCTTCACATTTGGAACTACCCGCGCAACGTATGGTGCGATTAGAGGTTCCTAAAGTCCAAAAAAAACATCAGTACCTCAGTCGCACAATACACAGGGACATACATTGATGTTCAAAACAGTAGCAGTGCGTTGCATCCACCACAAAGACGACTTGAAAGCTTCGTCCACAGGAGGCGTCTCAGCAATTATAGTAGCCAGCTAATAAATAAAAATCAGAACCAATCAACAAAGAAGTTCCAAGAAATACGCACCCGGTGCAAAATTGACAAAATAACGGCCATAGACAACGGCCCCTTCCGATCCATAGGCATCACAACCTCTGGACTCGACCTCGCAAGAAGCTCCCTCAACTGCTTCGGATCCTGTGTACCCAGAACCGCCATATACGTATCCTCCCACGCATCATGCTGAGCGGGAGGAGACCGCTGGGACAGCGGTGGTGGGGGAGGGGGTTGGGGAGGCGCGATGGGGTGAGATGCTTGAGGCGCAGCGATCGTTGAAGGGTACCAAGTAGCGTGTGCGTGCATCTGCGGCGGCTGTGGTTGTTGGGAGAACGAACCGAGGGATTGAGAGGCATATACTGGGGCCTGCGTGGTTGCAGGAGGGAGGTTCTGGGAGCGATGCATGCCTTGACTCATAGAACTCATGTTTGAGACGCTAGGAACGGGAGAACTGCCAGTTGCTATCCGATGATTGGCAGTCGAGTTCAGCGATAAGAACTTGACTTGGTCGGACAACATCCTGACGGAATGCTCGAGATCCCTGATCAAGGACTGCCCAATTCATGAGAACAAACTAATTTTTGAGAGAAACCCCACTTACCTCCTGGCTCCGTGCAGCTTCTGTCTGCCATGACATAGAATCCTTCTTGACATTCAAAATCTCTGCCCTCATCTCCCGAAGGATATCCTGATGCATAGCCGAGGTCTGCTGCGAGTATGTAGGGATAATATTCTTCGTGACAGCGTCCTTGATGTACCGCTCGATGAGAGGGTTCAAATTCGTAGAGAGGATACTAGCGAAATGGCTCGAGATATCAGGGCGTAAAAGTAGCTTCTCAATCTCATTCGGAAGGCTCTGCGCACACCCAACAAACGTTAAAGTCAGAACCAAAAACCGAGAGGATCACAACGTACATTCTGGATAAACTCCGTCAACCCCCTCCCAACATGCTCATTAAGAGCAGCCCGAACTTCGGTCCTCGTAATATGCTCTAGCGCAGGCAACACGGAATTCTGGACTTCAGCTTTAACAGCCATCTCAACAACCCTCGTCGTATTTCTTGTAAGCTCCGTCGATATCAGCTTCAGAATTTTCTCCTGTCGATTGAAATCCTCAGCCTGCTCTTGAACGCGCGCTTCTTCCATCCGTTGGTCTGGGAACCAAAACCAAGATCAACGTCAAAACACCGGAAAAGGCACATCAGCCACTTACGTTGCTTATCCATCTCCTTCCCAATCAACCGTCCAATACGCGTATGCAAACTCTCCTCGCTCTTTTTGATCTCCTTGGTGACGACTATTGCAATTCCATTGTCAACACTAGCGCCCGCATCACCCTTGAAGCTGGCTAATTTCTCCGCTTCCTTCAAGTTCAGATTCGCAGCTTCGCGATCCCTGAACGCCACGTTCTTCCCTCGGACGTTCTTCCCCTTGCCTTCATGTGTACGGACTTCATCGCGCGCGATATCGCCCTCGAGTTCTTCAGAAGGAGGGGTTCGGAGTGTACGAGGTGGGATTATACTTCCAGACCCGGACCCAGAGGGCTGTGTGGTTGGCACAGGAGCAGGCCCAGGCCCGCTAATATTCACAGGCGCAGGAGGCATCTGACGCCCTGTACCCTTTACTTCCACGGGGGCCGCAGGCATATAAGGTGGGAACTTTCCAGGAGCGTTCAACACAGCCGTATCATACCACTCTTTCCTGATCAGCACCTGATCGACACCAGTGGAATGCACAGAGAATGCGACAAGTGCGAGGTCTCCCGGGGGGAGTTTAGCAGCGACACATGCAGCGTGCGCTTCGTCGCCTGTGGGGTCCGCGTCTGCTGAGAGTATCACGAAGTGGATGGTCGGTTTCGGACCAGAGAACTCAACGACTTGCTCGAAGAACCCGCCGCGAACGAGTTCGCCCGAAGACGAAGCGCTGACATCGAACCCGATGCGCAGGGAGATGAGACTGTCGCGCCGATTGTTGGCAACCCAGAGCGTCTGGATCCGGGAGTCGTAGTTGACGTGTCCGAACATGTCAGGATCTTCTTTGTTTCCGTTGACGAATTTGAATGTGGAAAGAACGTTCTTGGTGATGACGGAGAGAAGCTGGAACACTGTACCGTTCTTCCTCCCGATGACAATGCCGTCGTCGATGAATGTCAAAGACGATGGGACGTCGTCGCCGCGAACCCGGTGGGTCCAGAAAGGCATCTTGTCATGGACGTTCCACAGAGTAAGAGTGGAGTCCTCGGAAATAGTAGCCAGTGCAAAATGGGGAACATCAAAATCAAACGCGACCAAGCGCTGTTACGAAGGATGAGAACACACAAACAAAGAAGCAATAGGACTGACCGATGGCACGGAAAATACTTGAGAGATACGGTTCAATTCAACTTGTGGCAAAGGCTCTCCTCTAAAAGTACGCGCAGCGTCTGCTAGATCAAGTAAATACATTTTGGTCTCCGAAGCCACTGCCAGAGTGTCGGGTTGCTTTGGGTGCCATTTGACGGAATGAAGAGGGTCAGCGTCAGCGCTGGGGATGATGCACAACAAGAGTCGCCCGCTGTAAATATAATTAGAACAGACGTATGTGCTAAGCCCTAAGACACCTACGGTACATCATCAGTGATGACCTCGGGTAGTTCCCACACGACAAAGCCGCCATCGGAGGTGACACCTGCCAGCCTATTACCATACACAGCCATATCAATGACTGAGGTGGAAGGTGCAAAGACTGTCGGCAGCTGAAGCAGAGTGCGATCACCGCTCGACCGCGAGATGACACGGACACGACCCTTGGTCATGGCATACGCAATCCAATGAGTAGCACCAATGGTCGTACCAGGCAAGAACACAGAGTCCTGCTTGACTAAAGCAATCGCAGTAGATTTGACGGCATCCCTAGGGGCCTGCACGTCGTCCAGCGGCTGTGATACATCGAATACGATAGTTTGTGGTTGCGAGCTAAGAAAGAATGAGCGCAAGTGAGTACAGGCACATGTTAAAATATGGAAAGCTTGCCTTGGACTCGTCTGTGGCTTTCCCTTGACAGCGCCTTTGGCCCTGGATTCATTCTTCCAGGTGTTGCGAGGACCGGGTGATCCATCCTTGTCTCGCCTCGCAGGTGGGATAGGAGACTGACCGAGAGGTGACTCAACCGGCCGTGGCTGTGGACGCGGCTGCTGTGGAGCAGGCTTGGGGGGAGAGCCCCTTGGGGGTGACACACGGCCCGGCTTTGGAGGAAGAGGAGGGGGCGGGGGCATAGTACGAGGTTGGAGGGGTTGCTGCTGAGGGGTCGGCTGTGATTCCACCTGGGAATACTCGTCTGTAGTGCTATAAGGGTCATAGGTAGGAGATGGAGGCTGTGCAGAGTGGTGGGACTGCTGGGACCTGGTCAACTGGTCCATTAGGTTCTCAACAGACTTGCGCTTTGGGTCGTTGAGAGAACCTAGGGAAGCGGATGTCCAGGAATCCTCGTTTGTGCTGGATGCACTTGCAGGACCTGCTATAACAGGTTTCTTCTTGACGGTGGAGGTAGAGTCAAGGGCATCGAAAGGAGAAACAAACTCGAACATGGACTTGCGGGGAGAGGGGGTGAGCTGTTGGGGCTGGGGGACTGGTTGTGTATCCCTTGGCTGCTCCTGCTGGATGTAAGGGCCCTCATTGAGATGGTAGGGGTCTCCGATAGAAGACTGGGTCATGGAGGACTGTGCCATGGAAGACTGAAACTGGGGACTAGCGGCAGGGGGCAAAGTCGACATTGGTTGCGGAGCAGGCTCTGAGAAATTTGAGCGAGGAGCGGTACTATCATAAAGATCAGCATAAAATGTATCAAGGAAATCCCAAGAGGTCATGGTAGGAAGAAATGGAAAGCGGAATGAAAAGAAATGGAATAAAAGGAATTTAAAAGTGGCCTCGTGTATGAAGTGAGGCGAGAATGAAAGTTGACTGACCCCATGAGCTGTTCTAGGAGGATCTTTCCTTGAGTTTCACTGTTATTCGAAGGTGATTGACCTGATCTTATAGAGGAAGCAGGAGGAGACTGTTGAAGAGGTCTGATAGCAGGTATTGAAGTTGCAGCAGGATATAACAAGGAAAGGAGAGCGCTCTGTCTATCAGCTGGAGATGTAGAGACAGCTGGAGCTGAAGTATCGTCCATGCTTGGAGTAGCAGGGGCAGAATTTCCGTGAGATGTGATAGGTTGAAACAATGAATCAAGATAAGTTGGAGGAGGAGGAGTTGCGCTGCCTCTTGAGAAAAGCTTGTCATGAAGATTGGACTGTTCCATTATCAACCCAGCTAGAAGAGAATCGTTTGTCGAACAAAAAAAAACTCAACTCAGTTGGCCTCGTTGAACACACGAGGCGCGTAATCCAAATAAACACCAACTCCATAAGCTTCAAGCATAGCCTCTAGCACTTATGTACTAGTCTCGTCGTACCATTCCGACTGTACCAATGAAAATATTCTTCATGTGATGTTCAATGGGTGATGTTAGATTTGGTGAAAAGTATTTACTACAGGAAGAGCAAGGTAAATAATATATATGAAGCCTATCCACGTACTACTGTACTACAGGAAGAGCAAGGTAAATAATATATATGAAGCCTATCCACGTACTACTGTACTACAGGAGATTGGTTCCTATGGTAGGCTTTGACCGTGGAAAAGCTGCGCTTGTCTAACCTTCAACCTCGATCCCATCCTAAATCCAAAATGCCCTCCAAAGGATGGTTCAACCTCGAATCCGCGGGTGGTATGATCCCCGAAACTCAGTTCTTCGAGGGCGACTCTGCTTTCAAGTTCCTCGGCTTAACTCGTACACAAAGATTATACGGCTTCAGTTGGCTGGTGCGCACCCTAACTCTTCATTCATCATTCGTAGCTGAACCTTCCCCAGTCTCATCATTGGGTTTGCCCTTAGTTTACTAGGCAGTATATTGCTTTTCTTGGGTCAGCTCGGTAGTTTTGCAGGTCCGTTTCACTCATTCTTCATTCAAATACCATTATGACAACCTCTGTCAAAAGTGTTGTACACTATTGGTATCTTGGTGTCTCTCATCGGCACCGGTTTTGTCATTGGAGTCAGTTCCCCTCTCCTTATCTCCACCACTGACACTAACGTTTCCTAGTTTGCTTCCCAAATTAAGCTAGTACGTTTGATATCCTCCGCCTAGCACAACTCAAACACCTTCCGCGTAGATGTTCAAACCCGTACGAATCATCGCCACAGTCGTATTCCTCGGCTCAGTAGGCCTCGTCTTTGTCGGTGCCTTCGTACTTAAGAACGAGGTTCGTCCTCCCTTTCCTGTACCTTAGACTACCAGACTATACTGACCCTTAACCCTTATCTCCCAGGTACTTTGCATCAGTAAGCCCTAGAACTCTGCAACTTGCCGATTCCCTAAACGTTTTGATCTCATCAGTTTTCGTCATCATCGAATACCTCGCCTACACCTGGTATAACCTATCATACATTCCATACGCCCGATCAGCAGTGCTCAAACTCGTCGGAATGAGTTAATTATACGTATGTTTACGAAACCATCATAAGTAACGCCTCATGTCCCACTGCTTTGCAATGCCATATCAATACATTTGTTGAGTTCATTCCATTAGCCAGATAATCAATGAACACTATGCTGTTCTTACTACCCGCACTAGAGCCTTGCTCTAACCCTATTCAGTCGGCTCGAATCACATGATCGTACTCCCTCACCCCCTAAAGTTATTCTTCAGTTCACGCAACTTGTTCATAACTGCACCAGGTTCCTCTGCACCAGTAGCCCGCCTATACAAAAAAATCAGCGTTATGGCTATGACCAACAAACACCACGTACTGTATCACATCTTTATCCAAACGCATAAACACATTCCACTGCTTCTCATCACCGATAGTCGACAGACCAGTAGTAACCTTATTCTCTTGTGCAAGCTTGAAAAGCCTGCCAATAGCTGGGTTCTCAGGCTCGATAATTTTGGCGAACGCAACATTGCCAGCTGTATATTCGTGGCCATTGTAAACGACCGTGTCGTCTGGGAGCGTTGCTAGTTTCGAAAGGGAGGCATGCATCTGCTCTGCCGTCCCTTCGAAGAAACGACCGCACCCGCCTGGGGGGTGTCAAGAATGCGACGAGTGACGAGACTACTACCGCATACATACCTAAAAAGAGGGTGTCACCAGTGAACACACCGCCAGACTGAGACTTGTTAGATGTGTCCGTGACATGGAAGCAAATTGAATCCCTAGTGTGGCACGGGGTTGCCAAGCACCTGTGGCGATCCCCCGGTCAACGTTGAAGTTAACTATGAAAGTAAACAGGGGAAGTCCAATGGACCCACCGAACGTGTATATTATCACCAACAGTAAACTCGCCACCGTCCTCAACGAGATGAGTTTTAGAAGGCACATCAAAGCCTCCATAAACGGGGATGCTCGGATATGTGGAAACCTTGCGTGGAATGAGGGTGAACCATCAATCGTACCTATCTGGCACGTTACGCACCAGTGTCTGGTATGATGTTTAAAACGTTAGTGGCCAGTACATCACTGATGTAGGAAACAAACACGCCTTGTTTCCACCACTATGGTCTTGATGGTGATGCGTCGTGATGCCAGCCACAATGTCCACACCCTCCTTTTCTGCTACAGCCCGCACCTTCTCCACATCTAATACATCCACCACTGCCGCCTTCCTGCTTGGCTCGTCGATGAGGAGATACGCATAATTATCTGCGCTGACGAGAACGGGTACGACTTTCATCTTGTACGCTTTAACAGTGGATGCAAAAGCCCGGATACCGTGACCAATAAGTGTTCGGCTACTACTGCGGAAAGCGACGGAAAGCATATGTCAGCTCACCGCAAAACTGATGCACTTGCGGAACTCCAACGGTTGCTTATTCTTAGCCTTGGTACTGGAGCGTTTGTAACAGGTTGATCACGCGTGGCACCGGCCACCTCGCATCTGAATCTAGTGCACCGCCTCCGATAAACGTCTGATGTGATGGAGCTGGGCCACTCTCACATGTCAAAAGTTGTTTTTACTTCCCTTGGGCGCTCTTTTTGGTCTTCTTGCTTATTTTTTGATCGCCCTAGTGCTGCTCGTTTCTTCCTCCCACCAGCCTCCTGGGGTTCTGAGGATCTTGGATGCAGGGTGGTGCTTATACTCGTGCTGGTCTTTGTCGATTGTAAGTGTTCGTTCGGTGTCCTTGAATGGGTGTTAAATATGGGTTGGGTTTTAGCAGCGTATTCGCGCGCCATTAACTCGTCGTTGTCGACTCTGCAGTGAAAGATGGCTAAGTCCACCCATAATCTCCCGCCAGGGGTCGTCATCTCTTCTCCAAACGCCAGCACTGGTACTGCCACTTCATCACCCGCTACCACCCCAGAACCCACCGGGACCTCTTCTACATTCGATAACCTCAGTACCTCTTATACATCTGACACCCTCAGGTACCTCTTATACATCTGACACCCTCGGTACCTCTTATACATCCGACATCACCGGGTCTTCTGTTACATACCCGGCTTCTTCTACATCAAATACTGTTGAGTCCCTTGCAGTTCTGCCTCCAACATCTGCCACCGCGGCGATCTCATCGACATCACCCCAATCTTTTGCTGAACAAATCACATCATCTTCAGCAGCTGAGGCAACAACAACAACATCGGAAACTACGACTAGTTCATCGGCAACTTCGTCCACACATATCAACACCGGCGCCATAGCAGGCGGCGTCATCGGTGGAGTCGTCGTCGTCGTATTGCTCATCCTTGGCCTCATCCTCCGCCGTCGACGCAAAAAACACATCGCACCGTCCTCCGAATTCGCAGAAACCATCAAACGCGGCGAGTTGCCCGTCCTTCGCTTAGATTCCGGCGTAGAAATCGTACCCTCATGGTCACATAATCAAGTTCCCCTACCACTGCAGCAAGACTCATATTACACGAGTCCTGCCATGTCGGATATGAAACTCCTAGATGGGATGAGGATGGGAGGATCAGATGAGCAATCCGTGCGTTACAGTGTAGAAAAGCCGTTGCAGCCTCTTCGGCGCTCAAGTCAGCAGGGTTCGAATGAATTCACGACAATGGGCAACACTGCGCATAGGGTATCCAGCATCGGCAGCTCACAAGAGTTCTGGTCCCGTGACGCAGGAAAATTCGACATTCGGAAAGACTATAGATCTATATCCCCCCTTCCTACAAACACCAACTATGCACCCTTGATGCAAAACACGTACCCCATGGAGCCTTCTCACGCAGTGGATACCCTGCAGAACTCGTATGCTGATCTGTGGAAGCTCTCCGTTGCCCCGATGATGCGCTCACTACCAGATTCTGTTCGGAACGGTGCGAGCACACAGCCTTTACCCCCGTTGAGACCTGTACGACGTAGTGTGGACGTTGGGAGTGGGAGGAAGGTTTAATATTATTGCTATTCTTCATGTATATTTGCTGAACTTTTATGTCCGAGTCGGATTTTTGATATTTGGTACATAGTATCCAACTCGAGGATTACTGGTAATCAAATTTCGGAGGTTATGCGTGGCGAACTAAAGTCTGCTGTTCTTTAGTTTGCAGCGTTTGTTACCCCGGTGTCACCAAAGTACGACATACATCCATAGGGCATACGCTCATGAACTGTGGAAGCATCTTCATCGCCTCCAGGAGACATGTATGTACAGGAATTTAAATGCCCGAAACAAATTTGCCACTTCATGTCCTATCGTATGGTCACGGTAAAGTGGCGTTGATTCAATGTCAATGTAATCTATGCCACTTCGTGGCCATACGATAGCGATATTCATAAAGGCAACTCTTTCTACATATTCCGCTTGGTTTGTATCGCGTGACCCCTCATCTGTCATCGAATGGTCATAGTAAGCAGCGGAAGATACATTATGATTTCCGCTACCTATGACCACACGACAGCGATGTTGATAAAATCGGGCGACGAAGCACTTCATCTTCTCCCTGAGATTCGATCAACAGAAGGAGCTACTTCAGTAACTCGCTGTGACTACGGTTCCTAAAACGGGTTATAGCACGGTTGTCCTATCCAATTATGCAAAGAAAAGTCCATAGCTGTCAGTCCTACGTTCCAGCATGGCAGTGCGGCGCAGTGAAAGCCAAGAATGGGCCCGTGGATGATACATCAGCCCGTGGCACCGCCGTATCATGGCGATGGTGCCTGCGGAGGTCCAATCGACATCAGCACCTTATGCTGTTATCTGTGGCTGACCTCGATGACATGGAGTCCTGCCAATGGATGTTGGAATGAGCAAGTGCAAACGAGCTCGTAGGTTAGAGGAAAAGAGTGAACTTGCCGGTGTTTGGTTAGCGTCCGCATAGAGTCGTCGGACAATAACTATCGACCTCGGAAACTAGCGGTGCATAGGAAGGATGCGCACTGGCTAGGTCGTTACATGAAGCGTTCAAAAATCAAGTCTACGAACAATTAAAGGCAAAAGAGCGCACTGCATAGTAGAGATAGCCTCTGAAACTCAAAAGGTTCCATTGTCTGCAGGTACTGCGGACCATGAGAACGTCAGTGACAAAAATATTACAAGCGGCAGACTAGTTACAAGCAGAAAAATAGACCGACTTCAGGTTGCATTTTATCCGCCGTTTAGATTGAACCATCAGAGAATTCTAGGCTGTCGTCGTGGCTGCTTGACTGCTATTATGCAGTGAGCTAGGCGAGGCTTGCAAACTGTGCATCGAGGCGGGGGCCAAAGTCCATTTCTCAACGCCAAGCTAAACCTGGCTTATGTCATCAATTGCAGTTATGATGCCGTGTCAGACTCGTAGTCGTATGATCACTTTCGACCATGCTGGACCACTGTTCAATCTCGCACAAAGGTCGGTCTAATAATTGCTTTGAATCAGATGAACCTCACCATTAGTTACAGGAGGTATTGTGTTATGGTCACGTTCCTTTACCCCAGAAGCATCTCACTTGGCTTCTTCTCCCTCGTCTCCCGTAAATTCTCTCATACGTGAAGCCTTAATCGAAGGGCGGACAGCTGAGGAGAAATACGAGAAGGATGGATATGCAGTGAAGTGGACATTCTTTAATGATCTAGAGCTAATTTTTGTGGTACGTCCGCTGTTCATACTGCTGGAGTAACTTTCGACTAACATTCATAAATGCAGGTTGCATATCACCGCATCCTTCAACTAACTTATGTGGATGATCTCCTAGCTGCGCTTAAAGCACTGTTTATAAAACTATTCGAGCCATTCCTGGCTACTTTCGTTGCTTCGCTGCACGCAATAAAAAGCGGGAAACTCGTGTCAGCTGCTGCGCGCGACTCTCTCAAAGCGTGGAACTTTGCAAAAGCGTTTGAAGGCTGGGATGGTGTCTTCGACAAGCTCTTGAAGGGATTCGAAGACAAAGCTGCCCAGGTGCGTTCTTGTTCTCCCACATATGTCATACTTGTTCACACCAAGTCTGCAGGAGCGGAAGTCTCGCTATAGACAAGTGGCTCCAGCTCTGCCCGACTCCAGTCCTCCTTCCGATGACCTCAGTACGGGTGAGTTTTCCATCCAATACGTCACGGATATATCCTCAAGCGATCTTCAGTTCCTTCCGAATCGTCGATTGCAGTGCAGGATGAGCAACAGATAGCTCGGAACGTACAAGCACTCAAGAATAGACTGCGTGGCCGGGGTGGCCGGAGGGGAGGACGAGGTGCGACGAGGGTGGACTCGGGAAGTGGCTGGGACAGCATGCCAGCTTCAGAGTGAGTGCACAACTCATTTTAGTTTAAATCAGTGTTTTACATCACACAGCTCCGAGTCAACGAGCAAAAGGGCGAAAGGAAAGGCTCAGCGGAAATGGGGTGATTCCGCCCCGTCCGAAACAGAAATGGCATCTTTAGACTTTAGCATCGACAAGCCTGACTCCGGCACAAATGGTCATTTATCGCACGACCTGCAAGCCCTCGTAGACAAAGCTTCTCTCGGAACTAGGACAAGGGATGGTTTATATGAGGTCAAAGATTGGGACTTTGGTGGAAGGGACGATGAGGCGAATGGTGCTATCACTCGTGCTTTGAAGAACGAGGGCGCAAAGCAGCCAACAGGCTCATTGGGCGCTCTGAGTTCTTTGTTCTCACGTTTGACAGGCTCCAAAGTTTTAACCGAACAGGACTTGAAGCCTGTATTGGAGGGGATGAAACAACACCTTATGAAGAAAAATGTCGCCATGGAAATTGCGGACAAGGTCTGCGAAGGTGTCGGTGAGACTCTTGTGGGGAAGAAAGTGGGAGGATTCCAAAGTATGTCGCGTTTTGCATCCTGAACTCTCGTTCTGATGTAACTTCAGCCACCAGCAATGCAGTTCGGACAGCACTGTCGTCCTCGCTCACGCGTATTCTAACGCCAAAGACCTCAACTGACCTGTTGTTGTCGATTAGGACTAAACTTTCTTCTCCACTACCTTCCGCTCAACAAAGGATGCCCTATAGCATCACCTTTGTGGGTGTGAACGGCGTAGGAAAGAGCACAAACTTATCGAAAGTCTGTTTCTGGCTCATCCAGAATGGTATGCGAGTGCTTATTGCAGCCTGTGACACTTTCCGGTAAGAGCTTGGTTAGTAATATCAGTTGCACTGATTCTGACCAACCCGTGTAGGAGCGGCGCGGTCGAACAGCTTCGCGTACATGTGCGCAATCTTTCTATGCTTGGCGTCAACGGCGCAACGAATAGCAAAGGCCGTGTCGAGCTTTATGAGAAAGGGTATGGGAAGGATGCTGCGGGCATCGCCAAAGAAGCCATCGCATATGGTACGGAATTTTTATATTCGAAGTGCATTTTCAACTCACCAATCTATACTCAGCCAAAGATAACGACTTTGATGTCGTCTTAATCGACACAGCTGGGCGCATGCAAGACAACGAGGTACGCAACCCAGTACTATCATTGTCACGATCCTGATGGATCATTTTCTGCTAGCCCCTTATGCGTGCACTTGCTAAGGTATGATACGCAGTTTAAGCTTCTTGGAACTCCGCTAATAAACTCCACAGCTTGTCTCTGCGAATAACCCAGACAAGATCATCTTTGTTGGCGAGGCGCTCGTTGGCAATGAGGCAGTCGACCAGCTTACTAAGTTCGACCGCGCCCTTCGCGACTTCTCGTCTGCATCCGGCTCAGGCAAAGGGCGTGGCATCGACGGTATGCTAGTGACCAAATGGGACACAGTGGATGACAAGGTGCGTGGTTTACTTGTCGCGGCAATGACATCTAACGCTTCTGCATAGGTTGGTGCGGCGCTCTCGATGACATATGTGACAGGCCAGCCAATTATTTTTGTCGGATGTGGTCAGGTTTGTTTTTGATCTCTCTCCCTAATGCATAGCTCGCATTCTGACTACTTCAACAGACATATACGGACCTCCGCCAGCTGAGAGTTGCGAACGTTGTACAGGCGATACTAAGCGATTGATATATTTGATATAATTTTGCTATCTACTTGCTCTCTATATTGGATGAATACCAGTGTCGAAAAATGATGCGGCTGGCAAACGTACGCTAGCTTTGTGATGAGTCGAAACTCAATCTTTTTTCTTCATGCATCAGCTCGAGAGACCCCGTAGGTACTATGTAGCGGTCACCGATGCTGTCCGACAACCCCTGTGCTATATACCTATTCTGATTCAGGTCTACTGACTACATTCATTAATTTATTCGTTTTTACAATTCCTGTGATGGCATCGAGGTTCACCCCGACTACATGGAATTTAGACGTACCGCAAAATGGCAATTGGGTTACATATAGCTTCATCTTGCAAGTGACAAACTCAAAAAGTACAACAGTATCAATATATAGTACGGACAATCTATGAAGCAAGATAATTGAAGAAATATGATAGAAATAAGTAGCGGGCTCTGCGATACATGCGGCCTTACACGACTTATCGCATTGTTTAAGATTCGAACATGCAACGAAAGGTGATAAGAAAGGCGATAAGGAAGACGATGCAAGACAGTACGATATGCTGCGTAAATCCGATAGCTTCAGATTGGTCATCGAGATGACCTGGGATTTGGAGAAGAAATTCCTGTGTCGGTAGGTCAACTTGCGGGTCTAGGAGGAAACCATTGTGAGCACACGGACCTTTGCAGGTTTCTCGCCTTCGGAGACCCCGACAGCTTCGGAGTGGTCACTGAGATGGCCTGGGTTTCGGAGAAGATGTTCCTGGTTGCATAGGTCAACTTGCGAGTATAGGAGAATCCTATTGTGAACACACGTACCTTTGCAGGTTTCTTACCTTCGAAAAACCCAACAATTTCAGACTGATTATTAAGATGATCCGGGGTTTGGAGAAGGTGTTCCTGTATGTGTAGGTTAGCTTGCCAGTCAAGGAGGAAATCATCGTGATCACACTGCACACGCACCTTTGCAAGCTTCTCGCTTTCAGCTAAGATAGTCAGGCAAGACTGCAGATCCTTCACACACCACTGTCTTTCGAGCCAGTTGGGGAGATGATTATCCCAGAAAGACTTGAATATATGGGCGAGTTTCCCGTTCCATGGCTTCGGAGCTTGCGAGATATGGACGGCCCAGTTTTGACATGCGTAATTGAGAACGTTGGAAGATAACTGACTTCGTTCGCGTGTTTCGTTTGCGAAATTTGAAAAAGCCTTCATTGCATGGATAATCTCGATGTCTGATGAGAGGTGATCTTGTGTGAATGCAGAGGTGGTGGGATGATCCTGGTGCCTTAATGCCAAGAATACAGGAAACATTAAGAAATCCGGCAAGCTCTTGAACTGCCGAATGACTCGAAAAGCTGGCTGTGCAGACAATTCCGGGATGATAATGTACTGTTTTATCGCTTCTAATGTGTTCGAAAATTCCTCCATTGCCACCCAAGCAGTCGTCAATCGCCACATTTGACCTTGTGGCGTCTGCAACCAGTCTCGCCCGTCTGGGGTTTTCAGCCAGTCCCGCGCACCCGGAGTCTGCAGCCAGTCGTTCCCACCCTGAGTGGGCAGCCAGTCTTGCCCATCGTGGGTCTGCAGCCAGTCTTGGCCGTACTCGCTTTGCAGCCAGTTTTGGCCGCCGAATGTCTGCAGCCAGTCTTGGCCAGCGAAGGTCTGCAGCCACTGTCGCCCACCCTGGGTCTGTAGCCAGTCCGGTATGCCATGTGTCTGCACCCAGCACATCCCTCCATAGGTCTGTAACCAGTCCTTCGCACTCTCGGTCTGTAGCCAGTCTTGTCCTCCCTGGGTCTGCACCCAGTCCTTCCCAACATGGCTCTGCACCCAGTCCTTTCCCTCCTGGGTCTGCAGCCAGTTGTTGTTCCTAATCCGGATCGGGAATGAAGTTTTCTTGTGTTGGGTCGGTAGCGGGTCCCACATAGACTGGCTCCGTAATCCCGTGGGATAGTGTATCTGCGTTTTGTGCACGGTCAGCGGCTGTGACCCCTCGGAATTGTGTATCTGCTGTAGATCCTGGGTCTGCGGCGAGTGTTGTAGAACTACCGATGGTATTCTTGCCAATACAGTTTGACCAATAGAGCCTGAGTTTTGCCCGCGCTGATTCTGCAGCTGGTTAGAGATATCTAGCCAGCTTTGCGCCATCTGGGTTTGCAACCAGCCTTTCCCTTCTTGAGTCTGCAGCCATGCACACCCATCCTGACCTTCCAGCCACGCACGCCCGTCCTGAGTGCCTAACCAGAATTGTAACTCTGGACTGTGATTTCCCCGAAGCCATAGAAGAGTTACAAGCACCTGTATGGGCTCCGGCGGCTGGACGATGAAAGATAGTGAGTGTGTTAGATTCTTGGGGTCGTGGGGTTCCATAGCTTGACTGTGCTTTTTCAATGCTGAGAGTGCATACAAGAGGGCTGATCGACCTGGGAGCTCTTGTATCATTAAACGGAGAGAAGAATGTGCGAGCAGGGAGTGGGGTGAAGTGTTATAGAGACTGCAGTTTGAGCGATGAAAAACATAGTCACGGACGGACGAGTGATAGATATTCACGGGGAGACTGTTGTCGGGAGGAATATCTATGACAGACCGCAGTTGTACCAGCACCTTCTCGACGTCCCTGCCCTGACCAGGGCCAAGAAGTTCCGAGATTTGTGAGATCGGTAGAGGATCTATAAGGACAGCAACAACGGACATGTACAGGTAAGCCAGCTTCGGATCAGTGCATGTGAAGAGGATACGGTCGTATAACTCGTACACCTCCGTTCCCGGAAGCAATTGACTCGTTAGTTCGAGCATGAGTTCAAGCCGGTCACCGGGATCGTTGTGTCGATCATCAATAAATTTCATCATTGTAGATGCTACGATGAAACGTCTGCCCGCTCGGATTGCCAGCTTCTCGATTTGATCCTTCGTTGGCTGCGAGAAGGTAGGAGAGCGACTTCGTAGCTTTCCAAATGAATGCTCCAAGAATCGATAGATATCTTCATCAACATCTGCGCCGTCTAGGGAGATGATAGGAGTAACACCCTCCCCAGAAATCTTCACTGGTATCTCGCACAACAACGGGCGCACGTCTTCATTCTGCATGGCTTCACAAATATGCGCTTCCGAACGACTCGTGACTAGAATGTGGATGGAAGGAAGATCAGGATCGCGAAGAACTTGGGCGAGCAGGGAGATGAGTTCGGTAACCTCGCTTTCGGATTGGCCTTCATCCCTGAATTCGGATGAGTATTCATTGGGGGATTCGTGTGTGCATTCATCAAGGGCGTCGACAACGAACGTCAAAGGAGGACACTTCTGTAGTCTGTAACGAAGCTTCCGCAGAGGTTGTAGAAACAACCCCTCCATCTGCTTGCGAAGTGACTTTTCGGGATCCAGAAGGGTGGGGTCCTTGAGGATAGCTCTGTTCACGTCTGTCTGAATGCTGGAAAAATTTTGGGCAAGCTGGTAGGCAAGCGTTATAAAGAAATAACCAGTCGTGCGGCGTTTCGTGTGTTTGCGCGAGAAGAAGAATGTTCCACCGAGCCGCGTTTCTTCTTTCGTCTCCTCTGTCATTTTCAGGCCTCTCATCCTTTCGGCTACAGTGAACGCTACAGCAGATTTTCCAACGCCGGCTGTGCCATGCAACCAGATCAGTCGATTCGTCTCTTTGGTGTCTGATAATCCATGAATGTGGTTGAGAAGGACCACCCGGGTCCCTTTCAAACATTTCGGATGGGGCCGGCGTTCACGAGAGTCATGTTCAGCTCCCTTCACGGCGACCTGGGAAAACTTCTCCCAGATTCCTTCAGACATATCCAAGATCTGTTTATACCGTCAGGGAACAAGAGGGGAATAAGATATGGGTTGTACTGACGTTGATTCCTTTGGAAAAGAATGTTGATTATGATGATACAGATAAAAGGAATGAACGTCGAGAAGTACTACTGGAGTACGATAGTTAAAGATCATACAAGCAGGGGTACCTCGCAACTTACCAGGACGGATTGCAAGGAAACGACGTTTGGGCGTAGCAATTCTGCAAAACGGTGATGAGCTGAGCGGCGGAAGATTCGAACTATGCCACTTACTCAGTTGTTGATTCTATGAAAAGCTCATTAGAACCTGGATGATGGTGGGGTGCCGCCGCGGCGCTTTGAAGGACCCTGTCACCCTGAACGACTAGGCGCTCGTCCGGTTGCACTCATCGGAGCAACCGCCCAATGGTACGACCAGCATCACAGCCTTTGACTCGCGCGATGCGCTGAGCTATTGGTAACTTGCAAAATTTAGAAATACAAGTTGTGCAAATGTGCGGCAGTTCGTGACAGTAGGAGTCCGATCTAAGTCGAAAACTAATTTTGGACAGTACTAATATTAATGACTTGGATCGGATTGACCTTGTAATAAAATGTAAAGCATTCTGCAGTGGCCTTATAATGCCTGTAGACCAGACAAGACCAGAACATATTGTGAGTCGTACGATAAGGTGATCATAATTGTTAAAATTGACATAAAAAAATCTCTCTGGCGGGGAGTCGAACCCCGCTCTCCCGCGTGACAGGCGGGTGTACTATCCGATATACTACCAGAGATATTAAAAGTGCCAAAACAAAATTATATAAACAGTCACTGTCATCAATCCTTGGTGTTCATTCCTTCCATTGAACTTGATGGCAAGTTCCCAATGGACGCATTTCTTTCGATTCTGGCAGAATTGTCGAACCAGTTCGAACTGTGTTATGAGCTGCGGTGACCCACCCGCCTATCAATGCATCAAGCTTCATCCTGGAGTTCCTGCACAGGTTCAAACCAATATTTCGGGTCGCAAACCCTTCGTGTTGAGCCTTTGGGCCGGAATAGCCTGGTACAAATATTGTTACTATTTCTAAAAATCAGGTATCGCTCATCGATATATCGCTTTTTAAGCGATCTGAAGGTAAGCCTGCTTCATGCTCAGATAAACGTTGACTCATGTGCATTTTTAGATTATACATGGACTGATTGGACTCAGAAGAACAGCTTCTTTGTGCCGATGGGTGGTTTCATGCTTTATGCGGACGGTGAACCCTGCCATACACTACAGCATGACGACATTCTCAAACTGATACGTGACCGGTGTGTCGACATCCCTACCCTGACAGCAAAGCAGATCCACGATAAGAGCAAAGGCAATGCTGTATGGGAAGGGTTGATCATCCTTCGAGTGGCCTGATTTGTTGTGCAACGTTCAGTATGCTGCGGTTGATGTTTACGACTGAACAGGTAGCAGCGATTTCGATCGACGACGAGACGATTACTTTGAAGTTTGGGCTGACCCAACGTGCAGCGTGCGCCTGTACACTCAGGTATCAGTGCTCCGCAGTGGCAAAGGAATTGTGTTTCTGGAAAGAAAGGTACATGGCTTATTTGGCTATAATACCTGGCACATAGCGCAAATATCGCAATAATGTACGTGCACGCGTTATTATGACCTTTCCACTCAAATTCGACTGCGCCTACGCTGACAAACCGGAACACGCCACGAAAGTTGCCCTCTATATGCCCCAAACAAACCGTTCTTTAATTATATTTTGCATGCGTGTAACCGGTAGATATGATCCCCGTTATCGAAAGTTCTGGGTAAGTGGGAGATAGTGTAATAGTCTAGGGCGTGTGGGGCCATGTTGACTGAGGCTTCGAAGGCTGAGATAGATCAAGGGTGTCGATAGCGTAGTCGTATAGAATGTGATTTTGGCGGAAGAGTTGATAAGTGAGAGGGTACATTGTTGAGGATCTCAAGAACATCTCGTCTTCAGTATATACGCAAAAAGATTGAATTCAAAGTGCAGTGTCGAGTTGTGCCGCATACATAAAAATGAATGGAAACAATACATATCAATAAATTTAATCAACGTAGATCACAGAAATGAGTCCATAATTAAAGAAAGTAGACAGTCCATGATCGTACCGACAAAGAATACAGTAAATTGAAGACAATTTGTAGTTTGTACAGTAGAGGAAACCAGATCCAGTCTGTTGGATTTACTAGGATGTGCGGGACTCGGACTGTGGGCGGCGGCCTTCAACTTCTTGGGGAATAACTCCAGGTCGTAGGGGACAATGAAGGAGGTCGCTGTGTCGTTTGACGCGTCGTCGAGATATGGTCGTAGGGGACCTCTGACTCATCGAAGAGCTGATATGGTTGGCGCGTAGTATGTACTGGGCCTTCAACCTCGTGGATGGTATAACTCCATGTCGTAGGGGACAGCGAGGGAGGCCACTAGGTGTTGGGTCGTAGGGAACCTGACACCAGACGTGTTGTAAACGACGTGTCATTTATTTTCTGACACCATAATATCAGTAAGAGGAGTAAGAGTATAAGTAAGCCACTCACTATTCGCAGACGTCGTGTGGAGTTCAGCAGCTGGTAGCATGCCGATACTGTGGTCGCGTTAGGGTGTATTGTGTCTGACGTTTTGGCGACTGTGGGGACACTGGGGAGTTATCGTCAAGAATAGGAGGCTCCATATTTCGAAGTACGGTGTCGATAGCATTGTCGTGTAGGGTCTGTCGTAGTTGAAATTCTGAGGATCGATAGATTTGATGTTTCGGAATAGAGTGTTGGCAGAGTGGCGGCGCAAGTGTTGGTATCCGGAATTGTCGTCAGTGTTATCGTGTAACATGTGTTTCCATGGCTGAGAGGCATTGTCGTCAAGAGTATGAGCGTCTGATCTGTGCAGTAGAGCGTCAACTTGAATAGCGTGGTTGTTAAGAGTCAGCGCGTCTGATTTGTGCAGTAGAGCGTCGATAGCGTGGTTGCCGTCAAGAGCAAGTATGTTGATAGTGGAGTTTTCGTCGAGAGCAAGAGTTACGGTGTCGATAGCGTAGTTGTCGTTAAGAGCGAGAGTTTCTGATCGTTGCAGCAGAACGTCGATAGCGTGGTCGTGCAGATGTGGCCGAAGTTTTGATAAGCGAGAGGGAACATTGTCGAGAGAAAGAGCTACCATTTTTCGAACTAGGTCGTCGATAGCGTGGTCATGCACTACATTGCGTTGAGGCTGACATTTCGATGGTGGAGGGGAACCATTGTCGAGATGTGATCGAAGAGTTGATAAGTGGGAGGGTACATGGTCCAAAGAAAGAGGTGAGAGGTAAGAGGGTACATCGTCGAAGGATACATTGTCGAGAGATAGAATTGAAGTCAAGTGAGAGGGTACATGGTCTAGAGAAAGAGTTGAGAAATGAGAGGGTACATCGTCGAAGGATACATTGTCGAGAGAAGGAGACAGACAAGAAGGTACATCGGCGAGAGAAATAGTTGAAATGTGAGAGGGTACATTGTCGAGAGGAATAGTTGAAATATAAGACGGTACATCGTCGAGAGAAAGAGCTGCCATCCTTCTTATAAGAAGGTCGATAGTGTGAGAGTCGCATTGAGAGGGTACATCTGCGAGAGATATAGTTGAAATGTGAGAGGGTACATTGTCGAGAGAGATAGTTGAAACGTGAGAGGATACATCGTCGAGAGAAATGGTGATAAGGGTACATCGTCAAGAGAGTATGTTGAAATATGAGAGAGTACAGGGTCGAGAGAAAGAGCTGCCATTCTTCGGATTAGATTATTGATAGTGTGAGAGTCAGATGCGGCGTGCAAGATGTGTTCCCGTTCGTCGTCTGCAAGGCACTGTGTTGTAGCCTGACAGTCGTCCTATAGATTCAAACATTAGTCGACAGAATTCAGAGAAAATCTCGCCATTTCTTACCTGGCAGAAAGTGCTTTCGTCAGCAAGCCACTCGAGGTCGTCGTCGAAGACGTTCTTGTCCAAGTCACCATCGCGGGCTATAAACGTTGTGTTAGAATCAATTGTCGACAAGCCTCCGGCGGGGCCGTCAAAGGCAGGCTCAGTTGATTCAGTCACCGCACGCGACGAGGATGGCTGAGTTGGTGCCCCAAAAGTCTTGGTTGTTGAGGTAGAATCCAAAATGCTGTCGCCAGCAAAAGGTGCGTTGAGCTCGGCGGTATCGTCGGCGTCCTTATGAGCGGGGACGCCTTGGCGATCGTCGCTGAGGAATTGTTGCGCAGCTTTAGCGGTGGCTAGAAGGAGGACAGCTGTCGAGGAGCGGACAGTGGATGTAACAAGACTAATGGAGACCTTCTCTGATCTGGACACGACCTGAATAGTGCGGTCGACGACGATTTCTTTGAAGAAAGCGGCTGTAAGATAGCCTTGGAGAGCAACACGGGCGGCATGGGTCAAAGTAGTAGTAGAGATCATATTGGCGAATGAATGGAAAATCGTAAAGATATGCTGGCAGAGTGAAGGAATGATAATGGCGGAACTGACTGAGGGATATCAGTGCGACGACAAATACGAGGCATTTATACCTCAGACTTAAACCTTATTTGCACCAATAAACAGAGCCGATCGCTACGCGGCGCGTCAGTCACGTGTTTGAAAAATCAACATATATAAGTTCGGCGCATTGGTCAATAAATACTATATCCTCCCCGCCTGCTGCATAGCACTGGTAGAACGCAGTGTAAGGTATTATCAAGTGTGTATCAATGCCGCCAAAATCTGGTACACCAAAAGTGCATTATCAACAGGAAGCTGGATGTAGCTTGGTCAGACCGCCGCCCGTGCATGACCGTTACACCAAAATACTGAAAACATAGCTCTCAGTATCAGAGACGGTATATGCACTGATTATGGGAGCTCAGGTAAGCCGGCGTGCTTACACAGGATCGTGACTGAGAATGAGCGGGATCAACGTACCGCCGTTCCATAACCATGGCTAAAAGTATCTTCTCCCATGCCAGACTCGTTACGGGAAAGCGAAATTGAGTTTTGAAATTTCTGCGGCAAATGATTCAACACTTGATACAAGCTATATTATACTCCACCCACAGCAACCGCTTCTTGTAGTCATGGCGGTCCTGGCGAGGGATGTCAAGGTCAATATAAGTACACCACAATACCATCGGGTCTCCGACGCCGTCATGATATCATGATAGTGTATAATCAACTCGGCAATGGAAGCGCGACGCATTCTTTTCATTAGTGAGCTGTGCAATTGTTCAATAACTCGAAGAATCTCTGACAAACATAACTTACTAAGTCAGAGCGATGGACACAGGGTGCGCCAGCCAAAAGGTGATTGCTGGCAAACAAGTCTAAAATATAATAGGCTGAGGCTGTCAACAAGCTGAGAAAAAGTTGGGGTAGGAAGTAGAAGATGCGTCGACTTAACGACGAGCCGGAAGATATTGCCATGACGAGACAAACAATATTTGTTTATGCTCAACCCAACCTCTAAGCTCCTTGTAGATGCGCTCACGTATATGAAAGCTGCATACTTCGCCACATGGTAAATTGTTCATTCCGGGCCGTGCATCGTCAAGCTTCGGGAAACATAAACAGACAGACTATATTCCACCGGTTCCTAAAGACGTTGACAAGCTCCACAACATCGAGGTGATCACTGATGACACTGTTAGTCAACAAAAGATGTAGCGAGGCACAGGGCAAAATATTGTGGGACTTCTCCTTTCAGGACACCCTGAAGTCAGATTTTCTGATATGTAGACTCAGTGCATTCCCACAGCTGGAAGAAACGGAGGTGGTATGGCCGTTTCGTGATTGGAAGCAGCCGGCCCAAAGGAAAAGATGCATGTGAACAATATTTGCAAATCCGGGCCACTGGCTCACTGCGCAAAATGGTTTCAAAGATCTCCAATAAAAAATCCTTACACGATTTCTTAGAAACCGTGATTTGTGCGGGAAGTTACATCCAGGTCGAAACAAACAAGGAAAGGGCTTCAAAATATGTATATCAGTTCAACAGTACAGTTTAGTTGTGCGTGCTCACCGAGGATGCGATCATTACGATACGATGATTTGAGTAGAAAAAATAAAAAATTGCAGGAAGGATAGTATTCTGCATGTCACTGCACAACCTCTTATGGCGTCATAGCCAAGTGGTTACGGCGACAGATTAGAAATCTGTTCCTCTTTGAGGGCGTAGGTTCGAATCCTGCTGACGTCGGTCATCTTTTGCCGCCACTTGGTAGAGCCTTAGCAGTGTCTTGCTCATAATCATACAATGTTAATGAATTCACCATTCATTATGGTCACGGATGATACATAACGCGAGATGCTTATCGAGTCCTGACAAGACTGGAACCAAGCACGATGGCAATACATTATCCGCTGCGGGTCCGCCCATGTGAGACAAATTGTAGGAGGTTAGATTTATTTGTCGTGATACCTAGTGGGCTTAAGCCAGAATTCAGTGGAGCCGAGTGCAATAATTCTGCTGCTAGCGAACAAGATCTCTGTAGCTGGCTAATACGCATCGACACTCACAAAATCAGCCAACGAGATTATTGGCCCCACATGATGTTCCCAGCATTCCATGAACTAAGCTAAACAGGACTCTGACAATTCAATGATTATCACGCTTCGCGTGATGACAGGCGATCGGTTCCGCGATCACGGAAATCCGAGTCTTCCTAATTTTCTGTCTTCCGAGTTGGGGTCGACGGACTCGGAGAGCATGTGCTCTATGGTTTCTGAATGACCGCGGTGTTTGTACGGCATGCTATTTCGCTTTGACCAAATGTGACTGCTTCGGGCGCTCCGGGACTGATTCTTTCGGGCTCTTCTGTCAATGAGCTAACCGCTGGGTTGTGCAACGTGTATGGATAATTATTAATTTTGTCACGAGTACCCCATGAGGACGCTTTGATGCTTCTTTGGTCGGTAATGCGTGAAGTGACGTAGGGGCATACTATGACATCAATAATAAACACGCATAAGACCATATACTCAAGGAAAATAACCATACCGCAGGCACGCAAATATAGGAAGAAGTTCTGGTTGTATGAGCCGTAATTTTCAAGTTCACAAGGTGTCCGTCCGTCCCCGGTGTAGACTAGTAGGCCATCTTCTCGGTAATTAGCCTAGGTGTCGGGGTTGAAAACTCGCAAAGGCTCCACGCTGTCAACCCTGTCTGAGGAAGTAATTAACACAGTTCATCAAGTCACATTAGGAGGCGTTCCCTTCGAAGTTCGAACACACAATAAATTTGATGAGAAAGACCCATGTTTGGTTGGACCGTTCTGACTTCCAAAAATCATAGTCTAAACAAAAATTCTTTCATGAACTCGAGAAGACTCCGTTAGCGAGGAAAAGGTGATATCGGCAATAGCCTCACCTTACGTCGACCATGATTTTTCTCCGGATCAGACTTTGTCCCTAGAAGCTCACATAGAGTTGGATCGCTTCTGCAAACACGATCATGATCAGGGATGGGCCCTAGTAGGGAGCTAACCAAAATGTTTTGGCTCAGGAAGTTCTGTACAGACCAAAAGGGCATGCAAGTCAGAAGTTCAGGGGCAATTTTTTGTTTATTGTCCTGTGTGGCAAAGCCCTATGATGTGACCACCACTGTTCAGGGGCGCATACCGCTAGTCGATGTAGAACAAATAAGTTCAGTCTATCAATGAGTACCTGGCACCTATGCTGCGATGGATTGGACGTGCTCTATGAAAAAGGGCAATAAGGGGACAACAAGAAAAGAGTTCGATTGCCCACATATGTCAAGCTAAGCAGACAATTACAACCATTCCTTCAGTGATCCTGTTTAGGTGAAATGAGTCAGTGCCATGTATGGGAAATGAACAGGCTTGTGAAATCGATGTCGAAGCAGAACCGGTGCTGCGAGAAGTAGAAGTGATGGGACCGCAAGTGCAGCAATGAGATTGTAACCCATACAACATGCAACGATTTGAAACGAAAATCCTTAAATACAGGGTATATTGCTAATTGGTGTAGAAGAATTCTTGAACGTGGATGCCGAGCATAGGGGGAGAAACGAAGGGCCAATGGGAAAAGGGAGGAGGAAGAATAAGCCTGGGTATATGCCGAGCACACCCAGTTCAAATACTCCAGTCAGCAGCGTCTCGGTGAGATAATGTCAGCGCCATCCTCAACGCATTTATGACGTTAATTCGAGCGGGACGGAGGCTACAACGGCTTGTCAAAGGAAATAGCGATGCCGCGGTGACCTATGAACCGATGGGGTGCATAGAAGTGTATGATCGCCTCGGACCATACGGCTACCGCAACGTACAGATCAGCAAGAAGCCGCATCCGCCCAGAGCCCAATCGCCAAGATCGCACACCAAGATTCAAGATCATACAGCAGCACTCTCTTCCAACCACCCCCTCACATCCTTCTTATTCACCAATTTCAAAACCCTCATCCTCTCCTCCGGCGTGCGCTCGCGATACAAACGCATGACATAACCACAAACGCTCCACACGTCTTCCCAAGGCGCATCAAATAGGTCCCACCAGCAATGAGGTGGCGAAGAAGGTAGCGATATGCCGAGATGACGAGAAGTAAGGAGGATAGCTGCGCTGACTATCGTTGGGACTGCGTATAGCGCATAAACGGGTGTCTGCAGGCTACACTCCCATTAGAATGTGTTACCCAATAGCCACAAAAATCACTCACGCATCATTAAGGTACCCCCACGCCCTCGCACAAGCATCCTTCCGACTCGTCAACCCCAAAACGCGGAGATAGTTTATAAGCGTGCCATATGGCAGTACCACATGAACATTAAACCCCAATCGCTTCAGGATCTGCATCTCAGCTACAACTAGTGCATCTTTGAGATCGTAGAAGGTGTTTCCAAAGTAAGACATCGGTGCGTATTTGAATGTGTCCTTGTTTTGAGGCGAGGAGAGTGTGTGGGATGTGCGTTGGAGGAGGAGGTCGTAGACGTTTATGAGGTCGCGCATCCGGAGCGGGCACTCTTCGAGTTTGGATGCGAGGTATAGGGCTCCCATTCCGATGTCCTGTGTGATGAACCATGGATATTGGTTTTGATAGGATAAAAAGCAGAGGAACTCACACCGATACCGAACTGTTTCATGGAAGTTACATACCAGAAACGTTGGAACAGGATTTGAGCTGTGGCTACAGCGACTTGTTTTCTGTACAGAGGTTTCGTAATTGATTGACTGTAGACGCTTGCGCTAGGGTATGAAGACGTACTGTTTCAGTAATATCCCAGCTTCATGTATGAGCTTGCATCCGAATGCCCTCAAGTCCTCTTCTAGATCCGCAGGTAAACCATCCTCTCTAGAAGGGGTGCGTTCTATCTGAGATGTCGAAGCTAGTGGAACCAGATCGACATGCATGTCTGATGCTCCTCCCATGCGTTTGCACTAATGGCACAAGTACTGGTGCTAAGACTATGTGAATTCAATCTCCGCGGCAGTAAATACACACGACTCCAGAAACCACAAAATATCAGAATCATGCAACTCCCTATGAGCGGTCTACCTCCCAAACCAGAAATTAGCAGAACAGCAGGTAGCTGGCCTGAGCCTGCAGACGATAGGAGGTATGTAGGCCGGCCGATGGCAATGGCTGTAGCAGACCATTACCGTCCCCGACGCGACAACAGAGACAGAGACAGATCTGACCGCGACCGCGATCGAGACAGAGATAGAGAACGAGACAGAGACAGAAGCTATCACCCTCCCCGCTCACCACCACCACGTTCGCCTCGAGGAAGAGACACCTACACCTCACCTGCTCGAAACGATACTCACCGCGAGTACCACCACCGTGACGAGCGCTCAAGGGGAGAGAGAGGATGGGAGCCAGATAGAAGGACTTCAGACCGTAGGGATGACAGGGCTTGGACACGCGATGAGCATACAGGGAGGGGACGAGGGCGCGGGAGGGGTCGTGTTTCGCCGCGCAGAGGGAATATCTACCATGGTGGAGGATGCTGGCGAGGCCGCGATTCGGAGCGAGATAGGGATTATGGAGGGCGGGGAAGAAGTCGGGAGTATGACAGGAATCATCATGATAGACGAAGATTTGATGATAGGGAGAGATCGAGTATGCACAGAGCTCCGTATTCTCCACGTCAAGGTAACCCCAAAGCATGCTATACTATTGACTGTTCATGTTTGATTTTGTAGATTCAAATGAACGCCGTCGGGAGCACTACTCGCCTACAAGATCTCCTCGTCGTTCATATTCACCCAGACGGTACAGCAGACCGCCTTCTCCTGATGACAGCATCCGTCGAGATTCATCGAGATCTCCGGTGAAGCGCGAGCTAGAACGTTCTCCTCGTCCACCTTCAGTGCCTCGAAGTCGCTATTCAGACCACCACGGTGATGACAGGCGACGCGGGAGTCGGACTCCCAGTCCCCGTCCCTCAAAACGCTCCTTGTCTCGAGATGTCAAGTCCGAACCGATGCATGAAGAAATGCATCTTTCGACTTCCCCAGCACACTCCCAACGCTCGCTCCGCGCCACAGACTGAGAAACCAGCCACCAAGTCTGCCTCTCCACATGTCGAAGCTGAACTTAACGATGGCCTACACCTTAAAGTCGAGTCAGTCCTTGAAGACAGTCGCTCTCCAGCTTCAATCTCAAATGCCAAGGAGGAGCCCGCAGACCAAGATGGAGACTTCAAAATGCGTGACCGTTCCCCCGGTCCACCGAGCCACCCACCTTATCAAACCATCAAAACGCCACCAACTCCAGCGTCTCCCGCTACATCTTTCAAACACCCAATACCAGAAGAACCCTCGGGTGAAATGTCCAAACCCCTTACAGCGCCCTTCCTACCCCCCTTCACACGCCGGGAAACACTCAAAGAACGCCTAGGCCAAAAATATAAAGACGATGTAATTCTTATTTCGTTCCTATCATATCGCAACTAATACAACACAGCTATCGCAAATTGAAACCATCGAAGCTAGCCGTTCGCGCGCAGCATCCGAACAAGTGCAAAACTCGAAAGCCGTCCGCCGAGCACTGCATGAACTGGAAATGACAACTATAGATCTCCGTGCTGCTCAGATGCGACGCGAGCACGCGGAGAATCACCGGAAGAAAGCTGCGAGTGCGAATGGGTTTTTTGATTTTGAGGCAGAGTTTTCCGGTTCTGTGGCTCGTGCTCCGAGTACTAATAATCCCTAGACTACTTAGTATGACTAGCTGTGTAACGTAACGTAACTGGAAGGCTACTGTGCTGGCTGCCGGTGCGGATGCTAATAATAACTGCCTGATGCATCATCTTGTTGGAGATAGTGGAGTGCCCTTGCTTCTACACCGTGGTGGGCTGCGTTTGATCGTGGAGTGCACATACCTTGAAATGTATGTATTTTGAAAATGTGGCAGGGGATAATGCGACAGTAGTGGGAGGATTCGGTTGTTGGATGACGTGCTGAAGGCCGGACCATCTAGCATCAGGGACGCGCGCCATAACTTACGGAAATGAACGGTTGGCGGCGTCCACGTCGGAATGTGGCAGACGACTTGACATGATGTTGGCTGAAAAGCGGTAATTGTGTGGGGCCCATGATGGCATGAGGTGATCATATGCTACGATTCCACTATCTGAAAGGCTCAGATGACATGCTATGTAATAGTATACAATGTGGAGTTAATGCTGGTAATTATGAATCTAACTTGCGTGTGCTCTGGTGTGGAAGGAAACGTACTGTGCGAATTAAGCTGTGTTATAGAAGGGCGGCAAAATATGTGGCAAAGATCAGGTGGCGCTATACATAATCGGATGTATACATATACTCGCTGAGGGCAGGTTAGAACGGGGTTGAAGAGAGAAATCGAATAACTGACGAAAGGGGAAACCAGTGTGGAGGATAATGTTAATTTCAATGCCCCTAAGATGGGCGATCAGGCCGGGTGGCGGTATATACGTGAGAATGGCCCCGTGTATCGGTGTGATGGACACCGGCTGCCCAGCGTTGTAAATCAGCGTTACGGCGTTTTACACGCAAATGGTCATGGTGGTGGTCGTCATTGTGATCACGTTTCCGTTTGGAAGGTCTGTGTGTGTAGGGTGGGTGTGACAAGTCTTGGTCCGGATCAGGTAGATCGAATTTGAGAAAAGTAGGAGAGTGATATGGAAGTGGACGAGGAGCAAGCAGAGGAACGTCGCATACTACACGTATTGCGACTGGTTCTAGAGAAGGTGATAGATCGGTTGAGAAGGAAGAACATGTTTCAGAAGGGGACGGTGGAACTGAGAAGATGATATAATTAGGAGGTGAAATTGTTTGATTAAGAACAAGCTTACAGTAGGCATTGTGTTTGTCGAAAGTATTCCAAGGGAATAAGTCAGACCAGGAATGATCATCCAGAGGAAAGTTTGCCGATGACCAGCAATCAGGCGATACAAGTAAGGACATGATGGTGAGAGAGGGAGGGAGAGAAGGAAGGATGAGGCATGGGTCTTATATGGAGAGGTGAGACCTTCTGAACGCGATATAAGGGGGTTTCATCATTACATCAATTTGATATTCATATTTTAAAGTCCGATCAAGTACTCATATACTTGGTCCGTCGTAATCACTCACACAGCAAAATGTCGAGCAAATACCTGCCAGTCCGTTATTCTTACTACATTCGCCGCAATTCTCGTGGTTCCTTACCCGTCTACACTGACATACGTAACGGTGGAACGAGATATCTCGTTTCAATCCGGAACGTGCAAGGTCAACTCAATGCAAGTCTTTCTTTCCTTTTGTTTCATTTTTTTGACACCCCTTTAGTCTCTTGCCAACGATTTAAAACAATCCTTATTCAGCCACAACTCTCCAGAGGCTAGTCGATTAAAAGTGCAAGTCGTAGCACAAAGGCACCTTGTGATCTCAGGTGGACGTTGGAAAAATGACGTGATCAGTTGGCTCACATCCAAGGGATTCTGACTTGTATGTAGTCACATGTTTCGTCTACGTAGTACTAGTATTTACACGTCAGCTGCTTCCGACTCCGTTCCGTCCGGAATCGAGCGGATAATCTCAAAGATAAATCATCATCTTCTTATTTTTTTTTTGGTTCTTTCTTCAAAATGTCCACTACTCCTCAGCCAACACCCGTTGCAACAGCGCCAGCACCAGCACCAGCTGCCATCCCTCGATCAGCACAGCGTGATGCAGGAAATAGCAAGTTGGGAACATTTGGAGTGCGCCGCGTCTAATATCCCACAATCTGAATCCATTAATCAATCACTCTCAGGTCAAATCAGGCTTGGCTCAAATGCTCAAGGTACTCCACTCCCCAATACACACTTACCCTTTCTTATCTCCTCCAGGGAGGTGTCATCATGGATGTCATTAACCCGGAGCAGGTGCGAATTATCTTTTCTTACCCCTGACTTTTCACTCACCATGTCTCATTCCAGGCACGTATTGCCGAGGAGGCAGGGGCATGCGCTGTCATGGCACTAGAACGCGTTCCTGCAGATATTCGCAAAGAGGGGGGTGTTTCGCGCATGGTACGCCTTTCTTCCTCCTCCAAACATGTTTCATTGATCCATCTCCACCCCCCAGAGTGACCCCGCCATGATCAAGTCCATCGTGGACGCGGTAACCATTCCCGTAATGGCAAAAGTCCGTATCGGTCACTTTGTAGAAGCCCAGGCCAGTCTCTATTTTCATCCTTATCCCAACTCGCCTGATTACACTCCTTGGCACCGCCATCCTAGATCCTACAAGCCATCGGCATAGACTATATCGACGAGTCAGAAGTTCTCACTCCTGCAGACGACGAGCACCACATCAACAAGCACAATTTCAAAGTCCCCTTTGTATGCGGCGCCCGTAACCTTGGCGAGGCCCTTCGTCGCATCTCAGAAGGAGCTGCTTTCATCCGCACAAAAGGCGAGGCAGGCACAGGTAACGTTGTCGAGGCGGTTCGCCACCAGCGCTCAGTCATGAGCGAGATCAGAAAGGCTAGCGTCATGAACGAAGAAGAGCTGTATGCATATGCAAAAGAGATCCAGGCTCCGTTCCACCTCCTCAAGGAAACGGCCCGCCTAAAACGATTGCCGGTCGTCAATTTTGCTGCTGGAGGTATCGCCACGCCTGGTATGTCCACCGGCTGATGCTGTTGAGCGGGAAACTCACGTCTACGGATCTTAGCGGATGCAGCACTTATGATGCAGCTGGGTTGCGATGGAAGTGAGTCGTATTAAAACCTCATCGGTGTTGATCCTGATCAAAGCGGTTAATAGTTTTTGTTGGTTCGGGCATCTTCCACGTAGGTCCTTACTGACTTGTGGCTAATCTCTATTCACTATTTCTATTCATTCTCTTTCTAGTCTGGCGATCCGGCCAAACGGGCGCGAGCCATCGTGCAGGCGGTACTTTATCTCCTTCCACTGATCATATCATCTCAACTGACACGACGCATAAGGTGACTCATCACAACAATCCCAATATGCTCGCCGAGGTGGGATTCCCTATTTCATCATCTCTACGTGTTTCATTCTAAATCAAATCAGGTATCAGAAGATATCGGTGCTCCTATGGTCGGTCTCACGATGTAAGTTTCATCTTTATATTTACTTTTGTTGGAACGAATCTTAATGTTCATCATTCTTTAGTGACGAAAATCTGAAGGGGGGGAGACTCGCTTCCCGCGGGTGGTGAACAAAAACAAAAGCAAAGGAAGTAACTTCCACCTATGCGATTGTGATTGTGCGCGATAGACGTAAACTTATCGGTCTATGTATATGAAATAGATTGCGCATGCGCAAAATGTTCGCTTCCAATGTGTTTCTCCAAAAAAGGCCAGCACTGTGTATTTTGGGGTAGGTCTTATGTACGTACACCGAAAGTCTGTGAGTCGCGCATATGGCTAACCGATGGACATGCATCTGGTTTTGAAAGTCCGCCTGTGGAGACGAAGGCCTGACTCGCACCTTCGGAACTTCTCCACCGGCTCTCACCGTGCGTCTTGGCTGATACGCTTGGCCTTGGGTCGTCTTCTGTATCGCTTTACCATGTCAACCAAGACTCGAGAGAAAATTTCATGACAAAACAGTTTAACTTGTCGTTCTGCCGACGACGAACTCCGACTTTCGGCATCTGCCAATTTCACCAGGTGGTCGTAATTCCTCATGACTTGAAGTTATAATACGATGAAACGGTGCTATCACAAGCCACTCAACAGACGCCTGATACAGCTTTATTATTCATTATGGATGCCCCTCCTTGAAACCGGTCTAGACTTGTCACTTACGACGGATCTCTGACTCAATCTGAGGGCCCTATTTATCCAGGGCTGGCTACGATACGTGGTTGTTTACCTAAAGGTACGATTGCAGGCCCAGGAACTTGAAGCGATATTTGCGCAGGGAACAGCGGGAATTATTAGTTCATTGGTTTTCTTCAAACAATCAAACAAAACTGCTGTGCCTTCAAACATATTCAAATGCATCCGTTTGTGCTATTCATTTCATTCGTACCCATCATACTCATTCTGCGAGATCCAGAAACAAAACATCGCAGGCACAGGAACTCGAGACAATATATTTGCGCGGGAGCCTGAGAGAACACCAAGAAACGAGTCGAGTTCAAACACAAACTGCTACGCTATCTTACATTCAACTTATTTAAGTATTCATCCATACATGAAAGCGCTGTGCCAAGTATATCCTTTCACATGAAATTCATCTTCTTCGACAAATTGACGTGCTTGTCCTTGAAATTCTTCCTCCAGCGTTCAAGGTCGAAGGCATCGTCATTACTGGTGATGGTAGCAGCATCGAACCCCATGGCGGGATTGAAATGGAACGCGCCACGTGCACAGACGATCTGTTGAATAGTTAAAGTTAGTGTGGATGCCGGGCATGACAGGATGGGATGGGATACTTGCATCGGCGTCTTTGGGCGAGAAAAGGAACGCATCAGATGCATGTGCTGCGGATAGGTGTCTATCACTCACAATAAACAGGAGCCGGAATTGAGACGGAACGCGTCGCACGTGCGTAAGCGTGGCACAATGTAAACGCGAGCTCCTGCAGGCTAAAGAAAGGTGAGGGAGTATATGACAAATGTCAGGCTGCGGACTCACTCGTCTGTATTGTGCTTATAAACGTCATCCCTGAGCGTGATATAATGGCTCGGCCTGCTAGCTGTACAAGTAATCAGTGGTCGAAAAAAGTGTGAGTCATAGTAATGAACGAACTTCCGAGGAGACCACCGTGTGATTGCAAATAGAAGTCGCGCACTGCTGGATTGCCCACTCCCTGGTCTGCGACGAATCCTGCGGGACAGTTACCAGATTTGTCACCATCGCTCCTAGACACGCATTCATAAATCGAGTAGAAACGGAGGCAAATAGCCAAGCAACCTACCTGTTCTTTGGGAAGAACCGGACATGGTGTCTTGAGGAAACACAGTGGATGAGCGACGAAAGTGAATCACATAGAATAGATCGCAGACTTACCGTTTACCCACGACTATGAATGTAAGCTCGGGTTTCGGGCCTTTCACCCCTTTGTCCCGCCAGACGTCATCGATCGCCCCTAGTAGACACGGTGAAAACAAGAAATGGCCATCGCTGGACTAACTCACCTGTAATGTCCTCGATTTCCTCCTTTCCCGTGAGCGCGTATTCTCCTTCGGAAAGACCATCTCGGAAGAAAATGATGCGCACTGGGGCAGCCCTGTTACGCTCACCAAACTCGTAGATCGCGCGCTTGTAATAGTTGAACTGCGTGTACACATGACAGACGGAAAGAAAGAACTTACATATACCAATTTGCGTAACTCGTCGATTTTTTCTTGGCGGGGGTGTTGAACCGACATCATAGCTTCGTACCGTACAGCATACCGATCAAACGAATATACCAGAGATGCCACAGAGGGCTGGTTAATCGTGCCCGGTGCAGGATGCCCCACATCGGCACCTGGTGCAGGATGAACCAGCCTTCGATGAGTCTCCAGGGCCAAACAGAGACAATACATACCCATAACCATGAATGGAGCACTCGTGAGTTTCTCCAACGCGCCTGACCTTGGCAGTGAATTGACGCCTCCAAGTTTAGCGTTGATCCTATCGAACGAGTCAAGAGTGTGCATCGAGACAGATCAAAATTTGACGTACTTCATGCCTAGATTCGCACAGTATTGGTCATTAGCTCTCTCGATCTTGTTCTCTCGCTAGATGGAGAATATCATAACGGAGGTCACAAACAACGTGACATGACTCACGACACACTGTGTTGGGAACTAGGCAAGATGTGAGCATCATTCGGGCCGGTCAGGTAAGAGTACATACACCGGCGATAACGTCACCAAACGACTTGATAGCGTGATAGATGTCCGTTGAACTGGTCGGCAGGATGGCCAACACCATCTCCGGATCATTGCCTATCTTATTGCTGACGGCATGTTTGAGCGACCTCATGTCCTGATTAGAATGAGTCCATTGTCAGTGGTCGAATCAACAAGGCGCTCACGTTCACCACAGACGACGCGCCAGCACACGATTGACTTGCTGCTGGAGGGGATAGATCTGCCAAACAACGATCAGTAGCTAGAAATGAAATTCGACATCCTATTTACTCATTCCTAAGATGGATAGATTAGTTTGCGATACACAGAAGATAAAAAGACGAATGGCACCAAGTTTTCTGCATGCGTTTAGCAGAGTGTTGATAAACCTATTTATCGTTTGATCGCTGACCCTTGAGTAATTAAGAATCCCCCAGGACGATAGAGCCTTCGGCTCATGGAAATTCTGGTCAATCATATTCCACGAACCATTTCGCGGTTGCTGTAGGTCAAGAATCAAATCATTACGTGTCATGCATTCTGACATCCGAAACTTACAACAGGTCTACTAGTAGCAGGATTGCCATAATGTATTTTGGGCGTCGGAAGGACACGCCCGTTGATCGAGATAGGGTCTGGGGATACCGTGATCCCCGCGTCTTGCAAGAATGGCGAGTTCTGATAGTCTAGAGCCTGTACAAGCAGTTAATCATACGCATGCAAAGATGACTGTCTCATTTACAGATCGTTGGTCAGCTGTAATAGAATTGTTAATCCCAGCACTGATGAGCGCCAGGCGATCCTGTGGGTTCTTAGAAGAAAATTTTACCATCGACGGCGAGAATTCGGGAGGGAGTTTGCGTGTGTATCGTTGATCGGGGGCGATATTACACAACTCTGCCGGGATAACCTCGTCACGATCCTTCGATCCAACTTGAATGCCGATAATGTTCGGATAGTTTATTGGGCGACTCCAAGCTTTCATGAAATAGTCCTGCACTTGCTATGAGAGAAGCTGTCATGAATGTGATTTGTATCAAAACCTACCTTGACCGTGGTATTCTCGAACTCGAAGTTACCAGCATTGGGAACCAAGCCTCGAATCTTTTTCAGGCCCGGCCGGTGGACGAGGGTGACAGAGACGCCTTTGAAGAAATTCTTCAACTGCCGGAACTGCTGGGAATCTGGGCGAAGGTCCAGCGCACGAACATCGTGCTGCTTCAAAACAGCGAGTGCAGCGGCCTGAAAGCTACCCTGCTTAAACCTGAAATTTACGTGAGCGTTCATGTATGGCAATTGAGGCGGGCTTGCTTACATGACGGCTGTCGACACATCAATGTTCACCAAAACCTTCCCTATGGTAGGGCGAACACTCCTATTGTATGTTGGTCAAAGATACATCACCAGAGATGCTGAGGCTTACTGGAAGTATCCACGCCATAATTCTAAGCCTCCACCTAAGGGCTGTATGCCGGCGTCTTTAGTGAAGAATGCGCGCGTATTGTTCGGATATTTTCTGCGGAAAAAAATGAGCATTCCTACTCGAATACTGATAAAAGCCGCAAGCGAGACACACAAATTGGGTGCCTGGCGGATGATCAACTGTAGGACATTGATCGCTGTTAGAACCTGAGGAGTTTGCTTGGTCTGCTTTCCATCGATAAATGCCTGTAAACCACTATAATTCGATGGTAAGCGGAAAATGGGAAAAAACTCGCTGGATAGAATTACATACCTGAAGTCAATTGGATCAGCGGCGACCATTTTCAGGGATACCTGGACAATTCCGCGGGTTGGGGCGGATCCATCCGTCCTAGGTTTGTTAGACATATTGACCTCGAACTAACCAAAAGGAGATATTGATCAGTAGCTCCAACTCGAACACCTGACTCTTACGGTTTGAGAGTCTCTTCCAGACAACGGAAGCTCGCGGGGGGAGTACATGATGACGGCCCCGTCGAAAATACAGCGCGGTGTGAATAGGTTTGGATCGGTGTGGTTTTGGAGGCGTTCAAAGACTTCGATCCTCCTGCGAGGATTTCTTACGTCTCTCCCGCCACCGGAGATTGCTATATTCGGGTGAGGCGCCATCATTGGCCACTAGGGTACGTACAGGTACTCACCAACTATATGACGTTCAGCCATTGTGTCATTGTAATAATAGTGGAGCTTACCTTCATATTGATAATATCGGGTCCTCGTCGGCAGCTTCGAGATGACAAACGAGTTTGTCAGAACCTGCTGGGGTACGCCCTTGCCTCGAGTAGACATTTGAGTGAGTGATATTTAAGAAAATTTTCGATTGACTTGACTGGAGACTGAACGCAGGAGGGAGGAGGTATATATACCTGTGGATAATCGATGATAATTTCACCAGGTGGTCCAGCATGTCAGCTCAATCCGACCGATATGGACGTGATCAGTGACATACTGATCAGATAAGTTGATTCCTGGGTGTCCACTGATGCCTCATTGCGATAACGTAGAACAACGTCCATCTTTTCCGTGACGATCGGTGGGGTCAGGGCCATAAGGCAACAAGCAGCTTCTGATCAGTACTCAAGGCGACTCAAGGGGGATATGAGCATACTCAAGCTTCTCGGATCACGCAGAATAGGAGCATAGAAGCCTAGAATTAGGACGCAGAAAGTTGATAAAGCGCAAAGAACATGTCCAAAGTAGCAGATGATATGTAGAAGGGAATATGATAAAGAACCCGCTCCTGAGTATTGGGTCATCATACAATCCTTACAGCCACGAAACATCGCGAAGGCGTACAGATCTCAATAACGTGACCCCACCTCAAGCCAATCATAACCCTCCTTCAGCAGCAAGGGCTCGACTGTTGTTGCTGAACAGATTGTCCTGGTGTAACTGTTGACGATTTGGCGCCACCAGCAGGCGTCGAGGTCGATCCCATCCTTGAGACAAGTCAGATACGCTGCATGAGTACTAGGTAATAAATTTGCCCACCTATCCTTGATCTGTTTCGCCATCGTCAAAAATGCTTGCTCAACATTTGTCGCATTCTTTGCAGACGTCTCCAGGAAAGGAATGCTGAGCTGATCGGCAAATTCCTGTCAAGGGGGTTAGAACGTCCCAAAACGAAATATTCTAAGTAAATACATGCCTTCGCCACGCTGTACTCTACCACCTTCTTGCTGGTGAGATCGCTCTTATTCCCAACTAGCAGCTTATTGACGCCCTCAGAGGCGTAACGGTCTATCTCCTGTAGCCATTGCTTGACGTTCGTGAAAGTTTCTTATTGTCGGGGTAAGCATCCAAGTCGGCGTTCCAGGTAAGCATTCTCACCGTTATCAGTAACGTCGTACACAACGATGATACCATGAGCCCCTCTGTAGTACGAGGACGTTATGGTGCGGAATCGTTCTTGACCTTCTCACATCAGCCCATCATTGCATGGAAGTTAGCGTATCAACGTACCTGCGGTGTCCCACTGTAACGCACAGAAGAATGGTATGTAAGCAACAAGTTAATGTAAAAATGATTCAGGCGGCTTCGCGAAGCAATGCATGTTGACTGCATTGACACACTCCAGTACACGTAGTGGTAGCGTCTGGCTGCAGTACTCCAAAGGGGAGTCGTGAAAGGCACCCCACTCACAATTTGCAACTTGACAGTCTTGCCTTCGAGTTCAATAGTGCGAATCTTAAAGTCAACACCAATAGTACTGATATAACTCTCAGTGTACGTGTCGTCCGCGAAACGGAGGAGAAGACAAGACTGTCGAAGGACACGACATCAGCGGATACTTTGAAATTGGTCGCCGCAGTAGCAACGTACCTTTCCGACACCAGAGTCACCGATGAGGAGAAGCTTGAAAAGATAGTCGTATTCGCTGGTGTGCATGGTGAGCTCGAGTATGAGATGGACGGTGGCAACTAAGGGAGACGAGGTAAGAAAAGACTTGGGACAAGGTGAATTGGTTGTTGGTGCTGTGTGACGCGAGGTGTGTGAGGCGTGACTCTGACAACACGCCGCCCAAGCACCGCCACTCTCATGTCCCTTCTATGCCTCACAACAATAAATGCAGACCTGGCAGGCTTTGGGCCGCCTCTGCATCTCCCAAATTACTGCACATTTATCTGGGCGACGAGCAAAATACACTGGGTTCTAGAAATGCCCTTAGAATGACGCGTTTGGCATGTGTCGAGCCTGACGTCAAAGCTATTTAATCTCGGTAGCACCGTGACTAGTACGCGTTTACGCGTAGAACACCAACGTAAGGAATTCCTAGGAGGCATGGCTGTAATCCTTGATGACAATTGAAACTTCCTCATTGTTGCGGACTACCCCTTTAGTGAAGATGCGTGTTCCGTCAGTTCTTCCAGTAACGTCATAATGCTGGCCCAGTACATTCCTGTAATGATGCGGCCGATTATTTTGACATAACCTGGTGGGGCTTACTGCCATCATGGATTCCTACTGAGGCTAGCTCAAATCAGATTCCAATCAAGACCGATCAAATGGGATCAAATCAGAGTGAAGGGAACTTACCAGCGATCCAGAAACTTCCTGGGCCTCGTCCATTCTAAATCTCCACATTTTCTGTCTTCTCGATATGGAGACTAATATGAACAGGTTAGACCATCGGAGTAACCCTTTTCGAAGGATGCCGCTTCGCCTACAGCGTGGACTTCATCAAGATCCATCTGTTTTACTTAGCGATATATCAGTGGCCAGTAGCCAAGAGTAGTGGGTCTCGTGTTCTCCCACCTGCGTAATTTAACTGATGGCCCCTTAGTGCGTATCTGATTCGTACCGAGTACGTGTGCTGGTGTCATCCCATTAGTCCCCTCTCATGCCGCCGATCTATAGCATTGGAGGACAAGATTTTTGGATCACATTTGATACCGGCTCCTCAGACCTCGTGAGCCTGCCGTTATCTTTTTTTTTCGAATAGACTACACTCAGAAACTCCATTTCTATCTCGCAGTGGGTAGTCTCATCAGATTGTACCAATTCAGATTGCCAAGGCATCACGAGATACTCGCCATCGTCATCTAGCACACTGACCTTATCAGATCAACCCTTCGAACTGGCATACCTGGTGGGATCAGTGCTGGGAACAATAGGCACAGAGACCGTGACACTCGGACCGTATGAAATATCCTCTCAAACGTTTGGTGCGGTCCCCGTTTCACGTCCTTGTTGAAATACTCAACGATCACCGCACAGCCTTGGCTAACCAGACGAGTGGGCTTGGACTTTCTTACACGGGAAGCTCGGGTATTCTAGGCCTATCGTTTCCACTCGTTGCTTCCATCCCTTTAACGTCTGGGACACCCATCCTGGATAATCTGTTTGCTCATTTTGACGACCAGCACCGGTTTTTCGCATTCAAATTAGGACGGAACGAGTCACAGGACATCTCCTATTCAGATTCATCGCTCACCATTGGGGAATTGGACTCCTCTTTGACAAATGATACGAGTCAGTTCGTGTTTACGCCGGTCTTCGCATCAACACCGGACGAGTATGACTTCTGGAAACTTCCAATTCAACAAGTCACTATCAACGATCAGGTCCTTGCTCTTTCCCGTTCGCTGGTCCGCGGTGCACCGTCACCAATCGCTGTGCTTGACACCGGGACGACCCTCATTTTAGGTCCGACTGCGGACGTTGATGCGTTCTGGTATGCCATAGGAACGGGTGGATCCACGAGATACAACCAGCAGACACAAACATGGCAAGTCAGGTGCGAGAGGGCCGTGGACGTGCGCTTTAAACTTGGCAATTCCGATACTGCAAAAGATTATCCACTTCACCCCGAGGATGTCAGCTGGGCTGAAAGTGAAACGCAAGACGGCTGGTGTACCGGTGGGATACAGGCAAACAACGCAGTGAGAATGCTCCCAGACTAAATCTTGGTTGTGTTCTGACTTCACAACTCATAGGTCAACTCTGGAGATTGGCTTCTCGGGGCTGTGTTTTTGAGGGTACGTCCAGATTTTTCTTCTTCGATCGTTCCTCCCTAATCGTCTTGTAGAACGTCTACGTCATACACCAGGGCCCAACATCCTCCAATACACCGATGATCGGGTTGTTGAACACGACAGACCCATCCGCTGCTCTCGCAGAGTTCACATCATCCAGAGGACAAGATCCAGCTCCCCCACCTTCCCTGCTACGTCCTGGTTCTTCGGCCACGGAAATGAGGGATACTCTCGCGACGTGTGTGGTGTGCGGGGTGTGCGGATTCTTGATTGGAGCGATCGGAATTGTGATCTATCGTGTCCGACAACAAAGGAGATCGCAAGGACGAGTCCATATATGATACAACTCGAATAGATAACATGTCCAGCATCCAGAAAAAATAGTTATACAAAGACGCCTAGTATCGTACCTCATCCTACAAGGTATGCAGAAGGGCAAACATAATCAATGATGCGACGCGCTCGTCATTCTGTGCGTTACTTCTGCTGAGGTTGGACGTAGCCAGGCTGGTATCCAGTGCCCTGAGACGACCCATACTGACCCTGCAATTGCGGGTGCTGATACCCAGCTTGTGCGATCTGAGGCTCCCACCTACCAAAAACACCATCAAATCCCACTCCTCAAAGCAGACCAAAACGAAAAAACCCCACTCACCCAGGCTGCATTTCCACCTGCAGCTGACATATCCCACACATCCAAACATGCTTCGAGTTCATAGGAATGAGCGGGACGAAACACAGCTCGAACCACGTCCTGGATTTTGCTGAGAACATCGCAGCTGAAGCAGGCTTAGTTTTGAGGAGGAGGGTTCTGGGGATGCTATGACGTACCGTTATGGCACCGGGGGCATATTCTCGCTGCTTGATTTCCATCGGGCTTGATTTTTGTGGGGCAACCGACTGCAAAAAGGGAATTTAATATCGGCGTGAGCGCGCTAACCTAGGTGAGAAATCCCACGAACTCATGATTGGTAGGCAGACTGTAGGCAAAGTATCAGAAACTGGTCAGCAGAATGTATCCTGGCTTACAAAAGCAATCCATCATAACAGTGATGTAGGGATGAACGACAGTTGGTGATGAGTGAGGTGAGTTAACGTTGTGGTGCCCCGCAGTTACGCACAGGGTCCTAATGGGGTTTATGTAAAACACGAACAGGTAAATTTGAAATTGCAAGCCTGACAGAATCAGGTCTTTCGAAGGCGAGGCTCATACATAAATACATACACGTTGAGCGCTGAGGGTTGTATATACATGAAACAGCGTATCTCCAAGGTTATTATCATACATCTTCAAATTCACGACGAATACACTGGCAGACATTATTGTCCTCACCAGTTCACCGACTCCGATGTTAAGGCGCACTGAGCGAGATCTGGGGGGCATTCAAGTCAGATAAGCGCTCCACAGTATCGACCTGCTCACCTTCAAAAAATCTTCATAGTTGAGTTGAATCCAACCGTCATTGTCACGATCCTCCCTGAGTAGTTCGTCAAGAACTGCGTGGCATGGATAAATCATACATACCTTTGGAATGTCTCTGTCAAAGTCTTGACGCTCACGCATGCTCTCACGAAGCGGTCGAAAGTGATACCAGGAGGAGGGCCGTACGCAGTAGGCGTAACAGATGCTATCAAAACAATTTAAACATTTAAGTCACCACAGAAAAAGTGTCCAATCACCGTATCGAACTTCAAGCGCTCGCAACAAAGGAGGAGATAGGTTATAACCAAAGTTGCGTAGAGCTTCCGCAAGTTCGCGTCCATCGATAGAACCAGAATGATCTCTATCGAAGTGCTTGAAGACTCTCTGCCACTCGGCGATGTATTTCCATAAACCAGCGAATTCTTGAGACCAAATCGATGTCAGCGATAAGTACGGTCAAGAATTTCATATATAAAGCATACATACCATTGAAGGCGATGGTTCCACTTCGATCGGTATCCTGCGGGAAACGTTATGTATTGATTTCTTTAAGATGTGGGGTCATACATACGAAGATGTTCATGAGCATCTTGACCGTATCGAGATCGAACTCTAAGCATTTATTTCAGCATAACGGGTCCACGAGAAAGAGCCCCCAGTCCGGGTCTCGGGAAGATCGCTCAATGTCCCGCGAGAATTCGCGGTACGGTATTGCCAATCGCAGGGAAGCTACAAGGGGCGTACTCACTCGTCCAATTTCCTAGTGGAAGCACGGTGGTAATAGCACGAAATGCTATTCGCAAGATTAAAGCAGGGCTTACCGTTTACTAGGGCATCTTGGAGTTCTGTGACGCTGAGAGCACCGGATCTATCGGTATCGACAGCGCAGAACCACTGCCAGAGCTGAGGATCAGCGCCAGTTGGAGGACCTTGTTGATAACCGTACTGCGGCCTGGGCTGGGAGCTTGGATAACGACTTAGGTTTGAGGAATATGAACTAGTAGGGTTTGAAGTATAGGCATTTGCGGGAGGGTTAGGGGTATAGTAAGACATCCGATATGATGGCGGGCGGTTAAGAGAAGAGGGATACGATACAGCATTGTGACCTGGAGAGTGGCTGTGCTAATACGCTGAATCCGGTTTCTTCACAATAAGCAAGTTTGAAGACTGATGTGGTCCTTCGCGAAGTGGTACTCAAGCCATATATGCCATTCAAAATATTGTTATTTCTCACCGCGGAGGTCCGAGAACGTGTGCAATGCCAACGGTGATGTGCCAGGCGGGAGACCACGATGATTCTCCCGTGAAGGTTCAGATATTTGACGCCGGGTAAGGCTCGCTATGGTCTAGACTCATTGTCACTGCTTATCATGCCTTTGAAGTTACACATGGCGGCAAGTTCATTCGCACAATCATTTTTGAATTGCCCAGGCAGGGCGGGCTCCTGAAGCGTATTAATCAAAAAAAAAGGATCCTTATCCTGACGGAACCTCGATAGTACCTACTTTGACAGCGGGGATCTTCGCATAGCAAGGAACAGTCCGGTGCGTATCCAGTGCGAAGCAACAACAAGAACAACTCGGCAAGCTAATCGATATCCAAAGTTTTTCGAGGTTTCTGCTTCCCTCCGGAAGACTTCTGTTCTCGCCTCAAGACTGAACATAGAAAGCTGTGCGGCAGTCAGCGTAGCCGCATTCCGGAGGATCGGTATTTTTCTGACATAGAATTAGGTTTAAGGCGCTCAGTCGCAACCCTATCTACGGCATTTAGACATGTAAAGGCGAATTCGGAGATAGGAGTCCGTTTCGTAACGCCTAACTGATCATGATAGCGATATCACGGCCTCGAGCATTCGATGGTACTATGGAGGCCATGGTTATTCCATGGCTTGATACAAGGTTCACTGTTGACGACCCTGGAATAGCGTGCTCTCGACACGAGGACTCGAACCAATTAACAACATGCGGCGGGATGACATCAATAGCTTTTACTACATGGGGTTCAAGAAGTCGTATCCTTTTTTTGTTTGGAGAATGGAAGAATCACACAAGTCTGCGGGATTAATGGGTCGGAGACACTTGGTGATCTCACAGTTGCCGGCCGCCAACGTCGCGACATATTTGGTATAGTCAACTTTAAAAAATCATCTCCAGCGTTGCGGCTCGGCTATGAAGATATGAATATCAATACAGTTTGACGGAAGTTTGTACAATTGGAGCGCCACCAAATAGAAAAACTTTTTGAAGACCTTCACGCTTTCAAGTACTCCCAACCTAGTCCAGGCGTCAATATACTGTCGACCGCCAAATTTGAATTGAATTATATTATTTAAATATAGACATATCACCTCACATCTTCTTATGACGTATTCACCAATTTACATTCTCATGCCCAATAATAATACAATCTATGTCTCTATATGATAATGAATATTGTGGTAATCACTAGGCAGACGGCGGGTATAAACAATTCTAATACAATGCAAGAATCTATCCAGTGATAAAGCGGTAATGTATATATAATGACTATAAGATGAACGTGAAAAATGATCAATGTAGCTCCACACCGTGATGTAGAACTTAAAAAAAAAAAAAATAGATCAAGTGACTAGTGATAGAACGTCGGGCAATCTCCTCCAGTGAAAATAACGCTGGGGTCCAGATAACCACTCCCAGGTCCAACTGGATGTTGGTATTGCGACGTCCATCCATGAGGCCCCCCAACAACACCGGGCCCCGTATTGCTGTCCACAGAAAATGAGAATGGATCCAAATCCCCATTGTAGAATGATTCATTCTCCGTTTTCAACGAGTGTTGGATAGGAGGAAGATGTTTTAATGATGATAGCGTGTGAGGTGATTCAGAATCAGGTGGCGACACACTCCGGTTCGTAGTGGGATTACTAGTCATCGAACCTGACGTCGTCGGTGGCGTATAAGTCGACCAGCTCGCAGCACTACCGTCGTCTGTGATAGCTGTGTTTGGTGATCTTTCTACCGGAGAGAATGCGAGCGAAAGCGGGGGAAGATGAGGTCGAGTCTGTCCTGCTGCAGATACAAGCGAGAGCGAACGAGGCGTCGTGCCCTGACCCCGAGCAGACGCCGGCAACGACGATTTGTTAATCATATAAGGCGAACGATCCTGCGAACGTTGTCCTGAGTGATAAGCCTGAGCACGTTGATCCTCAAGATAATCACGCTGACGGTTGCGTTCACGACGGCGCTCATCATCACGAATGACCCGTGCCTCCCACACCATGCGAACAGTCTTCTCTCGCTCCTGGCTATTGGCGTAGATCCAGCCAATCTCTCCTAGTGCGCGCAGACACACGTCAACACCATCCTCGGCGTCCGCGTCCCAAGCGAGTCCATCATCGCCTTTTAGATCACTGTCTGCATCTTGATCAACGTCCCCTTGCGCAAGTAGCAACGCAGCATAGTAGCATCCGTCTCGGATGAGGCCGGCATCGTGAGCGAAGAAACCGCTCGAGGGAACAGCTAGGTGTCGCTTCAAGATAGCGATGACGCGGGGAAGGAAAAGGCGGCAACGGCGAGTAGCCTGGGCAAGCATGCGGCAAAGGGCACGATCAGCGGGAGGCGATCGGCCGTTCGAGTCGGGGCTTCCCTTGGTCTGTGTGACAATCCGCTGTCTCAAGGCTTCCCGGATGATGTTCAAGCACTCAAAGATGAACACTTGCCATCCGCTAACGAAACGCTCGACATCCTCTCCACGCACAAGGCCGCCGCCCACGGTGCCTATGCCACCTGCTCCGCGACGGAGAGATTCGAAATCCTCCCAGCATCGCTCGAGCCCATCCCAGATTTCCACGAGGGAGTCCTCGCGGATGGCAACACCAGCATCGGTGCGACGGCGCGCACGAGGTCCAGTGAGCACCGAGTGAACGGCACGACACACGCCAGATACGGCTAAGGCAAGCGAAAAATAATGGGAAGAGAGGAGGTAAGAAAGCGAAGCGCGCGAGTGGCCGCGAGGATCTTGCAATGAATTCACAGGGTTATCAGACGATGCTGTAGAAGTGGCGGTAGGTGAGGAGTGTGATGAAGCAGACGTAGAGGAAGGAGCGCTGCCAGATGCAGATGCGCAATATTGAGGAGGGAGCGTGCTTTGGAACGCAATAAGGTCATCCTCATCACTGGGAATAATCAGAGAATGTCACTCAGGGATTGCATGTACTTACAGATATAGCCGACCGCCGCGTAAAGCGGTGCGGACACCTTCATGTACGTAGGCATACCAGAAAACTCTGGCACGGACAAGTGCATCGCAATATGATCCTTGGCCGCTCTGTAGCACAGAGTGATTGCTCGAGGTGCAGAGTGTGTAGACTTGGGAGAGCGTCGCCTCATACATGGTCTGGATAAGGACAATCAGTCAATACGATTCCAAGTCATAAATTGAGCACTGGCGCTTACCCCCCTGTCCATGGAATTTTGGATACCTGGAAGAGTGCGTCAGCTGAGGGTATCCTGAAAATATTAATGGAAAACAAACCCTGAGTTAATGGAAGAATGAGTAGGAGGACTCTGACACCGTCCCAAGTTGGGCGTCGTAGCAGAGCGTGAATATCGATGAGATGGAGGATCTCCCTAATCATTGCCTCTACACGAAGAGTACGAGTGCGGTGGCTGGGGTCAGAGAAATCGTCGTCGCCATCCGGGGAGAACTTGGGTCCGTCGGGCGTAGTGGGGGAATGAGGCTCGACTTCTTCCTCGATACCATATTCATTGACGCCAAATGAGGCAGCCCATGTGACAAGTAGCATCGCGATCATTTGACCCTCGATACTGAGGGCGGAAGTGCCTTTAATATGAGCAAAGTATCTTGATGTGAACTCAGTGGGTTCGATTATAGGACCTAGATGAAGATATATGGATCTATGATGACCATGACGGCAAAATGAATGCTTACGTTGGATGCTAAACCTGCGGAAGAAGGATGAGCTAAGGAATTCCAGCTTCAGGTGGGGAATGATGGTTTGTCTGGGTGCGGCGATCGCCGCGGAAAGCGTGGTTTGGATCGTGGGGTTTGATCCTGTGGGTATGGTAGAAGACGGGCTGGATTCATCATCCGTAACTTTGCCGTAGACGGCTCTAAGTGAATTTAATTTGATGAGACTAATGGTGGGGGTGGAAGAGATGTTATGACTCACTCCACTTGTTGTAGACGACGGCCGCGTCTTAGAAGTTTGACTGCTTTGACTTCGGCGAATTCATCACTGAAGGAAATATGATCAATTATGGAGCTGACATGCTGAATGTTACGTACACGCATTTGATCCCACGTTCTTTGCAGTTTGAGCATGAAGACTGCTGGATACCATTTGAAGTCTGGGTCACGGGGAGGTCTTTGAGGTCGCATCGAACTCTATAAAAGATTGAGATGAAGAGATATGAAGAATGAAGGGAGTGAGGACGTACCTTCGCATGCGACAAGCGCCACAAGCAGAGAACTGTTGCCTGGAGGACTTTGGTTGACCAGCAGCTCTTCGGGGGTATGGGGCGCTAGCTGCTGAAGCGCTTCTCGGAGCAGATGAAGACGCTCGTGGCGACATTGTTGTGGTAGAGGAACGTTGTTGTTGTTGAGTAGATCAGGAGGAGGAAGGAGAAGAAGAGGAAGATGAAGACTTTAAAGGATAAGAATGGGGTGGGATTTATAATAAGGTATGATGATGTGTTTTGACGTCGATATGCGGAAGTTGTATTGGCAGTTGAGACGGCTCGAATAGAACACGGATTAAAAAGGTATGAGTGAAAGACACGAGAAAAACGGATGTCGTAAGTCGAAGTCGATCCTTCGGGAACACCAGATTCGGGGTTTGTCCGTTTACCTTCGCTTCAAGTTGATATTTGATGCTGTACCTTCGGGGACCTGCGAGCGGAGACTCTCTCGTTATACAGTGGCGTTTGATCTGGATCTACATGTCAAGTTCGAGTTCAAATCAACTAGGCCATTTCCATGCACGAGGCCGTCGTTGCAATCAACGTTGATTCACAGGTGGCTGCAACGTTTTTCTAGTCGGATATCGATAGATTCAGGACCACACCAGTGCACTTGATGTTGTTACAATCACTGTGTTTTCCGCCAATCATAAGACGCCGCCCAGTCAACCCTGACAGGATTGACAGGTGTCTACGTACTCACTTTTCTCAACTTTGCACTGGGCGGGCGATCCTGTCATTGATAGGCTCGGTCTTGGCTACTTCCAGTTTGCCGTCTTCGAAGGTCCAAACAAGCTGTGAACTCAATTTCGATTTCCGACATTCCGGATTTAATTAGGTCAGATCTGTGATTATTGATTCCATCCTCAACTTAAGCGCTTCACTATGTTTTTTTCGATGATGGAAAGTGCCAGTTGACTCAGGTCAGGGCCCATGTTGGCCCATGATGCGCTCATGTCCTTTGTCAAAGAAAGTCTTATTGTGCGGCCTTTTTGCGCCACAGTGCTCTTACGACAAAGATTCTGTCATGAGCCGCCGGGGATATCTTTGACTCAAAGCACTAGTGATTTGCATTGTGATATCACCCCTGCCCCTGCTTAACGAAATTCATTCAAGAAAACAGCATGGTGCATCTATACGTATCACTCAAATTGGGTCATACTCACTACACAGCCTTGGTGCTTTTCGAAGTTCCGATGTGACCGTCTGATTGCAAAGCAATGTCACTGTCACTCAGCTAATATCGGCTTCGGTGTACCCCACCTCACCGAGCGCTTGTTAAACCGCGCTCAACCAAGACCCACAGGTTTTGTATTGCGCCATCACATATGTAACGTGCGCACATGAATCTGTCAATCAGCAGAATGACTCAATCCCGCCCGCTTTGCCAATCGCCCTTCTTAGTTCACCCACTGTCTTTTGTTCTGGATTCAGACGACGATCTATCGCCATCCTTTCATAGTTATCGCCATATTTTTGGATCAAATGCGCAAGGTATGTTCTTTCTCCACACGACGAGTGTCGGGCAAGTGCCCTGCCCGAGGCCGACAGTTTTTCCAGCACTGTTATTTCAAACAAAAGTTGCAAAGTCAGCAATCAAGAAACGCCGTATGTCATATGATATCAACACAAAGGACAGCCGGTGCCGTACAAGTATATATGTCAATGGTCCCCAACTGAGATCATTTGACACCATACTGTCATACAAAACTGAGTTTTGCGCCAGAAGGCATTGATGCCACTAGAACATTTATTTTAATAGCATTACTCACCAACAACCGGATGTGTTCCCCGCGCACATGACGAAGACAATCCGCGTGCATCCATCGTGTCATTCCGATGCTGTGTTTTATTCAGGCAACCAACCCAGTCATCCATTGTTTTCTCATCTACATCCGCTTCCGGGAGCCCGTTGTTTTCTACGGATTCCTGCATCTCTTCAGATTCAGCAAGGTCGATTCGTATCACATCACCAGATTCGTCTCGAATAATTCTTCCAAACCCTCTGGGTATGGTTGAAGAACCGGACTCAAGAGTAGCAGAAGCCGACCCAGCGCCATCTGAATCCTTTGGGGGGATCACCGTCCGTTCTGCTCCGCCTGATTGCGTTGGGGTCAAAGCGAACTGAAGTCCTAGCGCAGCATAACTATAGGAAAATATTTGTTCAGATATCAACTCATTAAATTAGTTGTGAGCCGCGGAGCTGATGTCAAGTCTCGCGGAGGTTGACAGGGAGGAAGACATGTTCCATTTGGACAGCTGCCCGCCATACTAATAGTCTGGTGATTGGCGACCAAGTTCACGTAGCCGTAAGATCTGACAGCACCAGCACCAGGACTCCAAGAACAAACCGATTTAAAATTAATAAGGGATGAACTCACTTTTGGTGAACTGTTTTTGATTTATCCCAAGCGTCCTGCAGGGCTTTTGGACCTCGTATCACTAAAAACGTACTTGATCAGCTACGCACTTCTTCAAAATCAATCAGATGACACGGTCACGCCAAACAAGGGAGTCAATAATTCGCGAGTATCCGATAAATGAGCATAAATGCTCATGTATCATGCAAGTGATTTAATATCTCACCTGGCATCTTCTTTAGGAGCCTCTGGGCACGCCGTGAATGGGACACGGTCTTGTGCGATGATGATTTAGCTTTACGACGCTGCCGTGGATTGGCCATATTTAGTCTTGGAAGTTGATAACGAACACACGGGATGAACGATATTGGCAGAGATGGAAATTTCAAAGTCGAGCAAGCAAAAAGATATTTTTAAACTCCGACCAACGTAACGTATGATAGGTAGGTCAACCCAGGGTAGCTTGAGCCTGGCAGATTATATGCGAGTGATGGCTGACACCCTACTGACACTTGATGAAAATGTTTCGCGGAACAACTAACCTGGACACAATAACTCAAATGCCTGATGTTTGCGTCCAATTTGCCGCCGGGACACATATGGACCGGTAACTTGTATTTAGAATGCCGTAACTTCCCAAGTTCATGAATTCTTCTTCATTGTGCCGCCTGCAGCTGTTCGGTTTGACAAAGCTCCGTGTGCGGCAGCGATCATTAGTCGGTTACTATTGCGTTTGTGGAAGGAGCCGACGGGTTCGTTCGTTTAACCGATGTCTTCTCCCCATCTGAAGGCCATTATTTTTGATGTGCGTTCCACGAGTGCCGACGCGAACAACGTCGCATGCGGTACCGTCTGTCCGCATGATGCTACCTTGCTGACCCGCAGATCCCCCTGCGATCTATAGATCGGTGGCGTCGTCCTCCATAGCCCGTTCATCGCAATCGATGAGTTTGAGCTGGAGAAAGGCCTCCCAAAGAATTATCTGAATGTTTCGATGTCTGTCTTGTCCAAGATATTTTCATCTCCGCATTTCTCATGTTTTTTTCTGCATGTAGAACCTCCTGGGGGCCGAATGGTGCCTGGCAGAAATTCGAACGTGGAGAGCTATCGCTCTTTACATTTTATGAAGACTTTGGACGTGACTTGTCTGACACAGACAATGGTAACAAATGGTACGCGGAATACTGTGCTCGCAAATCAATAGGTATGGCCTCATACGATACTCGTACGTTTTCTTGGGTAAATCTATGTCAAATCAGAGCTCCCGCCGGCTTTACCAACGGTGCTTGATATTGATGGCCGCGAGGTTAGTCTTTCAAACACTCTACAAGCTGTTGCTTCGTTCATTAATTCTGTCAAACGCCACAAGCTTTTTGGTAGGATGATGCGACAGTCTACAGCCTATGATTGCCACATCCTACGGGCCATTCACCGGATAAGAGGTGATTCTATTGCATCACGGTACACTCTGATTACGCTCAGTGCCTTATCATAGCCTCTGGAAGATGGCTTATTATCGCTCTAACTAATAATTACTCGAAGCACATCACGGATTCTTCTTCTTCGACACCCCTGGCTGCAGGACAACCTCCTATACGAGTTCCCGACTCGGAGTTGCAGTTCTTAGGATGGGAAGATAGGGCAAAAATTCATCTCCGTACGTTATTCGACGACTTCTGTGACTCCAGCGAGTTAGGCATGCGGTACGTCAGGAAAACTCCTCAACTAAGATCTTCGACGAGTATTGCTTTCAACAGGAAACCTGATCCCGAATTTTATCTTCTTGCCTGTCACCGAAATGGCATTCGTCCCGGAGAAGCCGTCTTCCTTGATGATATAGGAATGTAAGGACTGATCTTACCGCGTTCCTGATGGAATTTTTAACCGTCGACAGGAACCTGAAGCCTGCTCGCGTTCTTGGCATGGAGACCATCCGTGAGTCGCTTGTTTCAAGTATATGAGATCTGTACATGCGTCCGCGGTTGCATCATCTTTGGCAGCTTAGACACCATCATGGTCACATCTTGGCAAACTGTCCTGACGAGTCTTCTTTTAGATGTTCCGATAGGTGGCACTCTTGATGCAGTCAAACAGTTGGAGGGGAAATTAGGCATCGACCTTACCAGTGACCTTGACCATGACGACACAACATCTGCTAAAGTTAAGCTTTGAAAGCTATAGCTATAGTTTGATGGTATCACGATTTGTACGAACACCTCCGCGGAAAACTTTAGATGATGATCACAATTTTATATTCTGGGTGGCCGCATTCTACATTAAGCGAGATACTGGTATCCCAAAAGGCGGTATGTGTCTATAACAGGGGGGGACCATTCAGAACGGCTTGTCCGAAGCAGGTGTTTTGTCCTCGTAGTAATTCCCAAGCTAAAAGTTGTATCACACGAGATGAGCAGAATTGAATGTACATGATGACGTGGGGTCTCACCAGTGGAACATTTACGAGAATACCCTTCTTCACAACCGGGGTAACAGACAATAACTATTTTGGTGAATCAGGGAAAAGAAAGACAAGGGAGGGAACATCATCTGAACGCACGAAAAGAGCGGCGGTACCGGCGCCCACGCCCCATATGCCTAGCGTCGGTCCCCACCGTTTGACCAGCTAAATCGCATCAAAAACGAATAATTTATAACTTGAACCTTTTTCAAAAGAAGGATGTGATACGCACAGTGTTGGCAAAGCGGGTTGGCGAGGTCGTTTGGAATGATACACGGGCCATGGCTTGATGGACGACTGAGAATGGCAAGAGGGATGACTCTGAAGGTGATGGATGCACTGCGAACACGGGTAAGAGCGGAGAAACGGACAAATACTGTCACGTGACCTGACAACAAGCGCAGCGCAATGGGCAATTCCTGTGAGCAGTGCACTGCAGTAGTGGTAATGACCATGGATCCAGAAGACGAATCTATCACTATCACTACTAATGGCAGTAACTTTGATGTCGAGCAAACCTTTTACAACCCTCTTCTTACCCCCCAAGTTCTTGCGGGGGCGGCCACACATCGAATGTGTCACTATCACTACTAGTAGCAGTAACTTTGATGAGTCGAGCAATCCTTTTACATCCTCTTCTTGCCCCCCAAGTTCTTACTGCCACGGCGGCCACACCGACTCGGAGATCTTGCACGATTATCACAGGCTAGTGCGTACACAGTAAGTCCACAGCACCCACCGATACGCATCACCTTGACATAGATATCTCACACGATAGTCTCCAATAGCCGGGCCTAGGCAAGCTGAATGAATGAGATAGTCCTTACGGTCAACTTACGACACTGAGGAAGGTACAATGTCACAGTGTCTTACTTAGGAAAAGGCTCGGATGATGCGCCGTGGTCGTTCCCAGAATATTTTCGATCCCAGGCGTGATACCCGACTCGGAGTCTGACCCGCTGGTGTGACGTAGAAGCACGCTTGCCATTGAACTTAGATAACGGAGATTCAGTCAGCTTTGATCATCATCTGCACGTGCAGCAAGCCAAGGTTAATAATACGGCGCCACAAAACCGAAATCCGGTATTCGTTGGAACTTGTACCCTGAAACGTTGTCGTATTATGCTTCACAGATTTGGAAGGTAATTGTTATGGAACTTTTCGAAGTCTTGTTGGTTAAGTGCTAGTCTAAGACTGTATATACTCTGTAGGGGAAAAGCGCCAATCAGGGTACGTTAATATGGCGGTGAAGCGGAGATGAGAACCCTGATAATGATTGGATGCTCCGCGTCAGAAAGTCTTCCAGAAAAACCAGTCAGGTTGAGATACGGCAACGTGAACAAACAAATTCAATTGAGTTCAGCGCTTCAATTGTCAGAGCTAAGGATGGTTAAGACCTTACCTCGTAAACTCACCGCGTGGCTCGGCCATGCCGCCGTGTGCTACGTTACGTCCTGATTGACCAGTGGCCTGGAAAATGGAACCTATAACTGTGGGATGAGAAACCGCGTAGCTCTGATTCTGCCACCTAAACAACAGAATGAAGGTGTTCACACGTGGGTTGTGATGGTTGTCCTACGACAATGCCACTGTCACTCTGTGAATGGCTTCAAGCGTTAGTCCTCAAGCCAAAACTTATCGTGTAAAGGTCATCGGAACACCCCGGTGAGTTCTCTCGTAGTTCTACATCACAGGGCAAGGGTCTGAACGTTCTTTGATGAGATTGTCAGAGCCTACGGCCGACGAGTTCTCCTGAAATCTTGATATTGCCAGACCACTATGGAACCCATCATCATTACCACATACTTACACTGATAGTCACTCCAAGTTCGCCGCTCGAAGTCTCGGCGGTCTGAGGGAACTTGCATCGCGTTCAGCAGGATCCAGTAACCTGTTGTTCCTGGAATCTTCATCGCCACTCCTGTATTTTTTTAAACCCTTTCCCATGCAATGATGCAACAGGAGTAACGTACCTGAACTGTTTCATGGGTCCAATCGCACAAGCTTATCTGTGGCATGATTCGCATCAGAAATGCTCGGCCCTCGACCTTCGGCCCTCATATCCATGACCTGCCAGAACGAGCACCCTTTTCCTTCCTTCTGTGCGCCAGCGTAGCATGTCCACCAATATTTGTCAGTCTGACCATCATGTCTATTTTTCATATCTGGACGCAAAATTGTCGGTATGCCGCAATTGCAACGCGGGATGCTTTGCGGCCTGAAGTCTGGTCGATAGAACCGGAAGGTTATATTGATACGACAGTTGGATGGTTCTGGTGGATGTTCCAGGCGAGAATGGTGAGGGAAGAGGGGTCGATAGAGGTCAAGTGTAGATTGAGGAGGGATTGAATGTTTGAACTTTTCCTGGGTGCTGGCATGCATGATGACCAACTGGATGCAGGTTTAATCTAGTTCTGCATGGATCACTAGCACGAAGACCTACAGAATTATGGGGCAAAGGAATGTTGAATGTTTGTGCCGTCCGTGAGGGAATCTCTTCGTTTGGTACGACCTCCCGAAGGCGAAATATTCTTGTCGTCCCTGTAAACGGCGCGGTATAACTATACAGGACAGTGGGCTAAAACGTGCTCACCGAGACTCAGTGAGGCAATAGTCGGGTAAGGTCCTAGATATGTTAAGTGGTCCGAGTGAAATCCGACGCTATCCTTTGTGCCTTCGTAACAATTCGATGCGGCTACATTGGCGCGCCAGATTTGACCTTCGGAGCCCCTACCTGCCCATTCAAGCGGGAGGCGGGGTCGCGTCTGCATCTCTTTGTTGACCATATTTTCTACATACAAGCAGGCTTCTTCCATCACATCAGGAAAGACATCAGGTGGATCTGTTTGTCGGCCATTATACCTTTGGTGCGTCGAGTTAGGTATTTGTTTTCAAGAAGATACAACACTCTTTTTATCTCACCAATATTGCGCGGCCTCCTGCCACGACTTATCAGACTCCACACCATCTGTCTTTCGAGCGAAGAATGATGTGCGGTGAGGGCTCTCGACGACACGATCAAATAGCCACCATTTGTTCCTCTTCCAAGATTGCGACAGATCAAGCATGGTGTAGAATAGTTTGCATGCAAGCTCTGGTGGTAATATAGATAGATGCATCGTGCAAGGCGTGTGCTGGGCCACCATCGAGGGGTTCGTCAATGTCAGGGGAAGGAGACGCTGCACAGACCGCGTAATGCTCGAAGGTGGTTGGCGTAGAACTGACATCAAGTCTAGCTTGGGTTTTGTTGAAGGGCTGCTGCATACAGTGGTATCCTTGATGATCGCTTTAACAGGAGAGAGACTGGATTCCTTGACATCTCGTTTCTTTCGAGGAGGACTGTTGGTTTCGACCTTTGAATTGCCTGCATTCAACCAGTCTTGAAGGTCCGCAGAACGATCCTTTCTTTTTGAGGCGCTGCTCACTGGCTTAGACTGTGTCTCATTGCCAGAATTAAGCAGTTTAGCAGTAGCATGGGCATCTCCATCGCACGACAAGAGCGCATCGAGCAGAATATCCATTGCTGGGAGTGGAATGGTCAATAGGCTGCAGACTAATGCTAGCAACGTTTCTGTGTCGTCCATGATGTCAAAGTTAATTGCGTCAAGTTTGTTTAACTTTTGGATTGTCTCGACAAGGCTCCATTCAAGCAGAGTGCACTGCCACTCCTTCGCCTGAGGTCCGAGTTACCACTGGTATGAAATTCGATAATCATGGTCAGTCGCTATATTTTCCTTGCTCAGCAAACACTGAAAGATGCACAAGTCGACACCTCCGTGTCTAGGGAGAATATCTCTCAAACTTTTGTTATATCCAGGTTGACACGAAGCCTGTCAGAGGTAGGCTGCTCACACCGCTGAGAGTATAGCCAGACTTTCATATGGACACAATTTGCCTTAGTGGAGGGTTTTCTACAGTCTTGCAATTTGTGCAACCGTCTTCTACCTGCAGCTTCTCACTTTCGTCAACCCCGAAGGCCGCTGGGCAGGCCTGGCAAGCCACTGTTCCGGTGCGCAGCCCATAGATGGCTCAGAAATTCTTCAACGCCAGGAGAGCTTGGCAAGGATATTGTATGACAATGGCGCATCAGCATACGTCGCAGAGCCTGGCGCAAGCGCGCAGTACTTTGGTAACATTTCCGAGGCGACATGGCACCTTTCAGAAAGACCATTGTTACTTATAATCTCTCCCACACTCGAGGAGGGCAATGTTGTTGCAAAAATCACTGTCGTCACACCAGCATTTGAGGAAACACGCGCCAGGCTTTTGTTAGTACCTGGAATTGACATTTCGTTTGTCTCCTGGGCAGAAGACGAAGACCCATATACCGTCGCGCTGAACGCGCTTTCAGCCCTTGAACTTGGACCTGAAAGGCCTATCTACGTTGACGGTATGATGAGATATTTTATCGTCGACGGTCTCCAGAAGGCCGGCCCTGGAGTCCGCGTCATGTTTGCCCCACCTGAAGTCACCCAGCTCAGGACACGCAAATCTCAAGCGGAGCTAGACCTTCTGAGATGTGCGAACGAGGTCAGCGGTTGTGTTCGCATTTGAACGTGGCTGGCTCATGGCAGTCATCAAGGTCACAGTTCTTTGTATCCGGGCTGTACAAGCCCAGATGTACATCGGGATACGGGAATCACAAGTTCTAGCGATGATAGATGAGGCGCTCGCTGCTGCAGGTATCACCGAAAGATGGGCGTTAGTACTTTTTGGCGGTAAGAATTTTTTTTTTTTTTTCGAATTCGACATTCAAATTCTATGTGCCTGTGAGCGCTGACTTGTTGATCTCGTGTGCTTTAGAGAACGCTGCTCTCCCGCATGGAAGCGGGAACGACCGGGCACTGGGCAAAGCGGACTTAATTCTCATAGATGCCGGTGGCACTTTGTTTGAATACCACAGTGACGTTACACGAGTAAGTATCCATGATTTGCGGTGAAAATTATTCGGTTGGTTGAGGTTCTGCTTTAGACATTCATGCTGCATGATAGCTCCATTCCACCGGAACATATTACGATCTGGTACGATGTGCGTGCTGCCCAGACCTTGGCGCATGCAGCGGCTCGGGAGGGGGCGAATACATCTGCCGTAGACAAGGTAGCGCGAGATTGGCTTGACGGGCGTGGGTACAAAGGACACTTCACTCATAGACTGGGTCACGGTGAGCATTGAGTAAGGCACAGATTCGTAATTTCGGGACTGAGTGTTTGAAGGAATTGGGCTGGAAGATCACGAAGCTCCATACCTCCGCGGAGGAACTGACGACATCATTCAAACGGGGAACGCCTTCTCAAACGAACCAGGCATATACATTGAGGGCAAGGTACAGTGATTCTAGTGTTTGGTGTGGAGTCGCAGAGACTCCTGCCTGATTTGATCAATGTTGACGGTTACGGTTCAACAGGTCGGCATTCGCCTTGAAGATTGCTTCTACATCAACCAGGACGGCAACTCTGTATTTTTGACCGAGGGAATTGGAGGACAAGCATTCAGCCCGCTTTACCCTTGAACCGATGGGGTTTTCGGATATGAATTTCGGGAACCGAGGTACTACTTGCTGCGATATGTGATGTCCACCCTAGTCTCTTAAATCCACAGAGTTTATGATTTAAACTATTTCTGGACAATGACGGGATAGACAATGAGCGCTTGTGCGGTGGTATACTATAAAAATAAATCCATAGTTGGACACGAAGCCGTCATATGTTGTACAGATTAGAATTCGAAGCGTTTCGTCATACCAATTTTATATATACTTTACACTGATAAATTTCATGTAATAATGTGCAGGGCCGCCGGTAGGTCATGCATCATGATCGAACTTGATGGATTAATACTAGATAGTTGGCATACGTAAGCGATTAGGGATCACCATGATCTACTTACTATCACCACACGACCACCCTCCCATACATGGTCGAATTAATGTCTGACTGGAAAATCCACCTATGGCCCAATAGAAAGCGATGCGACACCACCAATCGAATCTCTCATTCACACACATATGAGGCTTTGATGAACCAATCACGCTCAAGCTCAACATCTATCATCGGACAAAACATCTGTCAGGAGTTGGTGACGGCCATCAGCGGTGAGAGCGGACGCCGTGGTGACAGGAGTGGATTCGATAGCCCGTGACAGAATGCAGGAAAGACGATATTGATATAGTATCGGCTCTGTGATATGGAGGAACCACAAGATACGCCCACGTACTATCAGCGACAAAACCTGTGCGAACAACAACGAATCGAAAAGCCCGTCAAGAAATACACTGACCATCGGCCACCTCGACGACAGGATCGAGCGTCAGGCCGTCCCAATCCATTATGATTGTACATTGCAATTCTGTATGCAGAGAAGTCAACCGGAATCAGTATTCGAATCGAAGTTGACACGAAAGTCAGCTATCGGCGCAACTAAACTACCAACAGACGAGTTTAGGGCTGGAGTGGCGATTTTCGCCCTTTGATTCAAACAAAATATGGTGACATCGGACACAAAGGTAACTTCCGCACAGACAGCATGAGGTTTTTCTAGAGAACCCTCCGAAATAGAAATCAACGAGAATTCGAGTAGTATACAATGCAATTGTACTGCGTTCCTTCCTAGAAGATAATGGCGCACACCGGGTAACACATGAGAAGCAGTGGAGACAAACTTGGAAGTGATCCTTCGTGATGTATAAAGAACATGATAATGAGCGTATGCAAAACAAAATAACTAGAGGGGTGGGGGCATCAATGTGGAATATAAGTATGCGGTAAAACAAGATAGAATAGTGCGATGAAAGAGTAGACCAACAAATCAAAAGTGGTATCTGTAATGTAATCGGAGAACTGGTCTAGAGCTGAGTACCAGCTCGCGAGATGAGAAACCTAGCTCACAATATTGAAGGACATACCATATATAGAAGAGTAACGACAGGACGACGAGACGAGGACTACTGTGATAAAGAGCAGGGTTCAGTAAACCTTGACCAACTCATCAGGGGTTGGGACAGGAAGAGGAACAGCCGCAGGAGACATGGGCGTTGCCGTTGCCGAAGTGATCGGGGGAGATGATTGAGAGAAATTCGAGATGCCAGAGGGGGCAATGTCATAAGAAGGGTGGCGTAAAAATGGGTTGCGCGCACGAGAGATTGGAGATGCTGTTCCACGGATACTAATGAGCGGTTTTTGGGAGAATAATTATAAGCGCTCACAGAGAGTGTGGGCTATGTTCCATCTTTCGAAGTCTTGAACGTCAAGGTTCTCAAGCTCATCTCGCTCGTAAAGAGTTTGAGGAGAACGCGCGCGAGGGGCCCATTCATTCTCCTCGGTGAGCGTGATGCTGGAGAGGTCACCCTTGGCGTGGATGAAGTCCATTCTGCTCCTTGACCTGTAAGGAAGGCCAAACGCGGGCAGCGACACAGCACCGTTGCGACGTGGTCGCAATACAGGAGATGATGGACATTTCCACCCCATGCAGATTGATAGGAACTCCTCAAGCGCCTCTGATGGAAGGCTGGACCTGTAGTGATCAGGGGAATCAATGAGATGTATGAATGGGATAGGGTGGCAAGCCAAGACAGAGAGTGTGCTCAGCAGACAAACAATAGACACCTACCGAGGCGATGCACGGGGAGAGGAGAAATCCTTATCGGACGAAACCGAGGAGTCAATACGGGTAGGCTGTTTGTACTCGTCGAGGGATTCAGTGTCTTCGGACAGCTTTACATGATCGACTTGAGAAGTGACAAATTTGAAATGTGTAGAACGAGCAAGGTGTGGGGTGATGCGAATGGGTCGTGGAGCGACGAGAAGAGGATTATCGTTGACATTAAAATTCATGGTTGATAAGAGACTGAAGTGAGCAAGTTAAAAGGAAGTAAGAGTAGATATAAAGCAAGACAAAGTTGAATGTAGTGGATGATGAAGCTTCGCGACTGCAATGCAAGAAACAATTGGGAAGATCGTCCATCACAACGAGCTCCCTGTTTGTGTATGTTATTGTGTTAGCCACCGGCATTAACCGATCAACCATTTTGTGTGTAGGTACAGACACGGTATGCCAATATGCTACGTGTCTATTCTCATGTCCCCAATTCACATCCATGTCAAAAATATATTCAGGTAATGATGTAAATCGGGATTCTCGGGCCTGTTTATACTGATGACCCTATCCAGTATTACTCACATATCCAATGAAAATGCAAACTGAGGCCTTTATGCGGATGATATTTTGAACCAAATCATCTTAGGTCCCCTTCAAAACCGTCGATTTTGCCATCTGAGGTTCTTACAGCGGGGGCAATGGGCATCACACGTAACTTTCGTGGAGAAATAGAGGTCCAAACTTTTGAATTCTCGCCAGTGGTCAATGCATAAATATGCCATCTCTCTTGAATTTGAATTCCCTTGCCTTTGTCATCGTTTTCAACTATGATACCCGCCAACACTATTCCCAACGACACGACTAATCACGATGAGACATCTCCACTTCTCCGTCCTTCCAATGCTCACAATGCTGAAGCTCAAATTGCTGAGAAACCCAAGTCTACTCCTCTACCAAAGGGCCAACTCACAGCACTCTGCATAGTTCGTTTAATCGAACCTATAGCCTTCACCCAGCTCTTCCCATACGTCAACGAGTTCATGAGCGATCTCCACCTCACAGATGACCCATCAAAAATCGGCTTTTACAGCGGCTTGGTTGTAAGTCTAGTTCCAGATCTCATGATCCGATCTTCTCATTGATCTCAATCACTAGGAAAGTGTTTTTGCTATATCTCAACTGTGTTCCATCTACCACTGGGCTAAGATATCAGGTACTTTGACCGCGGCATTCAGTATACCTTTCCTCACTCCTCGCTGTAGATGTGATTGGACGACGCCCTGTGATATTTTTGGGCATAATCGGGCTCGCCACCACCACGCTGATGTTTGGTTTATCCAAATCGCTGGTTAGTGTCTTAGTGGCACGTTCCTTAGGTAGGCTACATTCCATACGGACCAATATGTATCCCTCTGCCCCTATACTAATCTCTAATTTTGTAGGCGGTCTATTTTCGGGAAACATCGCTGTCGTCCATTCAGTTCTGGGAGAAATCACCGATTCCACAAATCAGAATGTGGCGATGCCCATATACGGTCTCTGCTGGCCTATTGGCTCAATCATCGGGTACGCTTATTATATGCACCTGATTAGGATGTCGACGTTGATCATCATCTGACCCATAGACCACTCATCGGTGGAACGTTCTCTCACCCAGCCTCAAAATATCCCAAAATGTTAGGATACCGGTTCCTTGAGGATTACCCCTATTTCCTGCCAGGCTTCGTTGCATTCATCATCGCTATTATTGGTGTTTTCCTTGGGTTCATTTTCCTTGATGAGGTATGTTCCATTCTGCAGCTCAAATGTCTTGTGTTATATGCAGAATACCTTGCCCATTTTTAGACTTTGCCCAGCAAGCGCAACGGCAAGAAAAGCGGTTCTCCTAATACAAGCACCAATGACGATAGTGTCACAACTGCACCGGCTCTTCCTGAGAAGCCTTTTGGTGTTTCTAAATTATTATTGATACCAATCATGTCGTCTTTGGCAGTATCTGGTTTCATGCTCAGCTGTCTTGCCACATCCTTCGATGTTGTATTTGTCTTGTTCTGCTACACGCCCATTGAATTGGGCGGTCTGGCGTTCTCAGTGGGTTCTTACCTACTTTGGACAAGCGTGATCAGCTAACAACTTGAAAGGCATCACAAATCGGATACTCTCTTGCCATCGCGGGTGTTATTGGTGCTGCTATCCAACTTTGTATCATGTCCTACCTCCTCCGAACGTTTGAATCTGTGAAGATATATAGCTTCTGCATGGGCATATGGCCTTGGACCTTCTTCGTATTGCCTTTTCTGAACCTCATCGCTCGTGCTGGCTTGGATGAGACCACCGGCGAACTCGGAACCACCGTAGTTGCTCTGGTGTGGGCTGGTATCGCTTTCGCTCTCTTGTTGACCAAGGTCGCTACTATTGCCTATTCGTACGTGTTCCTTCATTTTTTGGCTGGTCGTAGTAATTGACAAATGTTTAGTGTCAGCATGATCCTTACTAAGGAGAACGCTCCGAATCCTGCATCGCTGGGGCAGTCCAATGGCATAGTCCAGTTTGCAATGTGTTTTGCGCGATCATTCTCTCCCTTTGTGGTCAGGTGCGTCTGTCCTGCTTCACGTGCAGGATCATCCTCATGTTTCTTCTAGCGCTTTGTTTTCAGTCTCCACAAAGTACAACTTATTAGGCGGATACCTGTGGCTTATTATTATGATGATGGTCTCGTTCCTGGGCATGGCGGTAACACGCAAGGTCGAGCAGAACAGTGTGAAGACAATCGGTTGAACGAACTATTCCCAATGCAAAACCTACCGCCTATTGCGGTAAGCAATCACATGCACATTGTATATTCCCAAGGCATATGTTATGACACTCATGACTATACACGTCCATTTCAATCTTTGCTTATATCCGTTTCTCGCTATTGTTATCCACAAGTCATGCTATTTTCTCTTTCCTTCCAAGGGCACTTCCTATACCGATCAACATGTACTTGTTCCGATACCACCTGAATGTGTTCAACGTTACCAAATACATATATATATAAACCAACCACAGTTGTATATCGACAAGTAAATATCACATAAAAGAGGTGCTTAGACACTTCGGCTATAGCTTGCTAGAGTCGCTGTCTGGTTCTCCAAGAGCATACAGTGCCTGCAACTCCGTTGCATATTTTGCAAATGCGTCCTTACGACGGACCTTGAAGGTCGGAGTCAAAGTATTATCCTCGATGGAAAACGGATCCAAGCTGATGTGGAGACGCTTAATCGTCTCAAATCTATTGAAGCTGGTCAGCGCCTTATCTAGAGATCCCCAAGTCTTCTTACCCAGCCAGACGATTCTTCTTCGCCTCTTTATTGAGAACAGTGAGGACCTGATCTACTACTCGGAGATCCTTGATAGCTTTCTCCAATGCTAGAATATCGTCAGACGCTACCTTCTCGCCAAGAACCTTAGACACTAGTGGGGCCAGAGTCACTGGGTCCGGGACGAGCACAGCCAGCAGGTACGATTGCAGAGAATCACCATGGACAAAGATCTGCTGCACGAGTGGGCATGCAACGTACATGTTCTCGATCTTCTCGAGAGCAACGTATTCGCCTTGTGCAAGTTTCATGATATTCTATGGAATACAAAATGAGGTCAGGATGATGGTGATATGAGAGGAAACTTGCTTTGACACGGTCAATGATCTTGAATCGCCCTTGCGGATCGACCTCAGCAATATCACCGGTGTGGATCCAACCGTCTTTCAAGGTTTCCTGAGTATTTTTCTCATCTGTCATAATGCTGAGCGCTTGACACCAATGTACGTGTTCGTACACAAACTCACCCTTATAATATCCCACGAAACAATTAGGACCACGAACGCAGAGTTCGCCTCGAGGATTGGGCTTGTCCTCGACTGTGTAATTCATGGAAGACACGTCGACCAATTTCAATTCATTCACGGGCTGAGGAGGACCAATGGTTCCTCCACATTCAGGATCCGCCTTGAACGTATGTGTACAAACACCGCAGTTCTCGGTCATTCCGTAACCTGACCCGTCCGTCGGATGATAGTTAACAATCGAAGATGAGTGACCGTACCTTCTGTAATCTCGCAGAAGAGTGCGATCTTCAGGAAATCGATGACTTCGGCACTGATAGGTGCAGAGCCCGTGCTAACCAGTAGCAGGTTTCCGCCGAGCACAGCACGAACCTTTGAAGGATATATCAGGTTGTAACAGATGCATGAGAGGCCAATGAGAACATACCTTCCGGAAGACAAGGGCATCCCAGAATGGGTGGGTACTGACACCTGTGGCATGATACTGGTCGAGCTTTGCCCGCACAGCTGCCCGGAAGAGAGCCCCCTTTAATCCAGGGACATTGCCAGCAGCCATGGCAGACTGATAGACCCGATTCAATACACGAGGTACAGCTGGGAAGAAGTGAGGCTTCAGCATCTGCGCATCTTCAAGGAGACGTAAGTTATCGCCAGTGGAAAACCCGATACATCCACCGATGGCCATGGTTGTGAGTTCGACCACACGCTGCAAGGATGTCAGTATAGACGACCAGGTGAGCAAGACCAACGAACCTCATAAATATGAGCCAACGGCAAGTAAGAGAGAACACTGCCATTTGGAGGATAGTCCATACCAAACATGTTGGAATAGGCGGACGATGCAAGATTCCCATGAGTAAGTACCACACCTAACGAGCAATAATTCAGGTGTCAGAAGGACAGAGAATGGATGTCACACACCTTTGGGCTGGCTCGTAGTGCCCTGAAAACACCTAGTTAATGATGCTCAAAATGGAATACGAAAGGCGCATACTGAAGTATAGCATAGTGAAGCGATTGTGTCGGGTGAAACGGGTATTGGCGGTATTAAGTGTTCTTCGCCATACTTTTCAACTACGGACCATGTAAATAGCAAGTACGGTAGAAATCAAGCTGAGATACTCACGTTCCGAAAATTCTTTGACCTGCACACCAACAGTCTCTCCCCAAGCCACCAAGGCTTTGCGGGCATCTTGACTCATGCCGTCAAAGGACACAATCATTTTCATTGCTGGAACCTTGGGAGCTAGTTTCAATAGTGCAGGTATGTGATCGACCGTAGTGAAGATGATGCTAAGATGTGCATGATTGATACTGGACAACCACGAACGTTGAGCGGTTTAACGAGACAGCGGTAACATCACATACATGTATTCTGTGGCGAAGTCATCAGCACAAAAGAGATAACTCAAGACAATTTACTTGCCTACAGAATCCTTGCCAAGTGTGTCGTAAAGACCGACTCCGACTTTGCTGTAAGCATGTAGAGCGAGTTCAACAAGTTGCCATTCTGTGATGATCAATGAGAATTGATCTTGGAGTGATAAACGACATGCACACCTGGCCTATTTATCGACCATATACCGACAGTTTCAAGGTCCTCGCCCTTCAGTTCACCTTGTGAGAATAACCTGTGCAGAGCACTACCGATGCGACGCCTGCGAACATCCACCTGTTTGTACGTCTGCCACACGTAAGGGCCGAATTTGAGCGGATTGGTTGATACTAACGGACGGTGACCGAGAAGTCTACAGTCCGGATTGGCATTGTAACCGTTGTCAAAAATATCAGGAAGTGTTGGCAGGACCTTGACGTCCACAAGACCATATAACGCTGAGGTGTCATGAAATAAAACGAGCGATTAAAAAAAAGTGTGGTACTAGATAGGACTCACCATTCCGATAGTGGGCTTTAGAAGCTTCGATGTTAATAGAACGTCCGCTGACGAATACGTGAGACGTACCAGTTTGACCAGGACGTTTGGTGTCAGGAACAGCGATGGACTGGACACTGTAGTCGAACTTGTCTGGAAAAGCTATGGTCGTTACTGTCATTGTGGACCAAGAGATGGAGATTGAAGTTGTGACGAGAAGAGGACAACACGAATTCGGCGTAAGTAGTCGTTGAATGCTACTTTGGCAGTTTTAATTCACGTTGGATTTCACCTGCGACCGGCGACATAAATGAACCCGAATTGCCGGGCAGTAAACAGGTCGATGGCACCTTTAACGTTCAAAGTCAACTCGTACACCGGTCGTTGGCATCGCGTTCGCTATGCGGATACTGACCAAATGCACTATGCAGGAGTGTCGAAAGAAGATAGACAACAAACAACCCAGACTCTCGAGGATCAGAGAATCAAAGAATCACAGGCATTTCGGACCGTCACAATATTTATTAATCCGAATAACTTTAATGCTCATCAAGTTCGGTACGTACTACTACCTTCCATTTATCAAATATACAAAACTTCACTGATGATTGGAGCCATGAAGGTAGATATCCCCAAGTGTGTTAGACTGGCCATTCACATCAAGAAGATCTGTGGTGATAGAAAGGTCATGCTGAGACACGGACCACTGGAAGAAATTCTCTCACTGTAGTAAGAACCTGACTCCTGGCGCTGCCTATCATCAGCTCATGTTCTGCGGAAGGCTCCGAAGATACTTACGTAGAATGCAAACCAGGCATACCCTTCAATCCAATCCTGGCTATCAAGATAAGCTATTGCGTCAGTGCAGAAATCTTCCACCTCTATCGACGTAGTAAGTGTCATCAATAGAAGGTCACAGGAAGCATTAATGACAGATACTCACCGCTAACATTCGAAGAAGTGGACGCAAACTCGGTGACCCACAATGGCAATGAGAATTTGCCATAGAACGACTCGACATAGTCTTTGAAATCGTCGAGCCCTTCACCATACCAGTGGATAGGTATGAAATCGAACGTGCATTCAGTGCAGTTTCCAAAGAATTGAGATAACCAAGGAATTCCTGATGGTGCACTAGACACAGCGGGGCTACCGAGTCGGACGCCCTGTGCACTAAGAGGTTGGATGTACTGCACCCATAACGACGCGGCGGTCATAGGTGCGATATTCGACTGTGAACTGAGGTCAGGTTCGTTGAAACCCTAGATTGCCAGTAGAAAATCAGTTGAGTGAGACACCTTCTCTCGACTAGAACAACCTACTAAAATGGTCTTCGCATTTTGAGCCTGCACCTCAGCCATAAAATCATTGGCATCGTCTTCACCCCACTGCATGGGGATGTAGGTCATATCTGTGTTTCTCAGATAGCTTGGCACGGTACTGCCCCAATCATATACCCAAGAGACCTGAGTGTCATCAGCGACAGCGATATCGCCAGTATGATCTGAATCAGCAAACGCCAGACCGCGTTTGGTGGCAGCGAATGACCCACCCGCCAGTGCCACAACTACACAAGATATTGCAAAGGCGAAGTTAAACATCTTGGGGACGGATGGGCTGGAAGCACCAGTCTGTTCACGGCCTGGCTATTTGAGTGCTCGAGGATGAGAAGTAAGGTTATCCCATTTATTTGTAACCTGCAGAGGATTCTCGATGGTTTGACTTCTCTTGAGTGAAACCATCCATGCCGCGGTGCTACTCAAGGATAGTAATGGTATGTTCTTGCCGCGTTGCCTGGGCTCGTCATGATGATGTATGACAGATCGCATAGATCACTATAGATTAAGGTATGTATACTTGATATGGTCGTGGATTTGTATGCAATGCATCCGACTCGGATGGGAGAATATATGCACGTTGGAGCCTCGGGAAGGTCGGAAACTCGTTTGGCAGGATCCACCAAATATTGGGCCCGAGTGAGTACAAGTACTGCCTTTAAATCGAGTTCTTTTTTGAGCCGCAACTCCTAAGGTGGGCTTGGCCAGGAAATGATTCCACCCTTGCTCCATCTGAGGTAGGCTCATGCACAAACCACTAATGTAGGACGAATGTGACTCGATGCCCTTCGGTTGATCTCACGCGGAAGCACCTACTTAGGATTTCACTGCTCCTGTCTGTGTGCGCTTGGCAGTCTGCTATCTTCCACTCTTTGCGATGCGGAAAATAGAACAGCTTACTGTGTTGGACGGATTGACGACAGAGCAATATTTGCCGGTGGTGGATAAATGTGTCGTCTGAGTTTGAGCAAGCTTTGTCATACCCTCCTGATCATGATCGTTCACTGACATCTCTGTCCTCTCATGAGTCAAGATTTTTCTTTTTGGCAGTTCTTCGTGGACCCTCCTCCTTCCAGCTCCCTCTCTTTGGCGGACTATCCTCCATGGCCTCCTTCATGGTCTCCTCCCTGGCTCTTTGGTGGCCCGTCTTTCATAGTTCCTTCAAGTATTATTTTCCTTGTTCCTTTCTTGTTTTATATACCACTATGTAGCACATATGTATCCGACTTAGTCCGGATATTCAAATTTTTATTGATATCATTTGGATTACAATTGTATTTTAGAACAGACATGGCTTTAACATTTCAGGTTGGTTACCTGATAAATAGATTACTTGTATATTTTAGATGTTTGTCTACTTTACATTGAACTGACGAGACGCACTTACCTGCTTGTAGCGAATTGTAAGATGTGATATACCTTGTCTTCATGAACGATTAATTGTATTGTCAGACATGCGGTACAATCTAGAATAATCTGAAAGAGCTACGCTCCCTCACTTCACGACCCTTGCCCCTGATACCCCAAACACCCCAGTTCGTCTTCACCATGACTCTGGGGTCAAAGTCTGCAGCCTCCCATTTTTCGCTCCCAAATGCATTCTCCCCCGGAGTAATTACCCACTCGAACTCACCAGCGACATCTGGTGCAGTCTCGATGGAACGAACATCTCTCTCGACATCTGCAGGGGAGAAACCTGTTACGTAGATAGCACAACGGGTTGCGAGTAAGGCTGGCACAACAGGGCCCCACTCTGTTGGGGAAGCAATTTGCAGGTAGGGCTTGCCATCTAATTCGGACACGGAGGTGGGTGACGGGAAGCCAAAACCAGGGGAGAACAGGAAAAATGCGTCTGTATAGGGATCAAAGGTATCCTGAAACTGTGCGTGGACTTCAGCGTAGTTCGCTTGAAGGCCAGTAATGGTGAGCTGAGGGGTATAAGGAACAGTGTAAGAGGGAACGCCGTAGAGTTCGACTGATGACCGCGTTCGCTTAAGGCGCGCAATAGGTGCTGGCGTGGGAGGCTGATAGACGTTCGGCACGTAAACTGGTTTATCCTCCTCCTGCTTGGCAATATCAGTGGACGTGTGCGTCGTGGATACATTTTCTGTCGCAGATTGGTTGGTGATGGTATCTTTTTTCGCTGCAGATTCATTGGGGGGCTTCGGAGGGGGAGAATTAGCCGGTCTCGGCAAAGAGACTTGTGGTCCAATAAAGAAAAGGTGGAAATGACACGACGGGAACAACATGCAAAGTTGCTCCCAGACATGCGGTGGCAAAGAGGACTCAGCGCGAGCGCCGAGGATGAATATGCGCATCTGAGGTTTTGCAGCACCAGCCTCCTCTGTATCAGGTGCTCCAGGAGGGACATGTAGCGTAGTGCGTAGTGCTGGATGTGAATTGTGAGGACAAGATCTGGAAAGATAAAGTGCATACTTACCTGCTAGTGAGCGACTTCCTTCAGGTGTAACTCTTTGATTGCTTAAAGTCAGTCCACTATTTTGATGAAGAATAGAACCAATAGTGAGCGGATAGGTAAGGATTCTGCTAGCATGTCTTCTTGAACGTTCCGTATCCATGGAGGGGAATCCGCGTGTATACCAAAAGACGTCCCAATTTGCAAATGATATAGCTTCCTCATAAGCCTGTGGTCCTAGTGAGTGGATTAATTGGAATGTCCAAGGTCGAAGACCAGATGACGCACCGGGCATGTCAAATTCGTGGAACTTTCGACCACTTCGGAGATCATGGTCATCCTCGTTAACTTCTCGAAGCCTAGAGCAGTAATTTTTGTGCTCTTGATCAGCCGCCCAATGCTCCTGTGAGCAATGTGTCGGGAAACCACAGTCGGGGCATTCAAATTTTACTGCGAGAGGCTGCGGTTTCGGATGTGCATGAGTGCTACAATGACCTGAGGTGCACACTGGACATTTGGCTAGTGACTGTATGGCTTCTCCGCGAGCGCGTACTGCAGGAAATGGAGATTTCGAGAACGGATGAAATAAGTTGTCCTCGGTCAGCAACGGAACAGGCTCTTCTTGTGCTGGTTTGGCAGACCGGCGAAAAAAATTGAAAATTGTCCTATTCCTAGGCCAGTTGGCACATAGTGATCGTTGACGTGTCTGTGACCCAAGGACAGCTCGTAGTGCTAACCTTGAGCTAAGAAGCGGAGAAACCATAAGTACATTCGGATGTTTGTTGCTGTTGTTCAAGATCTTTTAGATGGTTGTTTGTTCTTGTTGTCCAAAGCCTTCCAAAGTACTAAACCCAATTGGGTGACCCCATACTTCATCATGGCAGCACGAACAGCTACAATCTCAAGAAAGACTAACGAGACACAGATAGAAGTATCTATCAACCTCGACTGCAATCCTGGATCTCAAAATGCTCAAGTAATTGAGGTTTCAACGGGGATTGGTTTTCTGGATCACGTATAAATGATATCTTTATAACACCAGACTCCGGCTGATTGAGTTTCCCAGATGTACCATGCCTTGGCAAAGCATGGTGGGATGTCTCTCACCATGAAATGTAAAGGCGATCTGTGGATCGATGACCATCACACAGCAGATGAGTATCATAACATGTGCTCAAGAATCACTGACCAATGTATCCGTGGTATTTACAAGATAGCGCAATCGCCCTTGGAACGGCTTTCAAGCAAGCTCTTGGTGAAGTTCGCGGGATTCGTCGATACGGAACTGGATTTGCACCCTTGGATGAGGTGAGCGACAAATAGGCGGCGATGCACATATCCATTTGACAATTTCCAGGCACTCTCTCGAGCCGTTATTGATATTTGCTCTAGACCGTACTGTGTCACTGATCTAGGCTTAAAGAGGGAGAAAATAGGAGACCTGTCGACAGAAATGATTCCCTCATATATTCTATTCTTTTGCGATAGCATCTGGTGTGACTCTTCACTGTCGACGTCCTACGGGGCGAAAACGATCACCACAGGTGTGTTTGTCCAATGCTAGTTAATTCAGCGACAGCACTCAGTCAACAATTGCAGATCTGAATCTGCATTCAAGGCACTTGCCCTTGCAATCAGACAAGCTATCGAACGCACTGGTGGTGACGATATTCCGAGTACTAAAGGAGTTCTGTAACACAATAGATGTAGCATCAGTTCGAACCCTGAGATTTTGATGCACAGCAGATTTAAAAGGATAAAGAAATGATTGCAATAGATAATGTACAGACTGCAATGTTCGAGCGACATATTAAGCGAAGGAGGCGAATGTCATATAGAAACAAAACGTTGAAAACAGCACATCAAGACCAAAAGATACATCTTTTGTGTTGAGGTGGATTAAGCTATCAAATGAGGTGTTAGCAGAAGTCTGCCTCGTGTACTCGCACTTGCCTTGGCATACTTTGAGCACTTGAAGGCTTCTGCGAACTCCGGAATATTATAGACAGTGCCTTCAGTGCGATAACGGTTCGGTGAGTGAGGATCTGACCGGACACGTCGAACCTGTTGCAAGATTATGTTGAAATGGATGTTAAAATATATGAAAAATACTTACTGCGTCAGCAGGACTGATATTCATCGCCCATGTACGGGCAAACGAGATGAAGAACAGCTGCTCCCTAAACTTGTCATCAGTGTCTGAGCACTTCACTCATAAATCTAATATTGCAAACCGAGTGTAGCCGATGCCGGGAAGCAGGTATTCTGTTCCGGCGTCGTAGGAATCTTCGTATTGCGCCTTCCAAGCCCGATACGCCTGAATCAGACCTGTGTCTCCGATATTTTCACCGGAGGTACTTGAAAGTCATTAATTAGTAGCGCGAACAAACTTAGATCCTCACGACCATGAACGTACAGATTTCCCTGTGGATCAACTGGTTAAACATCATACACAGGGAGCGTAATGTGACATACATTGACATGAATGACTCCTCCTTTGCCATCTTCTACTGTATATGAAGAATATTGCTCTACGATGCAGTCCTGGCGAATTTGGTAAGCGTCGCTGGTCTGGCGTGACCACCACTCTTCGAGTTTTCCTTGCTGGTTGTAAAGACGACCTGAGGAGTCAAATGCGTGCTAATAATACTTAGGCCAGTGCTTATGGGAACATAATGCGACGAACTTACAGTCAATTCATGCGCAGCTACCATTCCAAAGGAGCCGTAGGAGAGGTACCCAGGCCTATACATAGAAGCGTGGATGAGAAGGGGCTGTGAAATAATGATATGTATCCATACCAGCTCTCGGAGAAGAAAGGAGCTTGTAAGATGCCCGCCGGGAAGACGATCTTGTTCTTTGTCAGTCTAGCACCTTAACAGCACGAATTCACTTACTTCATTGGCAGGAGGATTGTAGTAAGCATTTACAGTTGCTGGTGTCATCTCCCACTCGTCAGGATTTCTCTGCTTGCCGACTTTCTGCCACATCTTGTACATGTCGGAGGCTCTGTATAACATACGGTCAGCACTTGATTCGAGCGGGTATCGGTGCTACATACGCAGCACTGAGCATATTTTCAAAGAAAGTATCCACATGTACTTTCACGAGGGTGTAGTAGGAGACAAGGGAACGTGGATCGCGCGTGTCTGGGGACAGAGGGAAGCCAACTTTGACGCGAAGAGCATCAGCTTTCTCGGCAGCTTTACGTGCGGATTCCTCATCCATCCATTCGATGCGGCGCAGGGATCTCTCAAAGGCGTCGATGATGTCTGGCCAATGAAAGTCAGAAAGCATTCCGAAGCTAAAGTGTCTCCTTTACTCACTATCAATGACCTGGGTCGCTTTCTCCCTTGATTCGCCAGGGAATGTCTGGTTCACAAAGTATCTTCCAGTACCGAAACCCAAAGCAGTGTCGACCTTCGTCATGCAGAATTGAGAGCGTTCGCCAAATACACCAGGCTTGAGGCCATACAAGGTCTCTTGCAGGGTTCTCACAGCCTTCCAAGCCTCAGTAGTCCGGCCTAGGTTGGGAGCATACTCCAACGATGCGCGCACAACAAGATATGCCTCGATGACATCTGCTGACGTCCTTTTCAAGATTTCTGACAGGGAATTTGGGTAAGGTTTGTACGTGATGATAACACGGCTTGGGTAGGTACGAGGCGTGAACGTGGCGAAATAGTCCGGGAAGTTAATCTGCGAGAGCTCGGCCTTGAGAGTGTTGATGTTCGTCGGGTTATACGTGCCGAATGGATCTTGCTGCAGTTTGTCACTAATAGAGATATAATAATAAGAGTCTGCCAATGGTGGGATATAAATCGGCCTACAGGTCAAGTGTCGCATCCGCAATTTCAGTTTCGAATTGGACAACTTTCTGCGCAAGCTCGCGAGAGTTCTGGAAAGGATCTCCAGGATTACGTTCCCGATTATCTTCATTGTCATCGTCGTCGCCTTCTTCATCCCAAGGTGGCCATGGCCAGGGGGGCCAGACATGCTCGCTTTCTTCGAGTCCTCCTGTCTGAAGGACGATTCCTGGGTTCTCTTGACTCAGAACTCGGTCGTCTCTTAATGATGACAGGAGACGCTCGATGACGTCCTGATATACGGTGAGAATACTCTTGTCCTTGTAATACTCCTAATAGTTGTTAGACGTAGTGAAAATTCCAAGACTTCGGGAGCTGACCTTGGAGGGAAGTCCCAGGCTGGGTTGACTGAACCACAGAACCATATTGTTTGGGTCAGCACCAGAGTCGCCTTCAACGCTGAATTCAAAAAGTGCGTCGACACCTAAGTCATAGCATGAGCGAACAGCTAACGTAAGGTCGGACAAACGACTCTTACCCCGAGAATGCATGTAACCTAGGGCGTTGGATAAGCCTTGTCTCGGATTCATTGTATGTGCTTGAACAGTCCTTCCCCTGTAAAGTTTCCGGATCGTGTTGACGAACTTCTGTAATGGCTCCTGGCCAAGATAATCAAGCCGCGCCTCATCCATGCATGAAGCATACAGTATACGGATCTTGTGAAGCAGTTGATCATCCCATGAATTGTCTTGGATAGATGAGTCGTCCTCAAGTAATTTGAGAATAACGTGTGCGTTCTGTTCTGAAAGAACCGAGAAGGAATTGATGGCACCCTTGTCACCCGGAACGGGGTGCGAGGCTATCCAACCACCATCTGATGTTGTGATTAAGCCATGCAGCAGACACGTTACAAAACCACGTGCTAACTTACTTGCAAAGTCATAGAAATTTTCACAAGGGTCTTGCGATGTGTCCAGGGAAGATAGAATGGAAGCAGCCAAAATGATGCAATCCGAAGTGAGGCACTTATCCTGTAAATGGTGAGGCACATTTCAATCATATGCAAATAAACCTACCGATGGAGGCGCTGGCGGGTTGGGATTCTCAGGAGGCCCTGTGGGTTCTGGCCCGACAATTACCGTGTGCGTGTGAACATTTGTCGTTGTGTAAGTGGAAGTGGAGACTGAGGTAGAAACAGATGTTTTTGTAGAAGTAGTTGTCGCAATTTCGGTCGCCGTGGTGGTGCCGAAGACCGTAGAAAATGCCGTAGACACCGCAGTAGTGGTACTCACGATGCCAGAGATTTTAGTCGATGCAGCAGTAGTTGTGTGAGTCACTGTAGCTGTTGCGGTCTCGGTCAAGGTAGTATCACCTCCACCTCCACCTCCATCTCCACCACCAGGGATACCATGTCGCAGGTTCAGTTTATGTTGTGCGCCAGCGAATAGGCCAATAAAGACGGAGCTTATGAGTAACAATATAAGGACTTCAACAAGCAGCACTTTAGTGAGACCAGTAAGCGGTTCTTGGACCACATTAGCAATTCTTCGGGACATAGATGGGTGGGGTGACTGGGCGCTTTGTGGAGGATCATCATCTCCACCTCGCAAAAGAGGTGCAGACTCTGTTCTCGAAGTAAGTAACAAGCGTATATAAAGCTTGACTAACTAGAATCATACCTTGGTCAGTTGAGGGCCTTGGCTCGTACGCCATGGCGACTGAGAGTGTAGCCAACAGACGACGCAGAGACGGTCTTTAAGTACCTCGCGAATGCGTGCTGAACACGCGGCTAACAATTCCCTCAAATCTATTATAGCAGCCTAGCCTGTTCGGCCGCAACGGCGCCCGGAACTATTTGTGACAGACCCACGGTGTGACGGCACGTGTTATCAATACGCGACGCGACGCGTACGATGATGATTAACGTCTAACCCAAAGACATTAGTCGTTTTTCCGCCCACATCTTCAGTTTTATGGTCTTTCTTCCCCCACCGCACCTCGCATCTGCCTCGCGACCTGCATATGCTGAGGCCTACGCAAATATCCTGATAGCACATCGCCGCTCGCCGCTCACATCTGCTTCGTCTGTTATAATCCTCGTCGCTCCTGATGTTGATGCATTATGTGCAGCGAAAATACTTGCGGAACTCCTTAAGCAGGATGATGTTATGCACAGAATAATCCCTGTCTCGGGTCTGGCTGACCTTGAACGAATGAAAGACGAGTTGGTTACATATGCGGAGGTGTGTGTATTGTCATCAAAGTGCACCGACTAGCTGAATACAGGACAGCTACACACACTCATTCTATTAAACATGGGTGCTATTCTTGACCTCTCATCCGAGAATTGGTTCGGCGATTTCAGCATGAAGCTTACGGTGCACATCATAGACTCAAACCGGCCACAGAACCTTGCGAATATGTTTGCTGGAGGTGAGAACGGCGAGAGATTTATTGTATGGGATGACGGTGAAGCAGAGAATATGGGAGATGAACGAAAGGCTTGGGAAGCACTGACGGTGAATATGATGATCACTACACTGCGACTCCTACTGACTTGGATATAGTATGAACCTGAACCTGACTCCGATGAAGACTCAGATCTGGACGATCAAGACGATGTGCAATCAAATGAGGATGGTGATGAGGAGGAGGAGTTCTCTGAGCGAGACCCCTCGGGCAAGAGGAGATCACTGGGAGACGGTGATCGAAGTCAAGAAAAGCGACGGAAGCTAGACGACGTGAGTCATTATTCAACCTTCACCCAATGCATTGCTGGTTTATTATTGAGCACATGATCAAGCAGTCTACTCGGCTGTCGCGAGAACAACGCGACACATATCACGAACTTATTGCCAGATACTATGCGAGTGGGTCGTGGTATGGTCAAAGTGCGTCTGCAACAATGTACATCCTTGCAACTGTTCTTGAACGAGTGGACTGTGATTTACTCTGGTAAACCGTTTATTGACCTCCCATGGCTTGATTTACGGAATTGTACTTCAGGCTTGCGATCCTTGGACTCACGTTCCAGTATACAACCGCTCGAATATCCCGCGACACCTACGATAAATATCATTCAATATACTACGACGAAGTTTCCCGCCTGAACCCGCTTCCGCCAGATGTTGCTAATACGACAGATGCCATCACAGCCATGAGCCCAGACGATCTATCTGTACGGACAGCTGAAGAGCTGCGTTTTATGCTTTTCCGACATTGGACACTATACGATGCAATGTACCACTCAAGCTACGTCGCGGGAAAGCTTGGCATATGGAAAGAGCGCGGACGGAAACGTCTCACCGGTCTGCTCGCGAAGATGGGGTACGCGTTATCGCATTTTTTATTTGTCACAGCTGAAACTCTTCATCCGTAGTTTTTCTATTCCACAGACGCAGCAGCCCTATGCGCACATGGATCTTGACTTGAAGTACCAGCTGCGTGCGAAACTCGACTCAATCGCACCAGAATACGGCCTTGTTGAGTTAACGTACCCGTCTTTTGCAAGGTGCTTTGGGTACCGCGCTTCCCCCCTCAGTGCAGCGGACGCTGTGGAAGCAGTAAGCGCGTTGCTCGATGTTGCAGGTGGCATCAGGATGGAGGTCGAGGTCGAAGGCGCACGGCACGGGGGTGAGTGGTTTGGTGGAGGGCGACTATGGGAAGGAGGGCGGAATGGGGAGGAGCAGTGGGAGAAGCGGATAGAAGTTGGTAACAGACAAAAGGACGGGGATGACGGTGTGGATACAGATGTTGACGGCGAAGAACGGAAGGAAAGGACATGGTGGGTGAAGAATTTCTGGGCTGCTTATGATGCTCTATCAGAGTAAGTGCTTGCTCCTCCCGTTGACATGTTCTGGAATAACTGTATTTAGCATTGTACCCCTGAGAGACGCTTTGTCGCTTGCAATGTCGCTTCATCGTGCCATTATTCGGCAGGGGACATCGATAATAGACAAGCAGGACATTCGAACGATGCGCTCCCATCGCGTCGTGGTGCTCTCAAAAGGGCCTGATCTTGCTCTCTTCGCCCATCCTGGGGTTCTCGCGCGCCTAGGACTTTGGTTAGTAGATGCGCTTCGTGATCGTCTCCCAGGGACAAAAATCGGTGGCCCAAAAGGGAGAGGAAAGAAGTCGCTCCCATTTGTCGTCGCTTGCTTGAACGAAAGGGCGCAGACGTATGTTGTGGTTGGTATCATGGGGGCGCTTGACTTTGGGGATGTCAGGAGAAAGTAAGTCATACGTTCACACCTTCTCGTTAGTATTAATATCATGGTTCACCTCACTTTAGCGAGTTTGGTCTAGCATTCATTGAAGCAAAACAACGTTGTAATGCGCGGTCACGCCACAGTACCTTTGATGCAAGCGTGCTCGAAATCGAGCAGGAGGACCTGAAATTGTTCTTGGAGACCTTATGTGAAGTTGGGGAAGGTTATTGACATTCTCAGGTGCTTCAAGTTGTTGCATGTTGCTATCCTTGTCAAGCTGTCTTATATCATATTTGCATTAATAAACTTGTTGTACTCTCCCAACGTCGCCCGATAAACTTTATTCTGCTGAGTTCCAACACGTTGGGAACACAGATCCTCAGTAACCATAATCAATTTTCACTACCGGCCGCAAGCACTACATATCTGACAGTTAATAGCGCGCAATGAACTAGAAGAACTACGCGATGGTGAGACTCTTCATCACCGCGTGCTGCGGTGTTGGATCGGATAGGTCCGGGCGCGTGGCGTGAATGATGTCCTATCAACGGTATGCCCCGGATCAGTACGACTGGCACTCAGCGGTATGATCTGTCAGAACCTGTATCAATGAAAATCTGCGGAGAAGATCGCTCCCCCCTGACAACATTTTGAAATACAGATATTCGGTATATCGTTAACTTGCCTTCCTTCCAAGCCGCAAAATGCCCTGTTGACAGTCCTCATGGGCGGCGCATCGATTAAAGTGCTTGGCCCAGAGCCCCTTTTCACTCTTTGAAAATTAGGTAAGAAGTTTGTCCAGAGGTGAGCACGTGGGCAGGCCTGGGCTCTACGAATCTTATACTGAGAATACGAACATTGAATTACAGAAAGACATGCCGAATCGTTTTCATCAAACATGCCATTCCTGCTGGACTTCGGCGAATGGTTCTTCTGGTGTAAGTACTCGTGATTCGTGAAGATCTTTCAACTTGGACTGTGAACCTCGGTGGTTTGAAGGATGTGACTCTACGGCCCCGTAAAGTCCCGTCGTACGGCGTACGGTGAACAGCCCTAGATGTGAGTGTCTGTATTCTGACTGTGGCCAGGGTAACTGACTAGACCTCACTCAGAGAATGATAGGTCGAATCTGCCGGAGAGTTCGGGGATGACGTGCGCCCGTACAGCAGATCGATCAGTAATCTGCCATCAGCATACCACCGACCATGATGCATGATGGAGGACACCCTCGTTGTTGTTTTCACTTCTGTTTCCAATGCTGAAAACAGCTTCCCTCTCATGTCTGAGTTTGAATTCACGGAATCATCATGTCATGCGGCTCATGCCTCGTCAAACTGAGAGGCAGCTAGCAGCAGATGGGTGCGGGATCATTTCGGAGGACGGCGGCTCTTGCTGGCTTTAGCCATTGCAGATGTCCTTCGCACTGGAGAGGCGCGCCTGCAACAACTCCTTCGCAGCCATGGGTCTGTGTCAGATGTCATGCCAGACAGAAACGACTCGAAAACGCTACTATGAATTGTCTATCAAATTTCAGCACTCACTGGCAAGTCTCCGTGCTTGCCCTGCCGAATCTCTCCGAGATCGACCAGTTTGCCCACGGCAGAAATCACAACATCTCAAAATGTAGACAGAATGGTTGCGATTCTGATCAAGTCAACAGCTGGTTGGAAATGCGAATGGTCATAATTCCCAATAGACCTTGCTGGCATTAGCATCTGTTGAAAGGCACATCCACGCAACAGGAATTACACAGAACACCATAAATATCGACCGTCTTCCTATTATCGCCTTCAAAATTACCCGATCCCATATCGCACAAGTTACAAACAATGCATTTCCCCTCTGCCATTGTCCTCGCCGTCATTACTGTCTTAGCATCGCCAATTTCTGCCATGCCCGCTACCAGTAATTACACGGTTGCCGCCAAATGCACTTTCAAGTTCTGCTTTTCGGACTCACAATGCAAAAATCGACCCTGCGTTTACGATAAATGCGTGCGTATCAGCATTTTCCTGGAAATTGATAACATGACTTATCTATATGGCAGGGCCCTTTTATCTGCATAGTGAGTCGTGTTTTTGCTTTCACATCGGTGCAGTATGGCCGTTGACGCTGATGCGCGAGTTACTAGTGAGTTGTAGAGTTGATCAACGTTCAACGCGCATCAAGAAAAATGTCCACATGGCTCTTTGCATATTGAAGTTGGCGTAAAACTTTCATGAATATAGGATGTTAGAATAGGATAGGGCGTACGATAACACGAGAAGAATACCATCAAGGGGCGTGCAGATCAATCCACAGCGCAGTCTCACTGTTGGTGTAACATAGATAGGCTCGAAGATCAAATATAAAGATGTGGACCTAATACAAACTCACCTATGTCGTGCATACCGTACAGTTTCCCTACTCTATTGAACACTCAACAGGCATCCGATATCTGAAATGAAAAAGTTGCTTCAAGCCATGTTTTCCAATCACATCGTGAGCATCTTGAATGTCGAAGTCAGTATCATTGTCACTGCGAAGTCTGGCATATACCGATAGATTACAGCCCGGTGCACGTAGACTGGTGGTAGACGGGCTGGAGCAGTCTTCACTGCGCTTGAGGACAAATCCGGAAGTACCCGGCCGAGCTTCGGGCGTTGATTGCGTAATGATTGAGCATGCGGAACGGGCGCTTTAGGCTAGGCCTGCTGCAATCGACCACAGCAAACGACAATTATTACTATCTCTTTCTTCTTGTCCTCATCCTATCGACGACGAGTCGACAAACATAAACTACATTGTCCAAGTAGTTAGGCACATTCGACCGACTAGAATTAGCAACTGACCCCTAGCGCTCAAACTTCTCACCAGCTGCTGATCGAGCTGATCGCGATGCCAGCGCCAGTAGCGGTGTACGTCTTTGCAGCTATTGCAGGTGTTGCTGCTGCTGTTGCTTTTCACGAGGTGACTTTTTATCTTATGTCTACAAGAATCCCATTCCGTCTTCTCCCGCATTCAAATACACCTTTCTAATATACTCTTCAGTTCGTCTACGAGCCTCACATCGCCCCTGCCATAGAGCGTTGGGCAGAGGACTTCCTTGCCAAGCGCCGTGCTCGAAGCGGAGGACCTGTTCCTGTGCCATCCACCGGAAGACCTGGAAATGGAGATCCGGGTCCCAGAGGTGCTGATCCGAGGAACAGGACTCCTGCGAGAAACGAAGATTCCATTGAGTTGGAAGGCCTCAACCTCGGCCTCGTTGATGAATGGCGAAATAATGTGCATTCCACCGCACAAGGCACGGTTTTGAGGCGGAGAGTCAGAGTAATCCCTGATACAGAAGAAGGGAGTATATCTACCTCAATAGATGATGTATTTCTTCCATTTCCATAATACCGCACCTTCCAGAATGCTGATTAAACATGTACAGTCCTTCACATCCCTCACGCACACTCCGCTCGCACCCACTCACGTCATCTCCAACGTCTCCTCCCCCTTCACAGAAGCGCTATCTGTATCCACCCGCACGCCCACCCGTGCCCACTCCCGGGCCTCTTCCCACACTGCAAGTGACGGTGAATGTGAGGGTAACACTACTATATTTTTCGCCCCCTCTCTCCAATCTTCCCCTCCTCCTAGCCCGCCATTCGGTCCCATCCTTCCTGACACCCCTCGCACAAGCGCCGCCTACTCTGCCTGCCCATTTTCTCCAGTTGTGCGCACTCCCGTACGCTCCCGCACACAGTCGAGCTGGTCGTTGCAGCACTCGGATACGAATTCGCGCATTAGGGTGGATGTGCAAGGCAGGCGTGTAGACGTTGACGTTGAGGGCGAACATGTTAATATCAATATTAACAACAACGCCGGCGCTAGTGTGCACGAGAATATGAACGCAAATATTAGCGTTGTGGAATCACTATCAGAACGTTACCCCACTGCGCCTACTCCGCCTGTCCTTATTTCCCCACCTTCATCACACAGTGTCCTCTCCTCCCCACACACAGATGTCCTGAGCCTTGGGAGCAGTGGTAGCCGCTCTGGCTCGCCATTCGCTGTACTCTCCCCACCCCAGCAGATCACGTCCCTCTCAGGTGCTGTGAGCTCTATGTCGCCTTTGATGACGAGCGAGGATGAGTTTATGTCATTTAGCGAGGGCTCAGATGCGGATGGGGAGGAAATGTCGGTGTCGCGAAGCGGAAGTGCGCGTTTGCACAACCCTTTTTCAGAGTTTGACGAAGGGAGTGATTTTGATAGTGGCAGTGAGGGGAGCTGGGGCCGAGTGAGTGCAAATCGGGGCTGATCTGACCATACACATCCTCTCGTCAGATTATCCGAACATGGTGGGTGTGGTATCAGGAAAGGGTTGCATCTATTCAGGATGCATTGATATGCATGTGATTTGTTGGTGCGATATTCGTGTATTTCTTTCCCTCTGTCTCTCTCTATCTGGTTTTCTATCTCGCTCGTTTTGTACTTGTCTTGTTCTATCGCTTTCATAAATGTGACTCAGATTCGTGTAGCATCAACGTCAATTAATATCAAGTCATCAAGATCGTATCAGTTATCATGTTTTTGAGTGCTGCAGTTAAAGGTTGGATCTATGGCGATATGGGCACTAGTACTTGTCATCAGGGCGGGTTGGACCAGTGGCTGCATGATTGTTATGAAAATGGCGTTGTAGGGCACTACACTGTTACGTAATGGTTGTGTTTAGACACCGACCTTGACGAGCACCTCAGATGCATCGTCGCAAAGCAGGTATTTGTGTTCTTCAGCTCACGCAGCGGAGGTGTGCATCAACAGCAACCAAAGTCAAGGTGGGTACCACTACCTCTGTCATGACAGGATTATAACCTTTTCGCTAGCCATCGGAATGGCCCTCCGTTGACCCCGTTCTTCCCCAAAAGCCAACCCCAAGCAAATGGGTTAGAGTAAAAACGACATCCTTTAATCACGAATCTAACGACTTCCGAGGCGCGTCTTTGCGTGCTGCTCCCTCCACTTCAAAATGGGCTCGTCCCACAACTCCTCAACCGCAACCTGGCATTGAGAAAGGAGCTGTTAATAAATACGCTCGTCCCACAACTCCTCGATCGCAACATGGCATGGAGAAAGTGGCTGTTAATAAATACGCTCGTCCCACAACTCCTCGTTCGCAACCTGACATGGAGAAAGTAGCTCGTAATACATCCGCTCGTCCTACAACTCGTCGATCGCAATCTGGCATGGAGAAAGTAGCTGTTAATACATACGCTCGTCCCGCAACTCGTCGATCGCAATTTGGGAAGAAAAAAGTAGCCGTCAATGTATACATTCCTACAACAGTTTCTGTTGGTCAATTAGCAAGACTATTAAATGTGCGGCAGAGTAAGTTACTGATGACTTCATGAGGGCTACCTGGACTCAACAATTGCAGCACTACTTCAACGTAAAATGGTCGATGCAGGGATGGCGGCTGAGGCGTCATATGATCATGGTCCCGTTCATTCCATCCCTTCTCCGCTCCGTTACTGATGCTTCACTGTAGTATTGACGTCCGATTACGCTGCCCTTCTTGCGGAAGAATTTGGCCGCAATCCTATCGTCAATGATGAAGCTGCTTTTGATATATATCCACCGTACGTAGTCTGAGATATCTGATGTGCTTGTTTACTCATGCAATGTTCAGTGCTCCACATCCTGACCCAACTACTCTTCCAACACGCCCACCTATCATTACTATCATGGGTCACGTTGACCACGGTAAAACCACTCTTCTAGATACCCTTCGCTCTGCGTCTGTTGTTGATAGTGAGGCTGGTGGTATCACGCAGCATATCGGTGCCTTCTCGGTCCCTGTCAAGGGATCCTCTAGTGGTACAATTACATTTCTTGACACACCCGGACATGCTGCTTTTTCTGCAATGCGCTCGCGTGGTGCCAGTGTTACGGACTTGATTGTCCTTGTCGTCGCAGCAGATGACGGCATTATGCCTCAGACAAAAGAGGTTATAAGGCTTATCAAGGGAGAGCAAGACAAAATTGGGGTTGTTGTGGCTATCAACAAGGTTGATAAACCAGAAGCGGATGTAGTGGGTATCTTCTGTGTCATCTTGTTATGAGAGCTTAACAGAAGGGACTGCAGGAAAAAGTCCAGCATGCACTCCTTGCTGAGGGCGTCCAGCTGGAGGCATTTGGAGGAGACATTCCATCCGTCGAAGTGTCCGGATTAACAGGACATGGATTGAATGATCTAATAGACACCCTGTCATTGATGGCCGAGGTACAGGATTTACGCGCAGAGCAAGATGGGCCGGCTTATGGACATGTTATTGAATCGAGGATGCACAAAGGTCTTGGGTAGGTTCAGAAGCGTTGTATCGTGCTCGATTAACAGCCCATTCATTGACAGGCCTACTGCGACAGTTCTGGTTTTACGTGGATGTTTAACTACTGGTGCTCACATCCTAGCAGGCACATCTTCCGGGAAAGTCCGTCTTATGTCGGATTCATCTGGTGCACCTGTTAAGGCCGCATATCCCGGAATGGCAGTCACCGTGTCTGGGTGGCGGTCACTTCCGGGTGCAGGTGACGAAATTGTGCAGGCCAGCGAGAGCAACGTAAAGAAAGCTCTTGCAAATAGGATTAGGAAAAAGGAAGTGGAAACAGTTCTGATTGACGCGGAGGCAATTAATATTGCGCGTGCTGCAGAGCGTGAAAGAGTCCGGAAGGAAGAGGATAAGAGTCGAGATATGAGGAATATATTAGATGGCGGCCCTAAAGAGCTCCGGCTGGTGATCAAAGGTGATGTGAGCGGGAGTGTTGAGGCCGTTGTGGGCGCGCTGGAAGGGATCGGGAATGAACATGCTCGCGTAAAGGTCGTATCCACGGGGGTAGGGGATGTAATGGAGAGCGATGTAATGATGGCCAAGGCCGCTGAGGGTAAGGACCCCGAGTTGTGATGATTTATTGTGGGTCCAAAATGCTGATACTGCGCACATAGGTATAATTGTTGCCTTCTCGGTCAAAATTCCGCGTTCAGTGGAGACTGCTGCGGCACAGAACCACGTCCCAATTTATTCGTCCAACATCATCTATCGGATCATGGACGAGGTCCGAGACCGAGTCACTGCGTTGCTGCCCTGCACCTATGAGACCAAAGTGACTGGCGAAGCGACTGTATTGCAACTTTTCGATATCCACCTGAAAGGGAAGGCGACTAAGAAAATAGCAGGTTGCAGAGTCAGTAATGGCATCATCGAGAAGTCGAAAGGGGCTCGAGTTGTTCGCAATGGCCAAGTAATCTATGAAGGTACCCTCGATGCACTTAAGCAGCACAAGAAGGATATGCTGGAGGTGAAGAAAGGTACTGAATGCGGGATCAGTCTGCAGGGCCATGAGGATTTGCGTGACGGCGACTTGATACAGATGTATCAAACGATCGAAATACCTGGTATATTGTGATCCGTGGTGCTTTCGAAGTTCAAATCATCGATATGGTATTCTTATCCCTACACTAGAATTTAGACTAGAGTTTTCGCGTTGATTCCCATCAATCATCTAATTGACTCTATTTGTGTTTTGCTCATCAAGCACTAGATCTTTGCCGCCAATGGTGCCCGTTCGACCACCTACACCGAAAGTCAAGCTGATGTTGCCAAGGTCACGAGTTGTCTTTTCCAGCAAAGTCCAACTCCTCGTATCAAGTTTCTTGAGGACCACTTCGACCTTCGTATTATAGAATTTATACGAAGACCCATCAGGATCCACTGGACCAAAAAGGACGATTGTACGGTGGAAGCGCTTGGGTCCAGGGAGATAGAGGTTGAAGTGAATCTGATTGTGCTCTATCTCGACAGTGCTCTTTTCCCTGTCCACTTGTTTGGCAAACACAGAAATGTGGACTTCCTTTGGCGTCTGATAATGATCGACACGGCAATCAGTGAACTGCTCCACCTAAAATGACAAATTGGATCCAGTCCCTCAAGCGATAAAGTGACAGCGAGAGAGCAAACCTGAGGTTCTGTAAGCTGCTTGGGCGCAAACACGTGGCGCCCCTTTTTACATCCCTCGATCTTGAGGAACTCATCGAACTCCAAGACACGTCGTTTACAGCATATGTAACCCTGTGGGTGGGATTTTAGCTTCTCATCGGTGCGGTCTCCACATGACTGACCTTGCTTCCTTCATGGAAGATGGGCTGAAGTCTTGAGTCAGCCGACAGGCGAGCCCATCATTAACACCATCAACGTACAGCAGCTGGGTGGTATGTGCAGATAGTCTCATCACCATCTCCAATTCGATTCACCTCATCGCTGACAAAAGCGGTACCACAACTCCTGCGTTTACATACGGTGCCAGGAGGTACCGGTACGTCCAGATCATCAGAATCTTCAATGACAGGAGTTTCCACAGGTGGGGGAATGGATGGCTTAGGCGATGCAAGTTTTGGTGCACTGGTCACATAAACCTCCGCTCCGTCTTTTGCCTCCTTCATGATTGGATTGGAGTCATCCGTGGATGTTTTTACCGCAGGTGCAGGTACTTCTGGGGCTTCGTCTGTATGTGACGAGACCATACATCCCTGGCAATGAATTTGTCAGCACACCGATGACTGAAAACCCGCAGATCACTTACAGGTATTTTCATGAACTCGTCAAAGTCCAGGACCGGCTTATTCACATCGGAACAACAAGACCACGATTTCAGGCCTTCATGGAAGACCTACAGGCTAGAATAAACTGCGATGATTCGAGGTTAAGATGTTACGGCGGCTCACAGGTGCTCCATGATGGTACGTGCAGCTGGACGAATCATTAGTAGCTAAATCGTAATCCTGGCTGCAGCCTTTTCGTGTGCAACGTGGCATTGTGAGTGAGTTGCAATCAAAGTATAGGATCCTGTACTGTATACACGTTCAAAGCCGTTGTTTAAAGTATCGATCGACGAGTAACTTGGTTCATTCTAGTTCATTCTGCTAAGATGCTTACATAATCGATCTCTGCAAAGATGTCTTGCAAGTCGACCGTTACGATATCCAAAGTACTGCGCTCATTACACCTCTTAGAAGCTGCTTAATGTCAAGTACATCCAGATTTATTCTATTAATGTATTTTACATACAATTATGGTAAATCATCTTACTCATGAAAATGACTCCATGAAACCTGTGTGGTCTCCCCGCCGAGCATTCATTATTCTCAGCGTCTTTTCACATCACCGAGCAGTTCTAACCCCAAGTACTCACTCGTGTGCACGCCTACCCCCGTGCCCTGATCGTTCGTTTCACGCTACTCTTATCGCTCCACACTCACACCAGAAACCAGGCGCGAGTAAAATGGACTTTTTTATACAGGGGGGCGACTGCATTACTATTTATTATCTACATAATAGGCCCAGAACATCACGTGGAATAATCAACTATTTTTCTTTGCAGAAACGGCTGGCTCATAAGAGGATGCAGTATAATAATGGAAGGGTCGACGGAGACCTGATCAGAGTGAACAGCATCATTTCACAGAAGTGCATTGCGATCCTGTGAGACACCTTATATTACCGCACCCTGCGGATCACAGCCATGCGTTACAGCGCAGTCAAATATCTCGACTCTGATATTGAGCCGGCGAGTGCTCGGCGATTTAGATACTATTGAATGTTGATAGAACGGATGCCAACCACGAACAAGGACGATCCTCAGTGCCGGGATGATGAAATTTACATTGGCACGAAAAGGGGAACATGGTCTATCCAGGCTCTCGATCATTGATCATAACGAGACGGTTCACGTCACACAGGATTCTTGGGTTTCGCACCATAGACTACAAGTTCAGTGACATATCGGTAAGATGCAGGAATTGGACATGTTTCGGATATGGCTAAGACTTGGACTGATATCGCCACACACGAGAGCGGCCCTGTCATGAAAGGCGAGTCATTAATTTAGCGGAATGAACAACATTGTGGACTAGAACAAGTTTTATACTTGGTAAGCTTATTCACATAGAAGGTCATATGACACCTGAACGCAGCAGTTAGGTGGGTCTGACAAAAGCCTACCTCACAACCAAATGTATGCGAGTTCTGGGCCAGTGGCGATGTCGAAGCTACTGAAGGGTCAAATGTTTGACGATATGGTTAAGTTCGGCTCGTGTCCACCTTGCACAGCCTGTATAATATTATCAGTCTTTCGTGTGGTCAGGGAGCGCGTCTCAATTTTGGCGCCTCGGTCATGAATCCAGAAACAATTGCTAGAAATGTGAACTTGGCTTGTTAAGTAGCAGCTTTGCCGCCTTGAAGTAATCTATCGTAACGTTGTTGTTCCATTGGAGATTGAAGTTCCATTGTGACAATGGAAGCATTACCTCGAGCCGAGGTTCTCAGAGCTATAAAGATCCAGATGTCAAGCATTCTTAGAGCGTGCGGCAAGGGCCGCAAGGCGTTCCGGTGCTGCCATAAAGCTCACGTCGTTGCCGATCAGAAGTTTACTCGGAGAGAGTGTAAGCTCCGCAAATCGCATGGGAAAGGAAGTGCCACGACCGAACAACAGGAGCATGAAAAATTGGCAATGGAATGCTACGCCTTATGTTCCTGACTCGACAATCAGTGCGTGTTACGCTCCATGAGTGAACACTTACTCCTCGGGGCGCAGCAGGTAGGGCTATGGACAGAATGTCAGCGCTAGGTGGTGCCCCTTGCGGTGAAATGTATTGCGCTTTCCATGGACTTACTTGATATGTTTTCAACTTTAGTGATATGGCTCAAACAGCGCACTTTCGCATCGGTAGATTCGATTTGTCCCCTTTGTCAGCAACATGATGTAAAAGTGAATGGGAGAAATTTGCGTCTTCACGGGTGAGCCTACCTGAAGTTCGGATTTATTAAGATAAGTTTCAAGGGAGGGTCGCATGCTTGAAACGCGGTTCTACGCACTCAACTAAGCACTCACTGGTGCAGTGCCACAAGTTGATGCTGTACAGCCACCAAGTGCGAAGATCGCATATACGTAACACGATCGACCTTTTGAGTTGGACTTCCCTTTGCCAGAAACACCGTAGGCAGAATACCTGAGCTTATTAGCGTCTATCGGTGAAATCTGCGCATGAATTCACCTCTGCCGCTGGCAAATTGTGTTGTATATCTCCAGAAAGTGTCCACTCGTTGTGAGAAATACGGTGAGAAAATGGGTTACGTTGCTTGATTATAACCTGCCTGCATGGGATAAGTACTACAGGCCTGGGATACACCACATGCCGATCGCAGTTCTGTCAGGACAAACCCGGTCCGAAAGCCTCCCATACTAAAAAGCCCAAACCCCATGGGCCGACTCGAGCAAGCGTTCGAAGGCCGGAATATATCCGACGACGAGCGGTAGACGTTTCCGGCTTGTCGCTGCCCACAGTCGAAGGATCGCGGAAAAAATGTATTATTCCATCCCCACGGATTTTCTGCACAATCACGAATAGCGAATGTTTCAAAGTGGGATCAAGGGTCCGTTCTGGTTGAATTGTGCGCCTGATTACGTCCCATGGTCTGCTGAGGATCTCGTATGCCAAACCCGCCGATGCCCCTCCTGCCACTAAGGTAATGCCATGGATGGCTCGCGGAAAATGGCGGCCGAAGAAGTGTTCCTCTGAGGTCATTGATAAATTTTGGACAGTGCCTTGCGCTGCAACTTTGGAAGCTAAAGCCACTCTACGAGTGATTTCAAATATCATAAAGAATGCAGCAAAGCCTAGACAACAATGAAATCTCAGAAAGTGCGGATTATGACTCGGGGAGGCATTACCGCAGACATCTTTGGCACATCCCCAACCCCAACCATCCCACCCTCGACCAGCCATCTCGGAAACTTCTTTCATCCAATGCCTGACTTGTCTTATCTCTTTGATATTCTCCACTCTACTGGCTGATCTTGGGGGTTCAGTTCCTCGGAAGACTTCTTGCCATGCATGAGACCATCCTCTACCGGTCCCACCCTCGATGATAAGACGGGTATTCTCTACAGGAGCTGCGACCAAGGCTTGGGTACCCCCGGCAACAGCACCCGAAATCCCCGCGATGACAGTTGGATGCGTCCCCAGACGCGCTTCCAGGTAATTAGATGTTTCTGCGTAGGTCGTCCAAAGAACGGTACCCAACATCGCATTTGCGACCATTGGCGGCACAAAATGCTTTGGAATCACCATGAACTGCCAAAGCCTGATCAAAATTAAAGTAAAGGTATGAAATAGCCACTAAAGAGCACTACACCTTGCGTTTTCACGAGCCCGGATATGTACTGGACGCTTAAAGGTGCCCCATGCTTATTAGCATGGCCACGAAGAGAGTGCCAACCGCTCACTCAATAATGAGCGTTGTCAACGAGACTATCATGAAGATATCCAGACAGACAAACCTTTAGCTGGTCGAAATAGTCGTACCGGGCGAGAGAAGTAAAGTGCTACTCCCCTTGTGGTGGTCCTGGCGAGTGCTGCATACAATGAATTGCCTTGTTGTTCTTTGGATGCACTGTCCTGCAGAAGATCTTTCGACATTCACACAAGCTAAGTTGAACCCCAAGAAGCACCGTTAGATAAGGTATCTTGCGCGGTCGGTACTAAGTACTAAATGCTCCCGACGCTTCATGCAGCGGAGCTCAAACTTCGAAGAGTCCAGGTTGCTTTAACCGACTATAGCTCGTTGACTCTGCAACATCCATTGCATCCACTCTTGTATGATTGATGCACCCAAAGCTTTTCATCTGACATCTCCCGAATTTTATGGTTTAGTCGAAAATGTTCTCTGCCAGCTGTAGACGATTATTATGTGCACCGTTGTCACGCGAGATGCACTCTTTACAAACAAGATTTGCTGGCCTCCCGGAAGGATTCAAATTTTTCCCGGACTTTTTGTCCCTCTCCGAACAGCGCACACTCCTCTCCGCCGCCCTCACTAAACTCGACTCTACAGAAACTAAACAAGCTCGGAAGCGACGAAAGGACTTCCTTGCCAACCACCCACAGGAGCATCGTGTGATCGAAGACATCTTCCTTCCCGACGCGTACTATAATTTCCAAGAGGTTGCATATATCGTCTTCGTCATCAGAGTTTTTGGCTTATAAATGATCACAGGGCCACTATGACGGCGTGATACGACATTTTCGTGAGATGCATTTGTCATCCTGGTCGGAGGATCAGAATCCCGGTCTTTCATCCATTCTAGCTCGTCTGCAAGGGCTACATCCAACCTCGAACGTACAAACACATCTTCTACACTTGTCATCCGTAGGGGAAATTCTCGGACATGTGGATAATATAGAAGCCAGTGGAACCTGGATTCTCGGTGTCAGCCTTGGCGCAGCCAGAGTATTGCGGATGGAGTCGACAAGCAACCCAGAAGACTTCTTCGAGGTTCTACTCACATCGGGTAGTGTTTATTTACAAATGCAAGTGCAGTCGATATGCCTTCAATTTGAAGCTAAAATTCAAAGTAGGGACAGCGTGCGGTATGACTACAATCATTCTATACTAAAAGCGGACCGTTTCCTCGGACGCGGGATCACGGCTGGCCAGCGAGTCAGTATAATGGTCAGGGTAAGTTGATTGTTGTTCACAAATATAACGCATAAATATTTGATCGTACTCAGGACCGAAAGGCAGTACCTACATTCAATTCATAAGTGAGCTCGTTGCATTTTGAGGTTTTGACTAAGGGGGCAAGCATACTTCCATACTGGTATGCTGAAATGTTATTTTTCTAGAGCTCATATAAATGTCGCGTTTGCCAATCCGGGACTGTGTTGTTGTATGGTCCGATGGACAGGCACTGGCAAATTTACCGCATGTTCATTCAACCCAAGCATTTCCTTCGGAAGGTCCTATTTGGACTCAGCTTGATCTTGATCTAATTTCCCAATGTCATGCTAGAAGTATGACGATTGGACTATCAGAGAAACTCATCATACGGAACATATCAAGCTGGAATGAAGTTGGTGCTGTGGTGCTGCTCAAATAGCATTTTTAGATGAATGGTGTCATAACAATCAAAAAAGTATGGCTCACAGAATTACCGGTACTCACGAATAGGTCGTAGGGGATCTATATATACATAGGTAGGGTGCTCCGATTTATGCGAAGTTTCGAGAAGAAATGAAAATTACCTTGTATAGACCTCGGCATCATCACGATCTCATCACAAATATTACCCCAGGCATACCGAGAGCTGAGTGACTTGCTACTACTATTATATTGAGATTGGCTGCGGAAATCGGTCAACTTTCACATCAAGATGTATTGTGAAAGTTTTCTGTGACGTTTTTCCGACAGCCGATCCCCAGAAAAACAAGTCTTTCCTACCGTCTAATTTATGTAACACACATGTTTCGCTCACACACTCGTTGTGGTGTCGATCTCCTATTGATAATGATACTGCGCAAGTGTGGCGTACTAGCTAGGATAAGTGTCATTGCAGCGGCCAAGCAAGTTTGGACTAGTGCGTTACATTTCCTGATTAAGCCATAATTACGCTATCACTCACGTGTGTGTTTGTAAATATTGGGCATGTTGAATGTCTAGACAACTTTCAGTCTTTCACTGCGCCGTATCCCGCTAGTCGATCGCTCGACTTCAAGCACTGTCTTTTCCCCCAGATATGTGTGTTTTTACGAGAAGCGAGGGGTCAGAGGTTAAAAACGGCTCAATCTCCAAGATCAAGTGTTCTAGAAGGTCAGGCCTAGAGGGTACTATCATTTGATTCCAGATAGTATCTTTCCACGAGTCTTTGTCCAAGGGAACCCCCGCGAACCCCGATTTATCCTCGGTTTATGATATAGCAATGACGTGGTTGTTTTTTTTTTGCTTCCGCGACGAAGTTCATCCATGCTCTATTAACTTTGCCTAGTCACCGGTCACCAGCAGTCACCCCAATCGTGCGGGACAATCATGAACTGTTTATTGGAAAATCAAAAGACATGTGTTTTCTGGGGCTGCAAAATGCTCTCGCCGGATTTATCACTTCCCAATCTTCTGGTAACTCACATGATGCCACGCGACCTGGAAAGCAGATCCCCAACAGATTGATTGATCCCAGGATCTTCCCGACTAAAGTGCAAAAAATCGATCGCAAGATATAAACGGATGAGTTACATGTGCGACGAGACGAATGAATACAGTACTAGTGATGTGGTGGTAATCCTGAGGTCCATGAATGTGGGATGTGCAATAAATAACTCTAAGTGGACTCTATAGGTCGTGAATCTCATTGATTTACTTTTACGAGACTGGACACTCTGTGAACATATCTTATTAGAAAATGACATCACTCATGAATCAGCGAACGAGACTCACGGTAACTGCGCGTGGCCTTCCCCATCCACCTTCACCACCACAATCTGGGTACCCTATAAGATGGCTCATCAGAAGAATATCTTTTACAATAGTGTAGATCTTCCTACATCAGCCATGCGGTTGGTTGCCTGCACAGTACCGTACTTGATTTCACCACCGGATGCCCAGTAGAAGACCCTAGTGCCATTCTAAGAGTTCAGTCAGCATGGGCGTCAAACCAGGTAGGCTGTAGCTTACTGGAAAAGCGTTCATAGCCAAAACAGTAGATACCGCACACAAACGTCGAGTTTGGAGAAGCCGGGGGCTGAGGGAAACATGATTCCGTGCTCCTGTTTTATAGCGTACTTCAAGTCATCTTCGGTCGGTGATAGGGAACTCAGGCTAGCACTTCTTTCTGAGAACTTGACGAGGGTCGTGTCTAATTTGTCCCATATAACGATGGACGCATGATAGGTTGGATTGTATGGAAATGGGCGAGGTCGCTTACAGTGAAGGAAACCTATAGACACGTTAATTAGCTGGCAACCCAAGGGACAATTGCCGAAGGCTTTACTAATTTCATTCGGTTGGATATCGAGATTCGTCTCGCTATTCGAGAATCCGATGAGGCTGAACTTAAATTCAAATGCGATGCCTCCCCGTTGAGAAGGGTCATAAAATTTTGAATGAATGAGGTCTAAGAAGCTGAGGTACAGACCCAAAAGACAACACCTTGCCTTGCGGCTAACACGTAACAATCCGTGCGCCGCGCACGCAGACTCTCGAAGTGCACGGGCTCAATGTTAAACCAGAGCAAATACGCGCAGGTAAATAGCCACATGTTGCATCACGATAGCTCCCCTCCATTAACTAGTAGCGTAAATGATGAAAGGGTCACGACTCACCCTACTCCGGATCGTCATGTTGATCCTCGGAGTCGATCCGTCAGAGCTCCGTTTCATGAATATGAAGTCGAATATCAAGAACTCAGCGGGCCATCATCTTTGGATCTTCAGTAATGTGCCACGAAGAAAAATATCGTGTCAGACAAAGGTACAGAGTTCAACCTTCAAGATATTGACAGTGCCAACCTGTGCCAACCCAGTGTTTTAGGTAAGGTGGGTAATTAGTTTGTCACAAGTCACACCGTCACACCTTCAGCCCTTCTACTACAATACGTTCAAGAACTCCAAGATGTCTGTAATCCTTGTCACTGGATCTTATGACCATGAAATCAGGTTCTGGGAAGCGTGGAGTGGAATTTGTTCGCGTACTATAGCAAGATCTGGAGAATCTGGTGTGAGCAAAACGTTTTTCCATTTTCCGTCGTCAAGACTTATACAAGAATCAGCAAGTGAATCGTCTCGCCATCTCACCCGAGTAATCTCAATGTCCTGTTTATTCATGTACAAATTTACTGATGGGCTCATTTTGTTTTAGCAAGCGCCTATTGGCCGCAGCAATTCACAAAAAGGTCTACATTTATGAGATTACCAGCACCTCCTCGACACCAGTGCGCGCCCTATTAGCTGTTACTATCTCCATCCATTTATCCCCTTTAGCTAACGTGCCTGGATGCACATACAAATAATGTAACTTCCGTATCCTTCCACAGCGAAGGTAAGTGGTTGGTGACGGGTAGTGAAGACGGCACCATCAGAATATGGGATCTCCGGTGTGTAATCTTACTATGACTCCTAAAGCCTCGAGCGCATAACATCCACGCAGAAGTACACAAGTGCATAGAACGTATGATAACGGTGCCCCTGGCAAGTTTGATCTCTTCTTTCATGTCTGTTGCTAATACCCTCAAACTCCCCAAGTGAATGATGTCTGTGTCCATCCAAATCAGGGAGAACTCATATCCTGCGATCAAGCGGGTTGCATTAAGCAATGGGATTTATCCGAAAATCTTTGCTCGCACGAGCTGGTATGTTCAGAACAAGGTCGCAGTCGTCATTAGTTGACGTATTGTTGGAGACGCCCGCAGGCGATGTTCCTATTCGGTCCGTTAGCTTGGCATCTGATGGCTCTTGTCTAGTTGCTGGAAACAATAAGGTATTATCTACCTTTTCCTGATTCGTTATTTACATTCTTGGATTAGGGCAAATGCTACGTCTGGAAAATTAACGAGGAGAAATCAGATCTACCTCGTTACCAGGCGGTGACAAAGTTCAGCGCCCATAAGAAGTATCTTACTAGGGTGTTACTAAGTCCGGATGTGAAGTGAGCGCATCTGAGCTACCGATCTGGCAAAGTCTCTGAAGGACAGCCAGATATCTCGCCACGTGCTCTGCAGATACTACCGTGAAGATATGGTCTATATCACAGAATTATGAATTCAGACAAGAGAAGGTGCTTCAAGGCCACCAACGCTGGGTTTGGGATTGCGCATTCAGTGCTGATTCAGCTTATCTTGTTACAGGTGAGGAATTCACCTGTTGACTATATAGCCTAATGTATCCAACTCAACTCTTAGCGTCCTCGGACCACACTGCCCGGCTCTGGGAAATGGCCTCGGGAGAGACTGTGCGACAGTATAATGGTCATCATAAAGGCGAGTCGTCGTGTCCCAGTTTGTGAGGAAAGCTGAAGGACGCCTCCAGCGGCTGTTTGCTGCGCACTCCACGATGGTGCTGGATAGTTTTTGTCTATGTCAAACACAATATCTACATCGACCGTTCTGTTCCATCAGTCTACGAAATAGCAATATTTATCGGGATACTCAATTCAGTTTTGTCGGCGAGTACTCTTTTGGGTGTCGTTGACCCGTTTTTTTCCGCTTAGCAGCCAGCCCTTGTTTCCGAAGGGATGCGACTAGTTTCTGAACTTCCAGACTTCTGCTTTCGCTTCGACGTTCGGGCCCACACATCCGACTTTCCCCGGATTGATATCAAGAGGGCTGCAACAGGCCAGCCAGCACTGGCGTTGAGCCATTCACTCCTCTTATCCCTTAAGGCATAATGAAGTAAGTCCTCGGTCTTGGTGATGTTCCATGCTCCACATTCAGCAACGCGTGTCTCTTGGTAAATCAAATATCGCAAATTCCACACCCTTGAATATCAAAACCAAATCAAGGAAGTATGCCCACACCAACTCCGCGTCAGTTGTTTCTTTGGTTATTTGATGAGACAGAACTCTGATTCACATCTAGCCCATCGGCATCCAAATTTCTGGGGCATGGCAAAACATGGCACCGTCAGATCTACCAGTAGATGGGACTTTTGGACAGTTCTTACCTCATGATCACATCTCGCAGAGTGTTACTCGCCAAATTATCAAATGGTTCTCTCGTGCCTAATGTGGATACGCGTCTTCCCCCGATTATTATCCGGCCGGAAATAATCAGTTAACAGACTGGGTCCCGTTATCACCGGCACTTCAGAACCTCCTGTGTTGCGTCGTTTCTTATGGGTCACCTTCGACTTTTGGGCCGCAACACCCATGAAGAGGAACTCCTCGGTATTCAGAAGGAATCGATAAATCATATTCGTGTGACCATCTTACATCTCTGAGATTTCTTCTCGCTTTTGATTAACTTTGCCAGCCGACGACAACTTGGGCTGACACATGAGAGCCAGCCAAATAAGAGTCCGCGATGGATGCTGCTCAAATTAGGGGGACATTCAAATTCAATACATTCTGTCTTGGGATATGTCTATACAACCTTTCTACCGGTGTCTGATCTCCGCGGCCCGCTTTCGCGCCGCTGGAAAATTTAGGATTGTTCGGCCGAGATATTTTGATGATTGGCACTGTCGAAGACTCGAAAGTTCGCCTTACAACAATTAAATCGCTTGATCTTTGTTCAGTGATGAAAGGTAATGATTATCAAATGGATCAACAAACAAGCACACCTACTGGCAGGACTGTCTTCCTCTCAAATTCAATGTTGAAGTGATGTCACGGGGTGCCGGGTACTGCGTGTGTCGGTCAACGTGAGATTTGAATTCGAGTAACGCTCTTTGTTCACGACGTTGTACGACGCCGTCGTGCGATCTAGACATGACATCGTGGATTTATGTTTCACCGAGTTTGGGCCCCGGGTCCGAGGGTTTGCTTGCTACTTACACGAAGAATGTCATTGGACTTTGGAGTTGCTTCCTCATGGCCGCAATTTTCATGCTTCGTTTTCATGGGGCCGCACCTCGAGCATTATTAATCGGACCACGCGGTCCCGTCCATCAACTCCACGCGTGACTCGTGAGCAAAGGATGAGGCCTAGGTGAGCCGCACCACTATAACTTGAAGAAGTGTTTTTTCATGTTCATATCGAAGAATGCGCTGCTTAGCAGGATCAATTGTTCTCGGACGTGGTTTTTGTTTTCGCACACGAAGGTATCATGCCCTTCATAGTTCATTTCCGTCTTCACCAGGGAACATGCATGGCTCGTTTACTACAAGCATGAGAGATACGTGCAGTGGTTACAATGGTTTGCACACTACTTGAGACCCTGCCATTGTGTGCAAGGATCAAGGAAGTACCGTTGGCCGAAGGCCCGGGACTAGCAAGCATTGCCGTTGATAACAGTATGGCAATTTTTGGTGAAACTCACCAGATCAGGAAGCAGTCGAACAGTACTGGTATCAGTATAGTTTACCCTAGTCAGACATAACAAAGAAGATGGTCGTTTCTTCAGTCTTTGGCAATCAATTCACGAGCGCTCATGCCTAGAGCCGATCTAACACTTTCCAG